CTTCGGCCTTTTCCAATTCCCTCCCCCGGTTCCCATCCCCCCCCCCCCCCCGCTCCGTGCCCCCCCCACTCCCCCTCCCCTTCCCCAACCGCCCTCTCCAGCTGGCGAATGCGCGCGAGTACCTCAAGTCGATCAACTCCCGCACCATCAAGAAGGTGGCCGAGGCAAAGGCGCGGAAGCGGCGGCGGACGGAGCGCGCGCTCACAAAGGCGCGCCGAGACCAAAGCCCCTTGCGCGTGCTTGTCCCGTGGCCTGACGCCCTGCCCGCCGTGCGCAGGTGCGCAAGAAGGCGACGGCGCTCGCCGAGAAGACGGACGTGTCGGAGCGCGAGAAGGCCAAGGAGATTGCAAAGCTGTACAAGAAGAAGATCGGTACTGACAAGAAGCCGCAGAAGAAGGTGGTGGTCGGCAAGCGCAAGAACGCCGGCCCGGGCGGCAAGTCCAAGTCGGTCAAGCACGTCGACGCGCGCACGCGCTCCGACACGCGCGGCGAGAAGCTCAAGGCGGCGCGCGAGAAGAAGGGCATCTCCAAGGACCGCAAGGGGCGCAAGCAGCACAAGGCCAGCGCCTACAAGCGCTCGAGTCGCAAGTAGGCCGCTCACGTGGCCACACATTATGCGTTGTGTCGGACACGGGGGACATGTGTCGTTTGTGTGTGTGTAGACGCTTTTGGACACACGAGTAGTTGTGTGCGAACGACCCCCCGTCGTATGAGTTAAACATCAATCGTACCCCCTTTTGGAGTTTGGAAGCCAAATGAAAAAGAGAGCTTCTCCAGTACGGCTTTACGTTCTACGCCAACGCGTACAGTCTGAACGTACACCGCCCCCCCCGCCCCCCCCTCTGTTCAGAAAGTGCGCGCGAGAGATACGGCTCTCACTGTCTAGAGCTGGGAAATCTGCAGGCACACAATCAGCTACAGGCACACTCACTCTTGTCACGGGCGGGGACCTGTCGTCCTTTTTACCCATCTCCTAGAGAGGTGTCCGTTTTTTTTAAATTTGTACGTCGCATGTCGCTCCCTCTCTCTCTCTCTCGGTCTCTCTTTACTCTTACGAGGGTGACGTGTTACTTCACCACAATCTTCACCTTTTGGTTTTGCGGCGCCTCGCAATATGGTACCGGACCTCACATATGTAAAAGTAGGTGCCCCTCTCGGTGAGCTTCACTTCGTACTCATTCACCTCCGTCCCGGCCACAATCTCGCCGGTGCGGCTGCACGCGTCGTACTCGGCCTGCGTGCTGAGCAACATCACGTTGTGGTAGTTCTGCCATTCGAACGCCACCGTCGTCCCCGCGGTCACCTCATGCTCGGTGATTTCCATCGGGATCTTCCACGCTATCAAGAGGCGGTGATCGCTCGTCGGCCCCAAGACCTTCTTTCCCGCCCAAACCTCTGCCAGGTATACGGCGTCTGCGAGGCGAAACGCCCCGTCCCCGTCGAAGTCGCCCGCAGGATCGCCGCAGGGCATGGCGCCTCTGCTCCATTGCTTGGACCCCGACCACACCTCAGCGACGTAAACCGCATCAGCGAGCCGGAAGGCCCCGTCCCCGTCTAAATCGGGAGCCGGGTCACAGTCAGACCGCATAATTTGCTCCGCGACGGGCTCGAGAGCTGTGCTGACGGCGGGCAACGGCTCTCCGTTCACTGCAGCGATGGCGTCCAAGTCAAAGCCTCCGGAGATTCCTCCATAGCTGTTGCGCCCCGAGTCCCGGATTCTGACGTACCTGAATCCCCTGACACCCAGATCAGCGAGGTGCGCAGGGGGTATATCCAGGTCGGCGAGGTCAAAGGCGTCTCCCCCCGCTGACTCCGGGTCGGTCGGATCGATACCATTGTCCGGGTTGGACCAGACCAGCCCTACGCCCGCACAGCCTGGGTAGAGGCTTGTGGCGTCCTCCGGGTCGCAATTCCACTCAAACCACGTCATGCCGTCCGCGCTGACAGCCACAACACCAGTCTCATACCAATTCGTGAAAGGATTCTCAAACACGAGGAGGTCCGGCCCATCGCCATCCACTAGCTCGATGCCATCAAACCTCAAAACGACCTCGCCCGCCTCGCCGAGGCTCAGCACATCCAAGGAACCCGCGTTCCCAGCGCCCTGCGGAGGACCCAAAACGACCTCTGGGAAGCGGTCTTTGCCAAATCCCGCGCCTGATCCTTCCTCAAACGACACGACGCTCGATGGAAATGGAGAGGACAAGGATAGGGACAACGGACGCAATACTGACGGCGGCGTCACCCGTGGGCTCGGCTGGCGCGCCGCCACCGCGTTTGCAGTGCCCGGTGTGCGCCACGGCAGGATGGAAAAGGCGCCACCCCGCGGTGGTCTCCCATAGCTGAGGTTTGCGTCGCCCGCGCAACATCCCACCGCCTCGTCCACCAGCACGACGCGGTCTGCAGCTGCATCAATCTGGTGCAAGCTGACGACGTCGTTCTTACCGATTCCAAACGCGAAGCCGCACCCGGCGTAATTCGCTCCCCCCATGCTCGCATTGCCGTTCCGGCATAGCAGCAGCAGCTCTCCAGTGCCCAGTGAAAAAGGGCAGCCAGGCCCACCGAGGGCGAGTGCTTTTTCATTGTGCGGCCCCTTGTCGTCGCTGAGCAGAAGCCCGCTCAGTGGTAGCGCGCCGTGGGTCGGATTGCGCAGCTCCACCCAGTCAGCGCCATCGCAGGGATCAGTCGGGTCGCCCTTGTCCGCCACCTCGTTGACCTGCAGCGTCTCGACAGCCTCGGCATACGGAGCGCCTGGCGTCGGGACGTAGGTGTATCGAAACGGCCCTGTCGAGTCAGGCCACCGGGCCCAAGACTTTCCGAACTCCCCGTCCCCTCCGAGCGTGGTGATGTCCGCCTCTAGGGCGTGCTCGTCGACCAGCGAGATGGTGTCCGAGTCGCCAACCCATTTGGGTTGCGCTTGCGGGCAGACTAAGCGGTACTCGCCGGGTGCAATAGTGCCAGCCATGGCGATGGTGCCGTTGACATTGTCTTGGCACCCACCCGAATCGCACAGCATCCACCCATCGAGGTCCACAACATCAGCTCCCACGTTGACTAGCTCGACCCAATCGGCGCCGTCGCAGGTTCCGAGGGTGCCCTTATCGCTCACCTCGTTGATGATGACGCTCTTGGCATACGGAGCGCCCGGCGTTGGATGAAAGGTGTACCGGAATGAACCTGTCGAGTCGGGCCAACGCGCCCAGGTCTTTTCAAACTCGCCGTCCCCCCCGAGCATCGTCGCGTCGGCTTGCATCCCCTGAGCGTTGATGAGGGTGATGGTGTCTGAGTCGCTGATCCACTTCCTGTGCATCCAGCCCCGAGCCTGTGGGCAGACCAAGAGATACCCGCTCGGTGCGACAACCATGGCCGATAGGGCGATAGTATCGTTGTCCGCGCACCCGTCAGAATCGCACAAACTCCAACCATCGAGGTCCACCTCCTCGGCTCCCACGTTGACTAGCTCCACCCAGTCTTGGCCGTCACAAGCTCCAAGTGTGCCCTTATCGCTGACCTCGTTGATGATGACGCTGTCGGCATACGGAGCGCCTGGCGTCGGGACGTAGGTGTATCGAAACGGCCCTGTCGAGTCAGGCCACCGCGCCCAAGACTTTCCGAACTCCCCGTCCCCTCCGAGCGTGGTGATGTCCGCCTCTAGGGCGTGCTCGTCGACCAGCGAGATGGTGTCCGAGTCGCCAACCCATTTGGGTTGCGCTTGCGGGCAGACTAAGCGGTACTCGCCGGGTGCAATAGTGCCAGCCATGGCGATGGTGCCGTTGACATTGTCTTGGCACCCACCCGAATCGCACAGCATCCACCCATCGAGGTCCACAACATCAGCTCCCACGTTGACTAGCTCGACCCAATCGGCGCCGTCGCAGGTTCCGAGGGTGCCCTTATCGCTCACCTCGTTGATGATGACATTGGCGCTCACGCTGCAGACGAGAAGCAGTGGTACCTTTGCCGCGCGCATGAGTGTTGCGTGCGTCCTCACGCAGAAGAGACTTTGCCGCGCGCATGAATGTTGCGTGCGTCCTGCCTGACCCCGGCAGACTTCTCAAGTCGAAATCGGCGTCCGCGAGAGACCTCGCGAGACAAGAAGCCCGTACTTTTAGCTTAGTGGGGAAAAGCTCCGGCGACTTCCCTTCGGCGTTGAATTCTTTGCCTAGTGTCGTGCGAGGCAGTTTTGTTGTGAAATTCCTTTTAAGAATTCTTTTCGAGGGGGGGACAGCGTAAAAAATCATGACCTCGCCTTCTGCGACGTTGCTCCTCGCTGTGGTCTTGGGGCTCTCGCGCGCGGCGTCGCCGGCGCCCGATAGCGCCGTCCGAGCGCCCATTGACGCACCATTCCCGGCGGATCTCCAAGAGAGGGCCAAAGTGGCGGTGCAAGGGGTTGAGGGAGTGTTTGTGGTTGAGGGTGCAGAGCACGGCCCGGCCGCCCATGATGATGCAGACACGGGCACCATCACCTTCCAGCCGATGGTACTCGTCGCCTCTCTCTTTCATCTGTGCTGCTGCGGCGGCGCGTGCCCACTCTTCGGCTTTGTTGCCGCGGCCTTCTACATGAAGCGCCGCCGGCGCGTCACCGGGCCGGCGGACGCCGCCAAAGAGGAGTACGTGGCGTTTCAGCCCAGCGCGCTCGACGAGTATGGGCGGGAGCCGCGTGTTTAGATGGCCCCATGGCGCTTGGTCGCGGCGCAAAGCGTACTGCCTTTTTGCAAATCTCTCGCGACCCACCCGTAGACGTCTCTCGCGACCCTTTCACTTCACACATTTCATGTGAAACGAAATTTCACTTGAACGTGAATGAGTCGTCCCACCGAGTTCCGACACTCTGACAACTCGACACTTTACAATAACTATTCACAGCTACCACCAGGCAGCAACCCAGGACCCCGGACAGTAATGGGCATCTGGTTCTGCGCCGCGTGGGGCACCGGCGTGTACGTCGACACACGCGTTGACAGCCGGTTGCTCACACAGCTCTCACCGAGTTTCGGGGCGTCCCGTCTCCGGCCTGCAGCCGCTCTGCGATGCCCTCGACGTGCGTCGCCCCGACCACCGCGAGGACTGCGGGCGGCGGCTCCCCGCCGGCACGAGCAGCGTCTGCGCACACCGTCCGCAGCGCGGCGGCAAAGTGCGCGTCTTTCCGCAGCAGGACCGCCTCGTGGGCGCTCGGCGCAACCTATCGGCGCGAAGAGCTCTCCCGCGCTGGGACCATCTCGGGACTGGCGGCGAGGCGCGGAAGAACGCCTCGGCGAGGGCACGGTTGGAGGCGACGACGTGCAGCTCGGCGGGCGAACGCTCGTCGTGCCCCGGATCGAGCGCGCGGACCCGCAGCCAGTACGCGAGCCTAACGGCCGCCCGACGCCTCACAGCCCGTGGGTGTACGGTGAGGCCGTGAGGCGCGCCGCGCCGCGTCAAAAGCGGCACGTGCGGCGGCGGCGCCGGCGTGCCGCCGAGGCACGCCACCCTCGCCCCGAGCTCCTCGGCCGCCTCGGCCGCCTCGGCCTGCAGCGGAAGAGTGGACTCGCGCCGCTCACCTGGCCGCCCACAGCACCTCACCCGGCCGCCCGCAACAGCCGGCGTCTCTGCAGCGAGTCCCAACCCAGGTGGCCAGGGGCGCTGCGCGCCTGCTCGAGGCCCCACAAGACGCCTTCGCCACGCAGGTGCCTACAGCAGACGCCGACGACGCGTCAGCCGAGGCGTGGGCGCCCACGCCGCCGCCCCGCAGCTGCCGGGCGAGGGTCGGCGAGAGAGGCACCCGCTCCGCACCGTCGAGCGTCGCACCAGCCTCGGCTGCCCACGCGTGCACCTCGGCCAGCCCGAAGAGGGCGTGCCGCACGAGGCCCTCGCCCTCGGCGCGGATCCGCTCCGGCGGCAGCCCGTGCAACGCCGCGCGGGCGGCCCGCGTCAGCAGCAGGGCACGAGGCTCATCCTCAACCGCCACGGCGCCCAGACCGCCCGGAGCCGCGGCGAGCGCCTCCGCGTAGGCGCGCACGGCGGTGGCGGAGGCTGGGTCGACGTGGCTGACGCCGCACAAGTGCACCGCCAGCCCTGAGCTCGCGTCTCGCACAGCGCGTGCCAAGACGGCTGGGCGGGCGGCGGGGTCCACGCGGTGCAGCGAGCCCGCGAGGCCTGCGGTCAGGGACTGGAGGACGATCGCAATCGACCGCGCTGTCGACTCGGGTTGTTCCGACGGGTCGACACGCGTTGACCAGAGGCAGAGGCCCCCGAGGGCAGCAGCCCTCGCCCTTGGGAGCCGTGGGGCTGATCCCAGTTTGTCCCCCGAGTTGGTGGACGAGTATCCCCGGTTTTGAGGACGGACCTCCTCCCCACCCCCGGGGGGGGGGGGGTGGGGGCATTCATTCACTCCCCCCCCCCCCCCCCCCTCCCCCTCGGACGGTGTCCTTGCCGTGAGCGGCCCCCTCAAGCAACGCAACGAGCGAGGACGAACGCGAGGGCGAGGGCGAGGGCGAGGGCGAGGGCGAGGGCGAGGGCGAGGGCGAGGGCGAGGGCGAGGGCGAGGCGGAGGCGGAGGCGGAGGCGGAGGCGGAGGCGGAGGAGGGGGAGGGGGAGGGGGAGGGGGAGGACGAGGACAAGGACAGCGACAGCGGCAGCACGCCTATCCAGCAGCTGCAGATCAACCTCACACGACGTCGAGGTGGTGGAGGTGGGAGGTGGTTGAGTTTTTAGAGTCGGGTGAGCACCGGACTTCTACTGCATGCTGGGCTAGAGATGCTGGGCCCGTGGGCGCGCGCGGCCGGCAGAAGGAGGTGCTGGCCGCGAAGCTAGTCATAGACGAGGACAGATCGAGGACGAGGGCGGGCGGGGATATTTCATATTGACGTATTGACGAGCTCGTGTTCCGACACGCGCAGCCCTGAGCTTCTCGAGCTCATCCGCTCGGACAGCTGCGGCGAGCATGCGCGTGACCGGTGTGACCCTCCAGCCAACCCGACCGAACCACCCCCTGCCTCGGGGTCTGCGCTCCAACCAACCGGACCCCCCCTTCCCGCTTCCGGTCTGCGGTCTTCCGAGGCCGCCGACCGGATCCACCCCAACAGCGCACTTGGTGGCGCGCAAGGTGAAGCCGGCACTGGCAAGTCTGTCGAGGACTTGCCCCAGGTGCACGAGGTGCTCCTCTCACGTCCTTGAGCAGATCAAGACGTCGTCTATCTATGTACACTATGTCTATGACGAAGCACCTCCTCCATGCATGATCGCTTGGAAGCAGGCGCTTGCCCCATGCATCCCCATCGCCATGCACTTGAAGTAGCGCCCCCCGGGCAGGTTGAGGCTCATGATCTTCGACGCTCGTGGAGTGATTGTCTTTCGCACCGACCGACCTTCACAGCTCGATTCCGTGAAGAGTTGAAGTTTTCCCGGGGCCCCTTGAGCCCGCTATGGTCGCCTCGCGCGCCCCAACCGCCCGCCGGGTGGTGGTCGGGACCGTGATGTGTGCGGTGATCGGCCTTCAGCTCTACCGCCAGGGATCGGGCACGACTCGCCTGTACCAGGGCATCAGCAGCGTGTCTGTGGACTCCGGAGCCGGCTTGCCACCAGAGGAGACAGAGGCGGTGGGGCTCGCCACGGCAGCATCAGCGCCGGCCGCGTTGCCGCCGCCGAAGCCAGCGGCCGCCGCCAAGGACATCGTCAGCAGAGGCGCTGCTGCGAAATTGACAGCGTCTCCCCCAACGCCGGCTCATGCAGTGCCGATGGCATCGCCGCCGCCGCCGTGCCTCTCTCGATCGTGCACAAAGAGGCTCAGCGCGCTCGAGCCTGCGTGGGTGGATCTGAGGTTCCAGCCGCGCATCGACTGGGCGGCGGGCGGCGTGCGCGGAGATTGCGTCGTTGGCGAATACGAGTACACTGCGACGCAGATGGGAAACTCTCACGCCGCCCACTGACAGCCCACTGCTCGCTCGCTCACCACGCGGTGAAATCGGTGACGACGCTCGGTCACGCCTGGAACGAGTCCCCTGCTCATGGTCGTACCCCAAGCGTCTGAGAGCAAGCCCCGGGTCGCGTGCGCCTCCCGTACCTTAGCTCGTCGCCCGCCATAGGTACATTATGCCCGCCTATTGCAATCCTCCTGGGCAGCCCTCGGTAGTGAACCGGCACGCCAAATGGCCATCGCTTGAACGGATCGAGGCAGCAGACGTGCACGTGCACGCGCTGCCAAAGGCGGCCCTCGGCGACATTGTCAAGCGGCTTCCTAACCGCACCTTTATGCTCATGGGCGACTCGGTGCCCTTCCGGGAGCAACCACGGCCGCCACACGCTCTCTTTGACCTCAGGACGCCCCTCTGCGCAGGTGATGGAACAGTTCTACAACGCTGTTCAGTGCTTTTTGCGGCGCGAGGCGCTTGAGGAGCCTCCCGACGCCGACTTCCGCGCATTCATCAAGAGGAACGCGGGTTGCGGGGCGAGCGAGTCTTCGTGGAGTCCGCGTCGAGGCTTAAGTTGACCCTTGTAGGAACGAGCCGCTCTGGAAGATGGGCAAGCGCAAGATGCCTCCCAAGCTGCCCCAGCAGACCAAGAATGGCATGCGCATGCTTTTCGCGCGAGCGGTCGGTTATGAGCCTGAAGACTTGACGGCGGCGATGGCGACGGCCAATGCGCTAGCAGCCTGTCGCGACTTGGCAACTCGCTCAATCTCTCTCTCCAACACGGGGCCTCCTCACTAGGTGCTCATAATTAACTGGGGTCTACACTACGGAGACATGAACAAGTACCGGCGCGATTTGGAGGCAGCGTTTGCGCAGCTGGACGCACATGCGGCCAAGGTGGCGAGTTCGGACCTCGCCCGTGAGGCGGCGCCCGTGCGCACCTGCTTGCGACGAATAGGCGGGGAATGCTGTGCTGTTCCGCGAGACTGGCGCACAGCACTTCAAGGTCAACGAAGACGAGGGCAGCATTGGTCTAGAGGGCTGCTTTTAGCGCCAGATACCCCTCTGTAGGCCTTTGATAGACGCGGCTACACGCACGGCGAATGGGAGAACCGCGACAAGTCTACCGACAAGTTCTGCTCATGCTCGCCAATCGAGGTGGGAGATGGTGTCGGCCGAGTGCGTGACTGCTCTCCACTAAGAGTTATGGCTTTCTCTCCAGGATTTTGGCGTCAATCGTCAGAATGGCGTCTTGCAGGAGGCGAGCACAAGTCAGCTCGCATGCAACTCGAGTGCCTTGGACACACACTCAATCGCCGAGGACTCTGACGCAGGTGCTTGGCACGGGTCGCTACCCCCACGTTCATCTGCTGCCCTTCTACGATCTGACACGGCCGCGCTGGCGCTGGCATTTTGGGAACTGTACGCACCGTCCCAACGGGTGGAACTACGACACTTGTTGCGATTGCACCCACTTTTGCTTCTCGCCCGGAATGTGGCGCGCGCACATGCACGACCTCGTACAGGGACTAAACTGAGCTTTGTGCCAAATCGATCCATCGTCGCGTCCCTTTACTTATACTAATGTAGTATAGTGTAGAGCAGAGCCGTGTATGTGCTGTCTGGGTACACCTCTGGTGGTCGGTGCATCAGCGTCCCGTCCAGAGCTCCAGACGAACCGGGGGGGCACGGGGCCATGGCGCATGGGCCATGGCGGCGGAGCGCGGCCACGGGCCAGCCCCGCCAGCCCGCAGCCGCAGCTGCTCCCGATCCCGACGCTCCCGAAGTGCTTCGACCGTGGTGGTGGCCTGGCAACTCGTCACGCCAGCACGTCACCAGAGCATGCACGCCGAGCGCGGCGGCTCTTTAGACAGCACGTCGCTTACACCTTGGTGTACCACAACGATGGGAAGATGTTTGTCGACGTGGAACGTGTTCCGCCCGCCCCCGGCGGCGGGGCTGGGAGCGACACCGCTGGCGCAGCCGCCGCGCCATCGACAAGTCGCATGAGCTCGGCGCGGACCTCGGACGTGGCCACCTCGCTCACCTGCAGCAGATGACGGCAGTTTTGCCCCCGACCCAAGCCTGCCCCGGCTACCCTCACTACACGGACTCGCCTGCAAGGCACGCTCGCCGAAGAGCCGCTTCATCTCGGCTCTGATGGCTGGGGCATAGCGCGCAATCGAGAGGTCTTGCACGCAGTCCGCCCTCGGGCGCGCATATCTGTGTGCAAGGTTGGGAAGGTGTTGTGGCATGAGCGGCGGAGAGGGCTCATCACAGGTTTCATGCGCCGAGCGACGGCGGAGAGGTTGAACTCGCGCGCATCACAAGTCAGGCTTTTCCGCCAGTTGTTGATTCCGAACGCCTTCTTGTTGCCACCGCATTCATTCGCTCCGATCGAGGCCGCCTGGGATTCGACAAGACGCTTTGGGTGGTGCTGTCCAGGTTTGCGTATCTTGGACAGCTTTGGGCGCCTCGGCTTTGCCCGTAGAGCAGGCGTCATTTGTATTTTCGCGCTTGAGCAGGCACCTGTGTACCCACAGTGTCCTCTTGGAAGGGGGTCGTGTGCAGAGGGATGAGCTGGCTCGCATTACTCGGCGCTCGAGCGCATCTCAAAGTGAAATAATCGCGCGTGGTCGTCGCTGCGCCGCCCTGATTGGACTCGGCTCGCCGGCCGTTTGCACGAGCACTCATCGTTTGCCCAGCGGGAGTCTGGCAACTCCGCTGAGAAGGCCTTTGTGCGGTGGCACCTAGTTGCACCAGCACGGGTTCCGCCGGGTTGATGTTCTTGGCTCTGCGGTGATGAGGTTGGAAGTGAGGGGCCTCGCTGGTTCCCCATCCGGGTCGATGATGGAGCCATGCGGGCCAACGAGCCCGTGAGGGCCAAGAATGGGGCCAGGGATGACGCTCTGATCCGACGGCCGAGGGCGACGTATGAGGTATTTTCCTTTGGGAATCCTAGCGAAGGAAGCGGTGAATGCACTCGGTGGCATCTTGTGAGTGGGAGCATGGCCCCGTGGGGGCAAGCCAGGCGCACCTGCCGGTCGTGATTGAGCGGCGGCATGCGAGAGGCCGCCCGCCGCAATGGAACCGGTCACGCTCATACTCGAGCATTTCGGAGGTGGTGGGTGGAAGCCGATGTTGTGACCGAGCAGTGACAGTCACTCGCGGCAGCATCACCCCTGGCAACGAAGGAGAAGCTCATCAAGTGGTGCCGCTGCCAACCCCTCAACTCCACGGCGGCGATCCTGCGGCGGTGTCGGGAAGCGACGCCAGCCACTTCGCCACCGTAGGCGGGCGCTCCGTGTCGGGAGCGGGCTTGACGTGTGCCGTCAGAGCGCGCGTCGCCCGCTCCTCGAGTACAAGTGCCTCGTCCAAGTCCCACACGCCGACCTGTACATGCGTGCAAAGGAGTGACCAGTTTAAACGGAGGAAGGCGTGTCGGAGTAGGTGACGATCAACCCATGTGGCTGGAGGGAGACGCGTCTGCACATCGCGATAGCAAGCAAGGTTGATGGCCTGCGGGTGCGGGTGCGGGTGCGGGTGCGGGTGCGGGTGCGGGTGCGGGTGCGGGTCAGGGTGCGGGTGCGGGTGCGGGTCAGGGTGCGGGTCAGGGTGCGGGTCAGGCAGCCTTCAGAACGAGACAAGGAATTGGTGGAAACTATGAGCTTCATTCATTGTATCTCGCGGTGCTAGCGTCTTTCGATGTCTCAGGGCAATATGGCAGCGACTGGGACCAAAATTGTCGTGACGTTCTGCTCAACCATCGAGAACAGATGCACACCGGCCGCCCTGCTTAGCTCTGTCGCTACGCGTGATTTTGCACTGTTCATCCACGGAGAATGCGAGGCGCGCATCTTTTTGGGCCAGTCGTCGAGGTAGATAAAGAACTGAAGGAGGCAAGCGGGGCGTGTGGTGCTACGAGTAGGCACAGCAATGCAGGTGCAAGGAGTGGGTGTGAGGTGTGACGTGTGCATCCGGGCGAGGAGTCGGTGCTTGCGTTAACCTGGTCAAAGCCAATCAGAGAGTGCCATGCGATCCACTGCATGGCGTATGGCGCCTCGAAAAGGAGCGAAGCCATAGCACAGAGCGCCGGCATTTTTCCAAGTACGCACGATTTGTCGCGCGCGAAGGCGAACGCGCACCTCTGGCGCTCTGAAGGGCTCTCGGATGACCAAGTTTGCGGCCGAGTCGGGTTGTGAATTCCTCCAGCCCATCTCTCTCTCTCTCTCTCTCTCTCTCTCTCTCTCTCTCTCTCTCTCTCTCTCTCTCTCTCTCTCTCTCTCTCTCTCTCTCTCTCTCTCTCTCTCTCGCTCGCTCGCTCGCTCGCTCGCTCGCTCTCTCTCTCTCTCTCTCTGCCCTTGCCGCTTGCCCCGCTTGCGGTACATTTCTCTGCCCTTGCACATAGGTGGGTGGACTGGGTCGGTGCACGGTGGTGGTATCTAGTTGTGGTGGTGGTGGTGGTGGGAGGGGGCAGAAAAAAGCGCTTTCCAACCAAGTGCTGACGGCGCTCGGCGGCCTGCGTCGTGCGTGCCATCCTCCCAAGTGCCGACATCGCAGTTCGCACATTCTTTTTTACTCTCCTACAAATTGAAACCCAGGAAGATTCGAGAGCGTCTATTGGGAACTGCAACTGACTAAACAAGGAGGGGTCGTCGGGACGGCGATTTTTGCGACGCGTAGTGGGGAGTCCTAAGTTGCTCAGCGGATGCTGCTGCGCCCAGACCAGTCCGCATGCCCGCGGGTCAACGATCGCCCGCAAAGATGCGCAGCATCTCGAGCGTGTAGAGGAAGAGGTTGACGACGTCGAGGTAGAGCGCGATGGCGGCCGGGACGTAGTCGTCGGGGCCGTGGTGGTGCATCAACATGGACAGGTCGACCAGGATGTAGCCGGTGAAGAGCAGCGCGCCCGCGCCCGAGTAGAGCAGCCGCGCAGTCGGGCCAAAGAATGGGACAAACAGGCCGACGATGATCAACACCATCAGCAGCCCACCCAGCAGGACGCCGTGGTTTGAAAAGTCGTGCTTGTAGAGGAGCATAAAGTTGGTGAGGGCGAGGAACACGACGGCCGCGATCAGCAGCGCCTGCCACACGATCGCACCGAGGCCGGCGGCGTAGGTGGCGGCGCAGACGACTCCCACCGAGTACGACATGCAGAGCGTAAAGCCGCCGAGGAGGAGGAGGTTGTGCGGGTGGCGGTGCTGGTAGCAAGAGAGGGCAACGATGAAGCCGAGCGGAGCAAAGATCGCGGCAAGCGTCACCGCGTGGTTCGTGAGCACAAAGTGGCGCGCGTCCGGGTGGAGCATGATGAAACTTGCAGACGCGGCAATGACGGCTAGCTGGACCGTCAAAATGGCAAACACCTTGCGCATAAACGCCAGTCGGACGGCCGGCGGCAAATTGGCGCAGGGGTTGGGCGCCCACTCCCCGTCCACTGGCGGCTGTGGCCAGCCTGCCTCCGGGTCGGCCTGATAAGCTTGGTAGGGCGTGGCGCCGCCGTATCCCGGCGGGCCACCGGGCGCGTACGGGGGCTTGGGCTGCTGCTGCGGTTGACCAAACATCGCGCTTGTGGAACGAGGAGTAGCGAGCGATCGCCCTTCTCGTCGCCGTCCAGGCTAGAAGCCTGACGCTAAAAAGAATTCTGAGCCCGGACACTAGAGAGAGGGGCGTACCGTCCTCCCATCCCTCCCTTGCGTTGTCTGTTTTCTTTCTTTCTTTTAGAGGGGCTGCACGGTACGCGGGTCCGGCACTGATGCCGTGAACAGCTGAGGCACGAGCGTTTCCTCGCTCGCGCCCTTGGGGGGGGACAGCACCTCCCCGCGCGCGGCCTTGTGCCACGGGCCGCCGACGGGTTTGGGGTCCGATGAACATTGAACATTGACATGGCGTCTCTTCACACTTGATCCGCCTGTCTGTTCACACCTTCTTTCTGCCCACTTCACGATGTGGCAGGGGTTCGTTAGCCCATAAAAGAAGTTTAATAAAATACGCACACAAAAATGTTTTTACACGTCCACGACGCCAGTCCGCTTGTGGCATCACTCCGACACACGATTTTTCACTCCCCACAGCCGCCAACCCAGGATTGGCCGCTCGAACCGAAGACCGCCGCTCGACATATGATCGGCGGCTCACTTCGATGTCAGCCGCTCGACCTATGGTCGGCGGACCTGGGTTCGAATCTGAGGACCTGGGTTCGAATCGCCGTTGGCGGTTCATAGGGTAGATAAAAATCTTCTGGAGCGTTCCCAGACGTTATTCACAGGCGCGTGGGATGTGTCGGGTGTGCATGGACATTCTTGCCCTGAGAACGAGCAGAGGGGAGCTCGCTGGGGCGGTAAAAAGAATTCTCGGTCCCGCCCGTCGAGTCAGCTTGGCGCCACAGAGCGAACAGGTCCTGGACCAAGGGTGGCGGTGGGGACGATGATGATGACGACAGCGGCGGCGGAGGCGGCGGCGGCGGCTCCGGCTCCCACGACGAGCACGAGAACGACCAAGCTGCGACCGGCCTTGACAACGAAAACAACCCGTGGCACGCCAATCCCCTCATACTTCTGAGCCGCCGTTGGGCCAACCCTTCACAAGCGCGCGCATGAAAACAGGCACATCGGCATCGTCCACGGATCGGTTCCGTGCAGCTCGAGCAGCTTCGTCGGGAGCCCGAGCCTCCCGGGCAGCGGTCTTGGCAGCGGTCCTGGCCACGTGGCCGAGAGTCTCGTCGGCGCCTCCTCTTCTGACATACACCTGCTGACGCACTTGCCTCATCGGAGCCCTCCCGGAACCTTGCTTCCCCCAGGCGGCTCCTTCCTGCTGCTCAGCTTGCTGACGCTCGCACTCGTCTTCAAGACTCGATGGGTGAGACAGCGCACTCCCACTCTCATAAGTATATGTATCTAAGGTAACATTCTCTTGATTACCGTTGTGTATCGCAATGTGCTCCTGCAGGACGAGGAGCAGGTCGCCAAGCGTGGCCAGCAGCTCGTCGAGGAGGGCGAGGCGAGGCTCGCAGCGGGCGTGCTCGAGCAGGCGCATGCCGTGCTTCTCAACCCCCCTCCTCCATCAACCAAGCCTCTCACTCTCCGTCTCTCCACCAGACCTCTCGCCGGATCACCGTCGAGGCAGACGCTGCCCGCGCCGGACCACCCGCCATCCGGAGAACCAACTCCGGCGCTGTCGTCGACTTGAGCCAGCTCTCGCCGACGGTGCTGCGCGAGTGGTCGGAGAGGAGGGGACTTCCTGCCTCCTCCCCGTCGGAGGCGCAAGTGGGCCTAGATGGAGATAGGGATCACAGAGCGCAGGACGCAGTTGTCGTTCGTCATGCGCTCAGACCTCAGTGATTCCACCGCGCCCCACCGGTTACCGCACCTCACCGCCGCCCCAGGAGCCCTCCCTCGCCTCGACGTTTCGCGCGCCCTCCTTCAGCTGGGGCGAGATCTAGCCGAGATCGGCATCTAGTCGATGTGAAGCCGAGACGCAGCCGAGGCATAGCCGAGATCGCCCTCGTGCTCTTGTCTCCACACGCCTCTCCGCACGCGTCCCTCCGCCGCCGTGAGCAGGCGCGCCGCGGGCACTAACGACGAGGGCCCCTCCAACGCCGCCACGGTCTCGCTGCTCTCTTGCCACGAGCGGCGAGCGTTTCCCACACCTACCGGTGCCCGCCGCCGGCTCGCGAGGCCGTTCCCCTGAGCCTTCTCGGAGCCTCCCTGCAGGCGAGACACCCCCCTCGATGTCGCGCACCGGCTCGCACTGCTCCGCCGCCGAGGGAATCTCGAGAGAGAGGCCGCAGGCCGCAGCTCCCCGACGAGGGTCCATGTGAAGAATTGACTTTCTTTGGTTAGTGGCGCCAGTCCCGTGCCGAGTGTTTTTTTGCGAATTTAATTCTTTTGTGTACCTGTGCTAGTGCCAGTGCGTGCCCAGTGGAGCAGCGTCCGAAAATTCTAAAAGAAAGAAAGAAAGGAAACGGTCATAAATAAATAAATAAATATAAGGAAACGGTCAACCCAAGGGAGGGATGGGACGACGAAAATTCTTTTGCAAGGGATTTAGAGAAAAAGCGTTCGGCGATCAGCACGCTTGCGGGACAGCAAAAGAGCGCTCCTGGCGTCCATGGGAAAGCGTAAGCTCGACAGCAAGCATCCCATCACCTGCATCGTCAGCGGTCTTTACGCTGGCGGCAAGCTCGCGGTCGCTCGAGCCCTCCTCAAGGAGCTCAGGTCTGCGACAGTGCTGGTCGGCGATCCAGCGGCGAAGCAGGCTCTGTCAACGAAGGAGGTGATCGAGTACAACGGGGAGACGCCGAAGCTGCCGCACGGTCTCGGCAACGTCGTCGTCCTCGCGCACGACCTGGCGCAGCCCTCGCGCATCGCGGCGGCGACGACGAGCGGCGGCCGCGCCGCACCCAAGCTGCTGTGTGTGATCGATGCGAGGAGCTTCCTCGACGAGTGGGAATCGGTTGACGCGCTGCCGGAGAAGGTGCGCGAGGCTGGCAAGAAGGACCTCCGCGCCCACCTCTCGGACAAGAAGCCGTGCGAAATTCTGGCGGAGTGTGTCGAGAGCGCCGATGTGATTGCGCTCAGCCACTCCGAGGCTGCAGACGCGGACGAGCTGGAGATGCTCGAGGCGAGAATAGCCGAAATGAGCCGAGATTGGCCGAGGTTAGTCTGCAGACACGCGCTGGATGCTCGAGGCGATATGCAGCCGAGATGCAGCCGAGATACCGCCGAGAGACAGCCGAGAGACAGCCGAGACGCAGCCGACACGGAGCCGATCTCCCAGCCGAGACGTGTACAGCCGAGACACCTCGCAGCCGAGATCAGCCGAGATTGGCCGAGGTTAGGCGATGCTGCGCGAGCTCAACCCGTGTGCGGCCGTCGTGCGGCGCAGCGGGGCCGGCGGCGGGGGGAGGGCCGCCGAGGGCAGCACCGCCGGAGAGGACGCCGAAGGGCGCCTGCTGCAGGCGCTCGAGCGCGGCGGAGGGGCGGAGGCGACGGCGCACGTGGAGAAGAATGGCTGCTGGCAGGCGGTGGTGGCGGCGCGGAGGGAGGAGGAGGGGGGAGAGGGGGCGGCTGGCGAAGGCGGAGAGGAGGAGGGCGAGGAGGAGAGCGGCGAGGAGGGCAGCAGCGAGGAGGAGGGCGAGGGGGAGGGCGAGGAGGGGGAGGGCGAGGGGGAGGGCAGCGGCGAGGAGGAGGGCAGCGGCGAGGAGGAGGGCAGCGAGGGGGAGGGCAGCGGCGAGGAGGAGGGCAGCGGCGAGTGGGTACCTCCAGCACTGAGCCGCTTCGCCTTCTTCGCTCGCCGGCGCTCCTTCCACCCGAACCCCGAGCCGAGGTGGCCCGAGGTGGCCCGGGAGGACCCGAGAGGAATGCCGCGGGACTGTAGGCCCTTCCACCCCGCCCGGCTGCACGAGCTGCTCATGTGCGGCCGCCTCGACGGCGTGATCCGCTCGCGAGGCTGCGCCTGGGTCGCCGACCGGCAGACCGAGTCGGTCACGTGGAGCCAGGCCGAGATTCCACCGAGATTAGCCGAGGTGCCACCGAGAGTAGCCGACGGCACCGGTCACGTCGAGCCAAGTCGGCGACCTGTAGAGCGCGATAGAGCTGTCGAGTGCAGAGGGCAGTCGAGCTGCAGAGCTCTGCGTCCGGCGGAGGGCAGGGTGCGTGCTGTAGAGCTCACATCCTCTGCACCCTTCCTCAGGTCGGCAACCAGATGGACCTGCTGCCTGGCGAGCCGTGCCCCGCCGCCAGCCCTTGCACCCGCAGCCTCGCCCCCATTCTTGGAGCGTGCCTCCAGGTGAGCCGTGGCTCGCCGCCAAGCAGCTGCCCGTGTCGCAGTGGCGCCGCAGACACGCCGGCGTGGCTGCCTGTCCGCCGAGCCTTGCGTGTTGATTCGCGGCTGTTCTGGTTTAGGCCCGCCGACATGCCGGGCTGGACCCGCGCCGCGCCGCACGGCGATCGGAGGACGGAGGTCGGGATGGTGCCGCGAGTTGGACGCGGACGCCGTGACGGTGCTGAGAACGGCGTCTCTTCACGGCGGGGCGCTGTGAATAGGTCGGGATGGACGCGGACCCCGCGGCGGTGCGCAGGGCGCTCCGCCGCGCGCTAGTGACGAGGGCGGAGCTGGAGCAAGGCGTGTGGGGCAAGCACGAGGGTCGGTATTGGTGGCTGCTGGGCGCAAGTGCGATGGCGAGCGCGAACCCCGCCACGAAGAAGTAGCTTCGGCTGCCTGAAAGGCCGTGCCCGTGGTATCTGGCATCGGAAAAGAAGGTCCGGTCGCTGGCACCGGGCAACGTAGCCAGTCGAGCGGGTCGGATAGTGGCCGACGTGACGCGTCTGGTACAGAGCGAGAGCGCCGCAACGTGCCCAAGCACGCCGCCGAGTCCCGAGAGAGTACAGTGACAGTAGTGGGAGGTTTGTGGCCAACGCATGGGGTCCCGTACCATGCGGAATCGAACCTAACCCAAGCTCAAGTGTGAAAAAAGAAAAAAGCTAATCAATCAGCACAACGCAGCACGCCTCGAGCAAGCACAGCGAGCACAGGAAGGAACGCTGCCGTGCCTTCGACCTTTACTACTGCTACCAAAGCAAGAATGGCAAAGAAGCGCCGCGGTACTGGTGACCAGCAGCTCGCCTCGGCGGAAGAGCACGCCGTCAAGTCCGAGTCGCTGTTCGAGGCAAAGCAGTATGCCGATGCTGCGCTCGAGGCGGAGAAGGCACTGCAGTGCCTGCCGCTCATGGCACGCAGCTCGCTCACGCGCGGCCGTGCGCTACTGTACCCGGCTCTGTCCAAGATGGTGCAGGAGGGCGGGCTGCCACCGGCCGGCTTGCTAGAGGAGGCGGGGCGCCACTTCACTCTCGCGGTGCGGCTGGACCCTGAGTGCGAGGAGGCCAAGGGTGAGGTCGACAGCCTGCAGAAGCTCCTCTCCGACCTCCCGCAGGACCCCGCTCCTGCCAGCGCAGCCGGCAAAGAGCCTTCCGGCGCCGCAGCCGCAGTCGACGTCATCATCGTTGGGGCAGGGGCAGCCGGGGTTGGCTGCGCTCTGATGCTGACAAAGACTTTTGGGCTCGACGCCTCCCGCGTGCTGCTGATCGAGCGCGGCGAGGGAGTCGGCGACACGTTCCGCCGCTGGCCCGCGGAGATGCGGTTCATCTCTCCCTCCTTCAACAACCAGGGCTGGACCAACTCGTTTGACCTCAACTCGGTGGCGCACGGCTCTTCACCCGCATACTCGAAGCTCCCCTAAGCCGTCTTGGAGCTTTCTTGTAGGTGGCGCACGGCTCTTCGCCCGCATACTCGCTGCACGCGCAACACCCAAGCGGCGGACAGTATGCGGATTACCTTGACGCCCTCGCCTCGTCGGCCAAGCTCAACGTGCGCACGCTGACCGAGGTGATCTCTGTCAAAGCGGAGGGCGGCAAGGGCGGGCCTCCCCGCTTCCGCGTCGGCGTGCGCAGCCAGCCCGGCAGCAGCGAGCATGCCGCGCGACGGCCCTCTCGCGTGAGCGGGCCGCGCCCGAGATTCCCCGAAGATCACCCGAGGTTGCTCGAGAATAGGCCGGCGCCCGCGGGCGAGACGCTTACGGCGAGGCACGTCGTTTGGGTGGCGGGCGAGGGACTCAGATGCGAGCAGCCTCTCTTCACACCCGCAGCTGTGAACAGGTACGTCGTTTGGGCGGCAGGCGAGTTCCAGTACCCGCGCGAGGGCGGCGGCGCCATCGCAGGTGCCGAGCTCTGCCTGCGACATGGCTGATGAATCAACCAGAGCGTTTGATCGATCAACCAATCCACCACACGGTGTATTGCACTTGTGCAGGCGCCGAACTCTGCCGGCACAACTCGCGGGTGCGCTCGTTCGCGAGCCCAGATGCTGAAACCCGCTGTGATCTTCCAACTAGCGCACGCAGCACCCATTTGCAGAGGGTCCTTTCAATCTAGAGCAGACGCTCGGCTGCACCCTCCTGTCTCGCAGTCTCGCAGTCATCGCTCTGGTCTCTAGGTTCGCGTCGCTGCCGGGGGACGATTTTGTCGTCATCGGAGGGTACGAGAGCGGGGCTGACGCGGCTGTCAACCTGGCCAAGGCCGGAAAGCAGGCTTGCGCTTCACTCACTAGTGAATGCCGTAAGACTAGTGACTGAACTCCACCGAGAGACGGCAAGCCGCATGAGACGATTGTTGGCCGTTGTCGCCGACGATGTCATTCTTCATCACTGGTTTGGGCAGGCGACCGTGCTCGCCTCCACCGCCACGTGGGACGTCCACTCCGCGGACCCGTCCGTCGAGCTGGCGCCGGAGATAGAGCCGAGATTCAGCCGAGATTCAGCCGAGATCGAGCTGGCGCTGCACGGCTCATTGAGCCCCCGACACGTCCGCGACACGTCCGCGACACGTCCCACAGGCGCCATACACCGCAGAGCGGCTTCGGGCGGTGACCGCGCCAGGCTTCTCGCCTCGCCCAAAGCTGCTCGCGCCGCTCCGTGTGCTGCGCGTGGAGAGGGCGGCGGGCGGAGGCTTCGACGTCGTGGCGAGCTGGAAGGCGGCCGAGAGCATGCCGCCGCCCGGGCCTCTGCGGAAGCCGCTGGGCGCCGACGCCACTGACCGAGGTGATCTAATCACTCGAGATTAGTACCCGAGATTCCACGAGATTTCTCGAGATGCTCTTTTCGGCGCGAGGGAAAGGGGTGGGGGTGGGGGTGGGTGTGGGGGAGGGGGGGGGGGCGAGCTGGTGGGTGGCACACGAGCCCTCTTTGTGAGCCTTCCCGGAGCCCTTGCTCCAGGTGCCGAGGGGAGCGAGGTGGTGGTGCTCGCGACTCAGCCGCCCGTGCTCTGCACCGGCTGTGAACAGCGTCTCTTCACACCTCGAGCTGTGAATAGGTGCACACGGCTCAGCCACCCCTGCTCTGCACCGGCTTCGAGGGCTCCGTCGCCTCGATGGCGCGAAACCTCTTCGCGTTTGCGGACGCGGCGGACGAGGCGAAGGTGGGTAGACGGACAGACACCCACCCGTATCAGATACGGAGGTGGCCCACCTTCGTACGCATCTATACAGAGAGAGGGGGAGGCGAAGAGGCGAGCGAACGGCGAACGCGCGGCGGCGGCGCCAAGTCGTCCCTTGTCCGTGTGTGCGCTACTAGTATGAGCAGCTGGCTATGAGCAGGCGAAGGGGTGCCTCGCCGGCGCGCCGCTGCTGACGGAGGACGACGAGTCGACGAAGGTTGAGCTTTCCTCGTCGGACCATCTCACAGACAGAGACGGTGTGAAGGGACACGCTTCACAATCTCAGGTGGCCGGCGTCTTCCTGGTCGGCCCGGCGGTGCGGCACGGCGAGCACTCCTTCTGCTTCGTCTACAAGTGACGCCACCCTCCCGAGCCACTCCCCCGAGTATCATCACTCCAAGATGCAGATGCCCTCCCCTTCTTCATCCGGGCCCCTACACACGAGTCTCGCTGCCGCCTGATCACTCTCCCTCTCCGCCATCAGGTTCCGGCAGCGCTTCGGCATCGTCGCCAACGCCATCTGCCGCGGCCTCGGCCGCCGCGACACGCAGATGGCGGTCGAGGTTGCGAGGAAGATGAACATGTACCTCGACGACCTGAAGTGCTGCGAGGCCACGTGCGGCGAGGCCTGCTGAGGGGGGCACGCCGCGCTTGTGTGGCGGGGTTTGCCCCCGGCGGCCAGCTTTTGTTTCGGCGGCTTTACGGCTCTAGTTTCTGTGCATGTTAATAACACATCATGTTTCTGTGCACGATCTGCATGAAGCTTGAAGGTTGAAGCAAAAACAAGCATCACACACACACACACACACACACACACACACACACACACACACACACACACACACACACACACACACACACACACACACACACACACACACCACGCGACACACACGCTACACACGTGACACGACGTCACGACACACACACACAAAAAGCCTCTGGGTCTGGCGCAGAGTAATAAAAACCCGCCCCCAGGCCAGAGGCGCGAGGCGGGTCGCGTCTTCTTCGCTCTTTATGCACGTCCCCAAGAGAGGGAACGCCTAGACGGTGACGCGAAAGAGGCCCCACGCGGTGTCGTGCGGACGGCGAGTTTGCTGCGCAGGCGCGGACCAGTCTGCTCTAGCTAGCCCTCACACGCGTTACTGTGCCGGGCCATGGGCGTCCTTGGCGCCTTGAGCGCTGGGGAGGGTAACCGGGGGGACGCGGCCCCGAGTGACGTGGTGCCGTAGCTACCTCACTCGGGTTGTGTGGCAGCCCAGCTGTCTGAGTGTCTTGTGAGTTTGCGTGTCTGACTGTGTGTCGCTCGCTCGCTCCAGCGTGCCGGCCGTCGTCTCCTGTCTAGCATCCCCCCATACCGCGCCGGTGTCCAGTCCGAGCCTGTGGCTGCCATCGTCTCTTTTGTATTTATTTTCTTCTCCGGGTTAACGCTAATATTCTTCTTTCGAAACTTCGCCCTCGACGGGCGCTTTGACCTTTGTGAGCTCTCACCCCCTTCTCACCAACCACGCTCGACCACGCCGCTGTGCCGAGCCCGACGCACAGAGGCGCTCTTTGTCGTCATCACCACTGCCGCCTCGACCGGAGCCGCGCTGACGATATGCCCCAAGAGTGCAAGACCACGCAACACTTGATGGTGCTGGCCCCGATTGGTCCACGCTCTTTGCAAGTACCCCTGCCGGGAATGCACTTCTCGGCGGCGCAAGCTCCGCTGGCTGCACTGCGGATGATGTTCACTATTTATTTGCTCTTGGAGCACTTACTTGGTCTTGGAGGGAGTGCGGTTGGCAACCTACCTCACATCCAGGGCCGGGGAGCTAAGAAGCGCACCCAGCGGGCCGGATGCTCGGGGACGGGCTGCAGGCAAGAGAGCCCTGGCCCCTATAGGGGGGGTGCGCGGTCGCAGGGCCATAACACGTCTCCGAGGGCGCCCCTCGTAAGATTCTCCTTGGTTTCATGTAACGCCCGGAACGATGGCAAGCTCGAGCGGCATCCCAAAGGTGCAGCTGGTTGCGGAGAAGGTGAGGGGCGACGCCGAGTTCTTCTGGTGCACCTCGCTGCCGCCGGGCGAGACCGCCCCCCAGCTTCCGCCCGTCGTCCCCTTTGAGCAATACACGCCCATCGGCGCGACGACGCAGACCGCCTCTGGCACCAACTGGTTCGTCAAGGTCAAAGTGCGCGTCAGGGACGCCAAGGAAGACGAGTTTCTCCAGCTGCGTGTCCACGAGGACTTCCACGGCCGCGTCAAGCTCACCGGCATGCTGATGGGGCGTGATGCGGCCGGTGCGGCCCACGCCTTTGAGGAGGGCTTCTTCAAGGCGCTGCACGAGGACGAGGCGCGTCCGGCGGGCGCCTCCGCGGGCGCTGCCGAGCCGGCAAGGGTGGTTCCTATCGACCACGGGGTGAAGGTCGCGTTTGAGCGCTGCGCGAGCATCCAGCCTGGCGGCGCCCAGGCGCTGAGCGTGCGCGAGATCGGGCGCGTGCTCAAGGAGCTGGGCGTCGCGCCAAACTCGACCACGTGCGCCGCGCTGCTCAAAAGATACGACGCGGACGGCAACCGCACGCTCAACCTCGCCGAGTTCAACGCGATGTACAAGGAGCTTCGCGCGCTGCTCGGCGTGCGCAAGAGCGACACGCAGCACTACGCAAGCGGCCAAATGTACTCGGGCGACTTCCTGGACGGACTCTTCCACGGTAAGGGGTCATTCACCTTCCTCGACGGCTCGATGTACAAGGGAGAGTGGCAAAATGGCCTAAAGCACGGCGAGGGCATGCTCAGGACCAGCGTGGGCGAGGTCTACCAGGGCGAGTGGCATTGCGGCTCGCCAAAGAAGCTCACGAAGATGAGCGACCCACCAGCGATGTTTTGAGATCCTCATAGGACCCTCTGCCGCGGCCTATGTGGTCCGGACACCAGACTGCAGACAACGCGGACCGGGCATATCGGGTGTTGGACGATTCTGGTGCGTCGGACGATGCTTGTACGGCTCCATCTTGAGGGTCTCTCTCTCTCTCGGCGCGTCCGTCTGACGCAGTGACGGAACAGACTCTCTGCGTTGTGGATGAATGGTATACTCTGTGTCTGTCATAATGTACATACAACTTACTAGCAATCTGCGGCTGTCTGGGTGCGAGAGACACATCGATCATCGCACTCTTGTAGCATGCAGCACACAGACTGCATGGATTTGCCTCTGCATAGACGGGCTGATTCTACATTCCGTATTTCTCTGAAAATGCAGAATGCAGATGCAGAATTCAGAATGCAGAACCTAGCCCAAAATGTTTACTCTGTATGTGCAGCATGCAGAATGCAGGATGCAGAAAGCAGAATCGGCCCCAAAATGGATTCTTCTGCATGGTGCAGGATGCAGGATGCAGAATGCAGGATGCAAAATCAGACCCAAAGGGTTTGTCCGTCGGGTGCAGCTCACAGCTTTGAGCCCGATTCCGCATCCTGCATCCGCATCCTGCATTCTGCATCGGGTGCTAAGGCATCCGGCTTTGGGCCCGATTCTGCATTCTGCATTCTGCATGCTTTGGGCCCGATTCTGCATTCTGCATTCTGCATCTGCATCCTGCATCGGGTGCAGTTCACAAGCTTTGGGGCCGATTCTGCATTCTGCATTCTGCATCTGCATCCTGCATCGGGTGCAGTTCACAGCTTTGGGGCTGATTCTGCATTCTGCATTCTGCATCTGCATCCTGCATGATGTCATGTTGGTGCCCGGGCACAAAAGATAGTTACTCTCGAGCGCAGATTACGCATGATCACCTCCTGAGGAGCGCCAACGGCGCGACGCGGCCCGGCGGTCGCACATAGCAGCCCCCGGCAGGGCCTAGGGAACAGCGTGTGAGCTCTGGCGAACTATCATAGCCGCAGACTTGTCCATGCGAAAAAGGAGCGCAGATTAAATCCTGATGTCCGGAACGGACTTATATGTGTTGTACTGTTATGAAAAAAAACACACCAACACAACACGAGAGCTACGATCACCTCCTGAGGAGCGCCAACGGCGCGACGCGGCCCGGCGGTCGCACATAGCAGCCCCCGGCAGGGCCTAGGGAACAGCGTGTGAGCTCTGGCGAACTATCATAGCCGCAGACTTGTCCATGCGAAAAAGGAGCGCAGATTAAACCCTGGTGTCCGGAACGGACTTATATGTGTTGTACTATTATGAATCGTGCTACAAAATGCAGAACATGCTACATGCTGGTGCAGAATGCAGAATCGGCCCCAAAGCTGTGCACTGCGCCCGATGCAGGATGCAGAATGCAGAATGCAGAATGCAGAATCGGCCCCAAAGCTGTGAACTGCACCCGATGCAGGATGCAGATGCAGAATGCAGAATGCAGAAGCGGGCCCAAAGCTGTGAACTGCACCCGATGCAGGATGCAGATGCAGAATGCAGAATGCAGAAGCGGGCCCAAAGCTACAGCTGTGAGAGACGTGCAGGATGCAGGATGCAGAATGCGGAATGCAAAAACTCACCCACAGCCAGGAGAGAGCGGACAGAGTACCGATGCAGGATGCAGGTGCAGAATGCAAAAACTCGCCCAATATAGGTAGGAGAGGCCCAAAAAAGAGTCGTACAGAATGCACAATGCAGGTGCAGAATACAGAATCCCACCCAAGAGTGCACTGTGTGTGCAGAGAGGGTCTGTATGGTGCAGATGCTCTCTATACAGACTGTGTGCTGCATGCTACATGTCTCGATCATCGTCTCTAGGCATGCAGAGCTGTACAGACCTAAGCACGTACAAGCTGGTCGTCTCCGTGATGCGTGAACAATGCGGTCACTCGTATGGTGGTCATCACACAGCGCTCGTCAAGTTGCTCTCTTCGCAGCATGCCCCAACCAAGGATCCGAAGAGGTGCGCGCGGGGCGGCGGCGTGAGCACCCGCGCAGCGGTGCGGCGCACCTCGTCCGCCAGCCGCGCGTACTCCTCGGGGTTGGCGTCGTAAAATTCAATGATGCGCCGAACGGCGGCGAGGGCCTGCGCCTGCGAGACGGAGCGCGGCAGCAGCAGCTGCGGCGGCAGCAGCCGGTCGGGGTTCGCCTTCCCGCGCACCGAGATGGTCGGCACGCCGAGCAGCGACGCCTCTGCCGACACCTGGCCCGCCGACTGCTTGAGGTCGAGGTTCAGCACCCACTTGCAGCCAGAGAGGCGGCGCAGGTAGTCGGCCGTGTTCATCGGACCCGTGAACGACCAAGACTCGGAGTGCACGGCGCTGGCCCTGCTGCCGCCAGCCGGACCGCCTCTCGCCGCGGTCGGCACGGGCGCGTACCCCATCGAGACGAGCTCCGCCGCCGTCGCCTCGGCGTACATCGACCGCTTTTGCATAAAGAAGAGGCGGGGCTTGCCTCCCGGGAGGTCCGCGTACGGGTCAAAGAGGCGAGGCAGGTAGGGCGGAGCGAGGGGGTAGACCCGCGGGTCGGGCGAGTAGAAGTGCGCCACAGCGCATCTGGAGCAGCCGCCCGCGCGGCGCGCCGCCTCCAACGCCGTCTGAGGGTCTGCATAGGGCAGCGGCTCGTCGAGAAAGGTCACGACGCGCCCTGTCGTGCCGTGACCGAGGCTCTCCCTCTTGAGGAGCGGCGGGAAGGCGAGGACCAAGTCGTACCGCCTCGCTAGCTCCGCCACCCCGCCGGGTCTCTCCCAGTCGACCAGAGCCCAATCGACGCCGGCGCTCGCCCAGCCGAGCCTCTCGAGCGAAAAGGCAACCGGCAGGGAGAAGTTTTGAAGCAGTGCATGCACCGACGCGGCACGCGCAATATGCACAGGCGAGCCTGGAGAGAGTCTCGCATACAGCGAGCGGGAGCGGCCTGCAAATTTGCCGCCTCCGAGCCACTCGCGCGAGCTCTTGTCGGCGATGACGATTCGAGGGGAGGAGGTGGGCGAAACAATAGCTTCCGCCACGCTTTGCTGTGCAATAACGTGCCGGCGGCCAGTGTGGCGGGAGGCCGCCATAATCGTGGTGTCATTCTGCCAGCGGGGAAGAAGAGTAAGCGTCTCAGAGGACCGGCCAACGTGGCGCCTGCTGGAAATTAGCCGCGCTCGCTCAGCCGGTGCGGCGTTTGCAGCGATGAAGGCCAGCAAGACGGCTGTTGTACGCCACAGCATGCGAGGAGCGAGGAGCAGACGTTGCAATCGAGGCGTCAGCCTACGAGGCATTGCCTACGCGTTAGCATTGCCCGATTTCTTTTCTTTTTTTTCTTTTTTTCGTGCGCTCTCGCGGCCCGATCGGGGAGGTAGACCAACCTCCCTATGCCCTCCCCCTCGAGCGGCTTTGACCTCGCTGTCGCCTTTGCTGTTGCCGCCGCGGGCGCCGTGGCCGGTGCCGTCGCCGCGCTGCGCCTGCAGCGGCGCGACAACGAGCGGCTCGAGGCGCTGCTCGCGGCTCTGGTGAAGCAGCAGCCGCCGCCGCCGCACGCGCCGGCGACTCCGATGAGCTCGATGCCTCCCTCCTCCGAAGCGTCGCCTCCGCCCACGCCGACTGCCACGCTGAGCGCGTCGCCTCGAGTGAGCGCTGCAGCCACCGCAACGGCCCGCTCGCCCAGCGGGTCGCTGCCCTCGACGCCGCTCGTATCGCGCTCCTTCCAGCGGCCGCTGCCCGACCCGATGGCGGGCGAGGGCGGCGCGGAGGGCGGCGACGGCGGCACGCGCGGCTACTCGATAGTCATGCCGCGCGTACCGTCGCTCAAAAACATGGAGCAGCTCTCGGGGCAAATGAGCCTCGACCCAGTCAGCCTCTGCCTCGCCGCGGGCGGAGGAGAGCTCTGCTCCCAGCTCGGCCTCGGCACAGAGGACGGGTTCGCCAGCGGCACCGCCAACGGCAATAGCAATGGCCACGGCAATGGTAGCGGCGCCAACGCCAACGCTAACGGCTGCGGCAACGGCAGTGGCAACGGCAGTGGCAACGGCAGTGGCAACGGCAGTGGCAACGGCAGTGGCAACGGCAGTGGCAACGGCAGTGGCAACGGCGCCGCCAACGGCGCCGCCAACGGTGCCAGCGCATCCGCCAACGCATATGCCAATGGCTCGGCCGACGGCGTCGGCGCGAGCGGCGCATGCAGCGCGAGCGGCCGGGGCGGCGAGGGCGGCGGCGGCGCGGCGGGCGGGAGTGGGCTGTCGCCTCGCAGCCTCGAGTGGTGGGAGCTGCCTGCCACTGCCGCGAGTGGAGGCGGCGGCGGCGGCGCGGGCGGCGGCGGCGGCGCGGGCGGCGGCGGCGGCGCGGGCGGCGGCGCGCTCGAGTCGCTTCGCGAGCGGTCGCACAGCACAGAGCGCCGCTGGACCGGCTCTGGGGAGGAGGCGGAGGCGGAGGCGGAGGTGGGGGAGAGCTGCTCGGGACTCATCGGCGGCGGCGGCGGCGGCGGCTCTTTGGCCGGGCGGAGGCGGAAGAAGAATGCGGACGGGCCGCCTCCGCCGCCGCCTCCCTACGCGGAAGGGTCCGAGAAGCTTCCTCTCGGGTGGGACCGCGGCCCCGTCTTGGTTGGGCAGTGGGAGGACGGCGCCGTGCGGGGAGGCCGCCGCAAGAGCCGCGACATCGGCGGGGAGCCCGAGCCGCCTCCCTCGCCGTTTGCGAAGTTTGCGGATGCGACGGCCTGCGATCCTAGATGCGGAAGGACGGTCGGACCCGCGCGTCCCGACTAGCGCTCGAGACCACACGTAACGACACGTGTGCCGCTCTCCCGCTAGCTCTCCCGCTGGCTCTCCCGCTGGCTCTCCCGCTGGGTTGCGTATCCGCGCGAGGCTCCGAGTCCACTGCACGGCTGTCCAACGCTGACCTCGGTGTCTTCACGACGTAGGCCCTCGAGCGCGCGTGCCTCCTCACCGCGGACGGCTTCGAACCGCCGCGGCCCGAACTGCTGCCGGGTGAGGTGGGCGGGGGCGGGGCGGCGGAAAGCGGCGGCGGAGGCGGAGGAGGCGGCGGAGGCGGCGGCGGACTCAGTGAGCTGAGTCAGCGCTCGAGAGTCCTCCTCTCCCGCGCCACGCACGGCCCCGCCGCCGCGACCGCCTCCGCCTCCGCTTCCGCTGGGCGCGAGAGTAGCTCGAGCAAGGCGGGCTTGCAGCTGCTCAAGGCGACCGCGGACGAGGTGGAGCTGCAGGCGCCGTCGGACAACTACGTCATGTCGGCGCGCGCGCCCAGATGCGGAAGACAGACCCATATCTCCCCCATATCTCCCCCATATCTCCCCCATATCTCCCCCATATCTCGAGGCCTAGATGCGGGAGACAGACCCGTGTACTCCGACTCGCCCTCGAGAGGGCACGCCTTCTCAGCCGTATTGAACGGCGTTCCGCTGTGTTCGTAGCCCTTGTATTGACGCGATGCTCTCAGTCACACCGCGCGAGACAGGGGGGAGATATGGGGAGAGATGGGGAGATATCTCAGTCACACCGCGCGAGATGTCCTGACGCTGTTTTCATGACGCAGGCCCGCAAGGCGGAGACGCTGGTGCGGCTGATGTGGACCACACCGCCGTCGACTTTCCTGCTCATCAAGAAGCCGAACGCGCCCGAGGTGACATCTCGGCCGCACCTCGGCTGCACCTCGGCTGCACCTCGGCCGCACCTCGGCCGCACCTCGGCCGCACCTCGGCTGCACCTCGGCCGCACCTCGGCCGCACCTCGGCTGCACCTCGGCCGCACCTCGGCCGCACCTCGGCCGCACCTCGGCCGCACCTCGGCTGCACCTCGGCCGCACCTCGGCTGCACCTCGGCCGCACCTCGGCGATCTCCCAGGTGACCTCCGCCCTCGTCTCGCTCGCGGCGACGCTCTGCTCGGGGAGCCTCTACGACGGAGGCCATCGGCCGACGATCGTCGTCGAGCCGCCGGTGTACGCGGACCTGACCACCGCCGCCACCTTCCCTCCACGCTGGCGGACTTCCTAGACCTTTCCTAGACCTTTCCTAGACCTTTCCTAGACCTTTCCTACACCTTCCCTCCCCGCTGGCGGACCCTCGCGACGTGGCGGAGATGAGCCCGAGCCGAGCCGAGATGAGCCGAGATCGCGCGAGATTAGGCGGCCGCAGCTCGTGACGTGGCGGAGGGCCGTCGAGGGCGGGCGCGGCGGCGGCGGCGGCGGCGGTGACAGTGGCGCGCCGCCGGACGCGGCGCTGCTCGACGTCGATTCGCTCGCGGACAGGCGCGGCTCGACGAGCCCTACCGTGAGACACGTCCATGACACGTCCATGACACGTCCATGACATGCCCGAGACATGTCGCGCAGGGTCGACGTTGTCGTCTGCTTGGGCGGTGACGGCACGCTGCTGTGGGCGTCGTCGCTCTTCCCGCGCGCCATGCCGCCCGTCATCTCCTTCTCGATGGGCTCGCTCGGCTTCCTGTAGCCCGCCCCCTGCCCTCCGCCCGACCGCCCGCCTCTCATGCCGCCTCCTCTCATGCCGCCTCCTCTCATGCCGCCTCCTCTCATGCCGCCTCCTCTCATGCCGCCTCCTCTCATGCCGCTTCCTCTCATGCCGCCGCCTCTCATGCCGCCTCCTCTCATGTATGCCGCCTCCTCCCACGCCCGCCCTCCTCCTCCCCAGGACCCCCTTCCCGTACGAGCAGCACGAGGCGCAGCTCCGGCAGCTCATCCGTGGCGGCTGCCACCTGACGCCGCGCGTCCGCCTCTCGTGCCGCATACGGCGGAAGCGCGCCACCGGCGGAGGAGGCGACGGTGGAGGAGGCGGCGGCGGGGTGGGCCGCGCGGGCTTGGGCGGGGCGGCCGAGGACGACGGCGAGGAGTGGCTCGCGCTCAACGAGGTTGTGATCGACCGCGGCGAAGCGACCTTTCTCGGGTACGCGCCTCCCCCCTCGCCGCCTCCGCCCTCGCCTCCTCCGCCCTCGCCGCCTCCGCCGTCGCAGCCGCCCTCCCCACCGCCGCCCTCGCAGCCGCCTTCGCCGCCGCCGCCCTTACACCCGCCGCCGCCGCCGCCGCCCTCGCCGCCCTCGCTTCCGCAGCCCGCCCCGCCGCCGCCCGCGCCGCCGCCGCCAAGATCGCTCGACACGCGCTCGGCGGCCGGCGAGACCCGCCCTCCGACACGCCTCGATCCCTCGCCCAGCCTCGCCCGGCGGGCCGAGCCTGAGCGGAGAGAGTCTCTGGATAGAGTCTCTGCGGCTGATGGGTAGGATGCTCGAGCTCTACGTCGACGAGAGCCACGTGACCACGGCGCAGGCCGACGGTCTCATCATCGCCACGCCCACCGGCTCGGCCAGCTAGATGCGGACTCCGGTACTCCGCATTCCGACTCGCGGAGGACACGGCTTCGGGTGGCTCCAGCGCCACTGCTGCCGCATGCACCGCTTGCGCAGCCCTTGCATTCCCGCGATGCTCCGAACACACCGCCCGATGCCGAAGCCCCGCCCTCAGCTCGCCGTGTGGATGCACCAGGCTCCACCGCCTACTCGCTCGCGGCGGGCGGCCCCCTCGTCGCGCCGTCAAACCCTTCCATCCTGCTGACGCCCATCTGCCCGCACTCCCTCTCCTTCCGGCCGACCGTGCTGCCAGACTCGGTGGTTGTGCGCGTCGAGCTTCCCGAGGGAGCCGCGCGCCTCGGTGCCTTCTCCGCACCGTCGGGCAGAGCTCCATCGAAAGCTTCTCGGAACCTTGCCGTAGGCTCGCGCGTCTCGACGGCGCAAGTCTCATTCGACGGCCGCTGCCCGCAGACCCTCCACCCCGGCGATTGCGTCGTCGTCACAACGTCGCACTGGCCGGTGCCGGGCGTGTGCGCCATCGACCAGCACGCCGATTGGTTCACGTCGGTGCGCGAGAAGCTGCTGTGGAACGTGCGGGAGCTTCAGGAGATGACGGCGCCACCGCACGGCGCTGAGCGGGCCGCCGCTAAGTCGGACCGCCATCGGACCTTCCCCTGCATTTGAGACGCGCATGACCCCCCCCCCCCCACCCCACCCCCGCGCGACTCGTTAGTTTGCGCGTTTATTGGCATGTGTCCTCCTGTGTATATTCGTTGGCGTGTGTCCGTTGTGCATATTCGTGATCGTATATATCGGACACGGAGCCCCCCGAACTGGCGGGGGCTATAAGAGGGCTCCCGCGGCGATCAACACCGCAACTCCTTTTCTAAATTTCACCACTCTTCTTTCGAGACCCTCGAGCTCGGTCTGGATGTCCGCGAGGAGCGATTGCGGCGCGGGCGTGACCTCTGGGTTGCCCATCGCCTCGTTGAGCGCCGCGCGCACTGCGAGGTGGTTGTACACCACCCAAGGTCGCACGGCGACCACGTTTCGGCCGCGCAGCCACTTCATCAAGTTGTCACGGTTGCCGTCGGGGCCGACAAAGGCCACGCGAAAGTCGGTGCCCTTGAGCCACGCCACGCGGTCGCGAAGCGCCTCCCTCGCGCTGTTGGCGAGCGCCTTGGCCGCCGCCTTTGGGCCGTCGTGAGGGAAGTAGATCACGTCGCCTTTGAGCGCGCCGGGGCGCTCGGCACCGTAGTGCGTCGTCACCTTGGCGACCACATGGTAGAGCCGCACATCCGAGACCAGCAAGGCGGCGGCGCCCAGGGCCTTGCCCGCCTGCGCGAAGGAGGGATGGAGTCGAGGAATGAGCCCGAGTAGAAGGGGGATTGGGAGGGCAGGCTCGGTGACGGTGCGTGTCGCGTGTGTCTGCGTGTCGCCTTGCCCAGGTCGTTGAGCAACAACGTACTCGAGTGCATTGCGGAGCCCGTCTTCGACTCGACGCTCTCGCCCTCCATCATCGCGTCGACCTCCTCCCTGCTCTTGAGGTCGCCTGTGGCGAAGCTGCTCGCTGCGTCGATCATGTTGCTCTGCGTGCCGCCCTGCAGGCGCATGTACTCCGCAGCGGCCGCCTCTGTGCCTTTGCCGTCGAGCCCATCCCCTGCCGGCATAACGTCGCCCTTCAGGCCGGCGCCGCCGCCGCTGTCGCTCGTCTGGTACTTCGAGTCCATTGAAGAGATGTAGGCGTCCTGCGCCTGCTGCGTCTTGGTAATTGTGTCCACAAAAGAAAAGAAGGCGTTGCCCACCGCCTTCTGGGCGGCAGCGTTCTCTTCGGCCGCAGAGTGGTCGGAGGTCTGCCGCGGCGGCTTCACGGCGCCGGAAGCAAAGAGGAGGAGGCAGAGGGCGGTGAGGCCCGCAGCGAGCGACCAGGCCTTGCGAGGCTTCTGGAGGGGCACCGCGAGCATGGCAGCACCGGAGATGCTCAGATGCAACGAATGGCGACGACGGGCGCCCGATCATCACAGACACACTCTGAAATAAAAACGGACACCTTTCTACTGTGAGATGGGTAAAAAGGAACAGGCCCCCGCCCTTGCGATCTTTGTGCAGGGTTCTTTGTGGGTGTGGTCGGCGACTAGCCGGGGTCGTCCCCCTCCCGATGGGGGGCTAGCACTAGCCGTCTTCCACATGGTCCCTCGGGTCCCTGCTGCTCCTAATTAATCTCGTCGTACATCCTCCTGCTGATCTCCGCAAAGTCCTGCTCCCTCCCTCGTCTCGCCCTGCGCGTCTGCTGCGTCTCACCGTCTTCTGCCCTGCGTCGTCTGGCGACGGGTCCTCCATAGTCGGTCGAGGTCGCCGCCCTCCTCGTGCCTCTTCCCAACGTTCCGCCCTCGGCGGCCGAGATGCCGTCTGTAGGGGGTGGACGCCGCCCCAAAATCCACCACTGTGGGATTTCGCGCAATCGCTTGACTATGAAAAGCTCGCCGATCCCTGCGGTGAGCGCTGTGGTCGCCGCAGACTGGTTCCGACTTGACGGGCGCATGGAGACGTGATGCCTCCATGCGCCCGTCGCGTCGAAATCGACATGCGAGTCGATCTTTGGCCCGCCAGAGGGATCAGCGGCGTTTTGGGCGACAAACAGCGCTGCGACCGCGAAGTGGCGGTGGACATGCTCCCATGTTGCCGACGCGGCGCCGGAGTGGCCGGCGCTGCTCGCCGCGACCACGACGGCTACTCTGATTCTCCGGGCCGACCCGTCCTACCCGACGGTGGCACTCTTCCACGTCTCGCTCACGCTGAGAAAAATTCTGAAACGGCGTGCAGCAGAGTCACCGACGAGTCGGTCCGCGTGACTCCTCGCGTCCCGTACCGTTCTCACACATCCATAAACTCACTTTGGCCTCACTGAAGCGATGCCTCAATCCTGAATCCTGAGATTTTAGATTAGGACGCTGTCTACCCCCTACCGTCTGCTCCGGCTCCCCAGTCCCCGGGTCCGGTCTGCCCTGCTCTCGTCTGCGCTAGTTTCTGCTTCGTCATCACCGGCGTCTCTCCTCTTCTCAGACACACTGGCAGAAATTACGACAATAAATCCCGGCCCAGGCCGTGCAGTAAATTTCCAATGAAAATCGGCGCCGGACGCGTCCTAACATCTACCACGTCGCCTATGAAGGCATGATCCCCGCCAGCACAGGTGCGGTGTGGGCGCGGGCCGAGGCGAGGTCGAACGCGGTGGCGTGGGCGGCGGCGACGAGTGCAGACCGAGCGTGCTCTGTGCATTTGGCCGCTAAGAGGTATGTTCAGCCGCTCGGCAGGCGCGCGATTGCCGTCGCCGCCGCGTTCCACCACTCGGACGCGTTCTGCTCGGCCGTGCCGCCGTCGGAGGCCGGCCGTCGGCGACCGCGCTCGCGACGACGGTCCACGGGCTTGACTGAGCTCATGCCCGGATGTGCAGTTTGGCGGCGGCGCGACGCGGGTCGCGGTTCGCGCGGTCGCGCGGTCGCTTGGAAGGTTGGTGTGGGCGTCGACGGCTCGCGCGCGGTCGCCGGTCGCTTAGAAGGTCGGCGGACAGACCAGTCGGGCGAGCGACGATGCCGCTGCGCAATTCATGCACAGCATCGCTCTGCACTCCAGCTCCCGGGTCGGGGGTCGCTGACCTACAACCTCTGACGAAGACCCCTCCCTCACCAGCACCCGAGCACGATCTCCATGCGCGCGCGCCCCTCGGCGTCGCCCGCCGCCGCCGCCGCCGCCTCGTCCTCGCCGACGACGCGGTGGATCATGTCCCACCGCGCCTTGCCCGTCAGCACGAGCAGGTCGCCCGGCGCGAGCGTCACGTCCACGCACGGCTCCGGCTCCTCGCCCGCATCGTACTTCATGCCGTCGAGCTCTCCCTCGGTGTTCTCCGCAAACTGAATGCGGCCCGCCGTGCCCAGGCCCACGATCATCGTCGACGCGCCGTTGGCCTCGATGTCGCGGTGCCACGGGAAGCCGGCGCGCGGCGCCTCGATGTCGCGGACTTGGTAGCGGTTGAGCGTGAGCCGCCACTCGAGAGGCCTGTCCGTCTTCCGCCCGCGCTGGCTTCGCCCTTCGAAGACCTCACGCTGCACGGCGGGCAGCGCCTCGAGCCACTCGACGACGGGCAGCACCAGCGACGGCAGGTTGCGATTGCCGCGGAAATACGTGAGCTCGTGGCCCTCGCCGTAGCTCTTGAAATGCTCGCAGTTGAGCGAGCGGCCAGCGTCCGGCAGCACGACCGAAACGTACTCCTCGCGCTGGTTGCGCAGTTGTGCTGTGGCGACACACTGCTCTGTGGCGAGGCGGCGGCCAGCTCGGAGACGGCGTCGGCGAGTTTCCATGCCCGCGGGAAGAGTGCGACCGGGTCCTCCACGAAACTGCGCCACACGAGCAGACCCGGCGCGGCAGCGAAGGTGAACGCGTCCTGTGAAGCGGCACACGTCGCCAAGCGCAGGGGGCCGTGCTGGGCCATCAGCATTGACGACCGCATCAACGGTGCACGGAGGACGTGCATCGGCGTCGCCCCGCCTCTACAACTCAGCGGCCAATGTGGTGAGCGCGCTTGGTGGGAAAGAATTCTAGAATGAAAGCCCCTCTCACAGCAGACTGGCACGAACTAGCACGACCACATTGGGAAAGAAGACTCAGGGGTTCGGGCGGGCCCGCGCTGCGCAAGCACGGCATGCCCGGCGGGGGAAAAGATGAACGCACGCTGGGCCTGGACCATGAGAACGTCGCTCCAAGACAGCGCCGTGCCCGCAAGAGTTCGCATTATAGCAGGCAGGCGGGGCGTACGAGGTGACATCGTGGCGCCGACCGACTGTGTGCGCAGAGGGCGCAGACACAGCCGACACGCGTGGACACCGACAGCGACGGAACAGACCGTGCACAAACGTAACTGTGCCTGGGTACGAAGGTTTGGAGGGAGCGGCGGAATCTAAATCACGCCACGGCCCTCGACCCTTTGCATCGACATGAGGGCCGCGCTGCAACGCGCGCACGCCTCGCATTCGACGCGAGCGCAAAAGCAGACGCGCTCGAAACATGACATGGCGAGCGAGTCCGGACAGCCCTTCTGGCGGACTTGCTCAGGGCCGCTCGAAGCCGTGCTTCACAAACTTGGCCGCGTGTCCGGGCTTCATCTCCGCGGCCTCGGCCACCTCTGCCCGCTCGGCGGCGTCCATGCTGCCGAGAAACTCGATGTCGTCGAAACCCTCGTCGTCAAAGGCGGCGACGTAGGCCTGCAGCCCGACCCGCGCAAGCGCCGCGGCGACGGCCGCCATGCCGCCCGTGGGGGGAGGGGGCGTCTCCCTCAGGACGATGCGGCCGTCCGGCGTGACCGTGTAGAGGCGGCTCGTGAGCGGGGAGGGGTCGGGAGGGGCGGCGACGGAGGCGGCAGGCGTGGCGGCGGGGGTGGTCTTGGCGGTCTTGGAGGTGGCGGTGGCGGTGGAGGGAGGGAGGGAGGCGGGGAGCGAAACCACCGAGGGCCCGCCGGTGGCGTGGCTCGAGCGCCGCTTCGATGGCGGCGCGTCTGTCGGCTCAAGCGAGCGCTTCGCGGGGCGGGGCTGTGCGCCGCTGCTGCCGCTGCCGCCGCTGCCGCCGCTGCCGCCGCTGCCGCCGCTGCCAGTGCGGCCACAGACGTGCTTCCTGTGCCTGCCCAAGCAGGCAAAGCACCGAACTCGCCCTGCCGGATCGGTGGCCGTCATCAGCGAATCTCCTCCGTCGGCCTCCCGCTCGCACAGGGCGCTCTCCCAAAAAGCGGCGACGAGCCCAGCCTCCACCTCGCTGGCTCGCTGCCAGCCAGCCCCCGCCTCGCTGCCGCTGCCGCCGCTGCCACTGCCGCCACCGCGGCGCGCCGCATCCGCCGCCGCCGAGGCTGCGTGCCCGCGCCCGCTGCGGCGAGCTCCGATCCCCGCTGCCGCGTCCTCCACCGCCGCCGCAAGCGCCGCGTCCTCCTCCTTGGCCGACGGCTGCACCGCCTCCTCCGACCCCTCCGCCGCCTCCTCCCCCATGCCCGCCTGCGGCACGCTCCGCTTGCTTCGCCGGACGGGGCCTGCCGACTCGGCTCCCGCCGCCGCCGCCGCCGCTGGCTCAGCGACCGCCCGCGCACGTGCGACCGCCGCCTCCACCGCCGTGTCAAAGGTGCCGATGAGAGTGCGGCGTCCGCCCACCCAGCGCTCCGCTCGGAAGCGGCCCTGGTCCTTGACCACGCCCTTGTAGCCGGTCGAGTTCTTGTCGGACAGGTGCAGCTGCAGCCCCTCCGACTCCGTCGCCACCGTCGGTGCCTGAGGCTCCGGCGCCTCGCCGACCGCCCGCGCATAGGCCACCGCCGCCTCCACCGCAGAGTCGAAGTCGCCGAGCCAGATGGTCTGTCCGCGCGCCTTGTACTCCACACGGAAGCGGCCGGCGTTGCAGCCCTCCCCTTTGCGCACCAGCTTGTAGCCGGTGCTGCTGCGGCTTGACAGGTGCAAGCGCAAGCCCTCCGCCTGCGCCACCACCACCGGAGCCGGCGCACCCTCGTCGTCCGCCACCGCTATCAGCGCCGCGTCCTCCTCCTTGGCCGACGGCTCCACCGCCTCCTCACACCCCTCCCCTGCCCCCTCCATACCCGCCTGCGACACACTCCGCTTGCTTCGCCGGACGGGGCCTGCCGACTCGGCTCCCGCCAGCAAAACTCCCATCGACTCAGCTGCCGCCGCATCCGCTGGCGCCGCTGACGACGCCGCTTGGCTGTCCGCCAAGTCGAGCTCCTCCTCACACGCCACTGCCCCCTCGATCTCCGCCGCCCGGCGCTGCATCTCCACCTTCAGCGCCGCCACCAGCACCCGCAGCTGCGCCAGCTCCTCCGCGCTGGTGGCGAAAATCGATCCCGAGCGCGCCACCTCGGCTAGCATAGCCGTCGGAGGCAGGGAAGCAAGCGCAGGCTCTGCAGTCTGCGTGCTGAGCGATTGCGTGAGGTCGGCGGCAGCGTCGGTGGCGTCGGAGGCGGCGTCGAAGGCGGCGTCGGAAGCGGCGGCGGCGGCGGCGGTTGCGGCGAGGGCGGCGAGGGCGGGGGCGGCAGCGGCCGATGCACCCACGGTGTCGACGGGTCCTCGCTTCGCCGGCGGCTCGTTCGACGAGCTCGCGACGCAGCCGCGCTTGCACCCCGATCCAAGCTCGTCCGCCTCCCAGCGTGCGCTTTGCGCGGCCTCCGCCTCCGCGGCCGCCTTCGGCTCGCATGTGGAGGAGGAGGAGGCGGAGCCGTCCGGGAGGTGCAGCTCAGCGAAGCTGCCGACGTTGAAGAAAGTGCCGTCCGTCGTGTCGAAGGAGAGCTCGGCCGCCGTTCGCCCCGACGGCTTGCTTCTGGGGGGCGGGTACGCGTGCACGACCGACGGCTGAAGGCGGAGGCGCGTGATGGCTCGAAAGGGCGCCGTGAAAGCCGCGCAGACGGGCCGCGCCCCGCCTAATGTTGAAGTTCAGAATGAACAAGCAGTTTGCGGGGCCGTGGAGGCGCAGCACACAAGGGCCACAGACCTCCTGCGCAGATGGCCTCCATCTCGGCGGCGGTGGCGATCTCGGGCGTGATCAGGAGCTTGAGCAGCGAGCGGCCGACCCCGCACCGGTCGGAGAGCGCGCAGTCGCCGAGCCGCAGCGAAAAGTGAGCGGTGCCGCCGCCGCCCGACCGGTCCGGCACGACCGTCACCGGGGCAGCAGGGAGGAGGGCGGCGCGGGAGTGGCGGCCCGGCGGGGCGTCCAGCAGCGGCGCCTCCCCCGGCTTGGAGACGAGGAGGTGCGGTTTAGCGAACGCGGCGGCGGAGGCGGTGTCGTCGACGATGAGTGTGGCCTTGAGGGCGAGCTTCTCCGGGAGCCGCCCCCCGTCGGGCGGGCGGACGCGGACACGCAGCGCGAAGGAGGCTTGGTTGGAGAGCACGCGGACCCTCGTCCACGTCAGCGCCCGATCCACGTCGAGCCGGTGCCACTCTTGCGCGTCGACGGTGAGAGAGAGGCCCTCGTAGGGCTCGCGGTTGGCCGGCAGCACCGCCTCCTCCACTGCCTCCTTTGGGCCGAGAGCCTGCTGTGGGCCGAGCGCAACCGCTGGGCCAAACGCGACCGTTGGGTCGTGCGCCTCCGCACCGCCGTCGACATCGAGCGCCTCCTCGCAGAAAAGCTCCGGGTTGAGCGCCGACGCCGCCGCCGGGAGCGCAGCTTCCTCCTCAGCTTCTTCCGCCGTCGCCGGCGCCGCCGCCTGCCCGACTGCCCGCGTGAACACCACCGCCGCATCGTCCGGCAGAGGCGTGCCGGGAGGCGTCCCAGGGGGCGTCCCAGGGCCCTCGTCTCCATCCGCCGAGTCGTCAGCGGCCACCGCCTTCGCGTACGCCACCGCCGCCTCCACCGCCGTGTCGAAAGTGCCGATGTTGACCGACGTCCCGCCCACCGTGTGCCGCACCTGGAAGCGGCCAAAGGGGGTCTTGACCACGCACTTGTAGCCGGTGGCGCTCCTGCTCGACAGGTGCAGCTGCAAGCCCTCCGCCTCCGTCAGCACCGGCGCCGGCGCCTCTGCTGCCACCGGCACCGGCGCCTCCTCCTTCCGCTCGTCCTCGGGCGCCTCGCACTGCCTGTGAGCCGGGTCCGGGTGCATCCAGCAGAACCAATCGGCAGGCAGCGGGCGGGGCGTTCCGGTGGGCAGCCGCCGCCACGTGTCGCACCGGTCGCAAGCGACCCAGAGGCAGGAGGTCGTCTCGCCCTCGCCCTCGCCCTCCGTCACCACCGGAGGAGGAGCCGAGGGCTGCTTGTACTCACCGACCGCCCGCGCGTACGCCACCGCCGCCTCCACAGCCGTGTCAAAGGTGCCGATGGTGACAGTCCTTCCGCCCTTTTGGCGCTGCGCCACGAAGCGGCCGAGCTGCGTCCCGGTGCCCTTGACCACCCGCTTGTAGCCGGTGGAGGTCTTGTCCGACAGGTGCAGCTGCAGCCCCTCCGCCTCTGTCGCCACCGGCGGTGCTTGCACTGCAGCGGCTGCAGCCCGGTGGCCAACCGGGCCGCGGCCGGGGCGCGACTCGCTCTCCCAAAAGGCGGAGACGAGCCCAGCCTCAACCTCGCTGGCTCGCTGCCAGCCCGCCCCCGCCTCGCTGTCGACGTAGTACTGCTGGAAGGTGTCCACGACCCGCTCCGCCATCACCCGCGGCCTTGGCTCCGGAGCGCTCGCGGCCAGTGCCTGCTCTGCCGCTGGCCCCGCCGCCGGCCCCGCCGCTGCCTCCGCCGCCGGCCGTGCGTCGATGTAGCCCCACTCCCAGTCCTCGGCCTCCAGCAAGTGGCGCAGAGTGTCGCCGTCGTCGTACCGGATCGTCTGCCCGTCTGCAGCAGAGCTACTGACCACGCGCCCTTTGAACCAGCGCCCCTCAGCCGGCCAATAGACGCGAATCCGCCGGCCCGGCAGCGGCGGCGGCGGCTCCTCACCGCTCCCCGCCGCCGGCTCTGCCGGCGCCTCGGCGGACGCCGCCTCCGACCCGCCTGCCTCCTCCTCTATGGCCGCCTGCGCCAGGCTCCGCTTGCTTCGCCGGACGGGGTCGGTAGACTCTGCGACCGCCCGCGCGTACGCCACCGCCGCCTCCACTGCTGTGTCGAAGGCGCCCTTGTAGATCCTCCCATTCACCACGCGCGTCGCCACGAAGCGGCCGGCGTGCGGCCCGTGGCCCTTGGACACGCCCTTATAACCGGTGACGCTGCTGCCGGACAGGTGCAAGTGCAGCCCCTCCGCCTCAGTCACCGGCGCCTCTGCGGCCGCCGGGCGCGTCGCAACTGGCGCCAGCGGTCCGGCGGCTGCCGTGGCCTCCACCCCCGTCTCCTCTCCCTCTTCCTCCGCCTCCGCCGCCGCTGGCTCGCCGACCGCCCTCCCCTTGTAGCCGGTGCTGCTTTCGCTCGAGAGGTGGAGCTGGGTGACAGGAGTCTCCCCCGCCGCTGCCGCAGTCGCCGCCGCCCCTGCCTCCTCCTCCTCTCCCTCCGATGCCTTCTTCGGCGGCGGCGCGCTCTGCACCGGGAGGATGGCGGGGTAGACCTCTTCGTCGCCGGCCGCGACCGCCGGCTGCGTCGCGGCAGCCGGCTCGTCCTTTTCCTCTCTCTCCAGCTCCATCGGGCAAATTGCGCCGCTTCCCGCCACCGCACCGTCGGCCTCGCCGCCGTCGCCGCCGCAATCGCCGCGCCTTCGCCACGTCGCTCCGGATTCGCCGCGTCGATTAGCCTCCATCAGTCTCAACGAGATGGCTCTTTTGTCGGCCATTCTGTAGTTGTGCGAGGGAGTTTTGTTGTAAAATTCTGTAGCCCATTCTGTGCCGTACGAAAGTGTGAACAGGTTGGAGCAGCAGCTCCTGAGCACGCGCCGCAGGCGCCTGTTGACAGGTCCAGGTGATAGCCCTGAATGGGCAATGCATACGCCTACCTGGGCCTCAGATCGCCCGACCGCGTCCCGGTGCTCTGCGTTCGGATTTGTGACGCCGCCGCACCCGCCGCGGCCGGGGGCCCTCCGGAGGCCGAGGATGGCCGTGGCGGACCGGGATGAGCTCTGGGAGGTGAAGTGTCAGTGTATATATTGTAGAGACCAATCATGTTCACAATATCTCTCAGTCTAGCTAAGCCTGGGAAGGCGATGCCGGGGCCGTACAGCAGCTTGATGGTGCTTCGCCGGCGTGCGTCCCGGAGCGGGGCCGGACGGGCGGTCCGGGGGAGAAAATCGGGGGACAAAGCCGACGGCGCTCTGATTCGAAATTTAACTTCAAACAAAGACAGTGGCACGCGCCGCACTGCGGCGCGTGCCACTGTCAGGAGCGGATCCGTCAGTTAGTTGTGTTCACGCCGGGATCGTGTCCCCGACAACCTGTGCAGACTTTAGGCTACAACAGTAAAGCCGATGGCCGGGTTCGGCACCTAAGCAGTGTGGGGGGTTGCGCGACTTTAGCGGAAAATAAATTCTTTTCACGCGGCACGGCGCTTCCTGGCGTGCGCGGCCACCGTCTCCTCTGGTGATTTTTCGTGGTTGCCGGCTCCCTCCCCCCCCAGGCGGCACTCAATGGTCTTCTGCTTCTTCCCGTCCGAGCCACCCGAGTCGGTCAAGTCCAAGGGCACCCGCGGCCAGCGCGACGCGCTCATTCTCGAGAAGCAGAACCACCCGCACGTATTTGCGCTCGGACTCAAGGACGCTGCGTGCAAGGCGCCTGTTCTCGCACCGCTTTTAGATCGCACTCGTGCGCCACCATCTCTTCTTCCACGCTCTGGCACTACCACAGCGCAGTCTGAACAGCCGCCGCCGCCGCCGCACATCGCAGGAGCCGGGCTGTTTCATTCTCTCTGCCTGCGGCGCCTTGGGTGGCTGCACGGCCTGCTGGGCTCGCAAGGCCGTCCTCGAGAAATACGCCAACGGCAGTGGCGGCGGCACGGGCCTCTCGGTCTCACCACGGTGGTTGTCCGGATCCTGCTCAATCTGCCGCATTATAGGCCTCGACGACTACCGCTGCTGCCAGGGGTATGTTGGCGCTTGCTGCTGCGTCGAGCCGCCCGAGTGCCGCGGTGAGGCCATCCCCCCTCTCCTACCCCAACATCACGGTACTCGCATCCACACACTCGCACCTCTCCGCAGGCTCGCCCGCCGCCCTCTTCCTCGAGGGGTGCTGCTGCCCTGTCTTTTCTCTCTCCATCGCGCGCATCCATCTGATGGACAAGAAGCAGGCGGCGCGAGATTGGCCGAGAACCCGAGGAGCCGGTCAGTAAATGCCGGCCCGTAAACGACCACTCTCCCTCTCCTCCACGAATGAGCAGGTGCGCCCCGACCCGTGCGACTACCAGCTCATCGCGTGCTCCAACTGCCTCCAGCTGCTCGCGTGCGTGGTGGACATCGTCGCCATGTTCGACGAGCGGGCGACCGAGCTGGCAAACCTGATCGACTGTGCCGCCGACTGCTTCACCTGCAGTGTTGCCGGCTGCATGGGAGCGCAGATCAAGCACGAGATGGACAAGGACCAGCACGGCGTCGTGTATGCGGTCGCCGTCCCCACGCCCATGTCGGTCGCGCAAGCGCACGGCGCGCGCCTCCCTCTGCCTCCCCCCCCCCCCCCCCCGATAGATGCGCACACCGGTGGGGCGCCCTCTTTGGGGAACGAGACGAAGCTCAGACGCTCACTTGTCGGCAAGCGCCATCGCTGCAGCCCCCTTCCGAGTCCGCCAGCCCGTCTCGCTGCTTCTTCACTTGCCCGCCTCTTGCCTTGCCTCTTGCCCGCCTCTTGCCTTGCCTCTTGCCCGCCTCTTGCCTTGCCTCTTGCCCGCCTCTCGCCTGCGGGCCGCAGGCGTGCCGCGAATCATCAAGACAACTCGGCGATATATGCGTGTCTGCGCTAGGCATCCCCGTCGTCGCTGTCGGCAGCGAGTCCGCGCCGCCGCCCGCTCCGTTGATGCCGTCGCCGCCGAAGGGCACCGAGCCGCCGAGATGCAGAGGCCGCGTGCGACGTCCACACCGATGCATTTGTGTCCGTAGGCGCCAAGAGCTTGCCCGTGGTGGCAGTGCAGCCGGCAGCTGAGTCGATGGAGCGCTGAGCGCCCGCGTCATTTTGCCTTTGGCGTGGCCGAGGAACCCGCGGCGTGATCGGTAGACTCTCTTCGCCGTTTTGCTCACGGCACAATGCGCATCGGCCGGGGTACGGGGGGAAGCGCGACGAAGTCGCGCAAGTTTCTCTATACCGTACTCCCGGAATCACGAATCAGCCCGCTCGGGAGGTGCAGGCGAGAGTCGCGATCTATACGCACTAAAAGACCAGTGAACTTTCGTACACGAAAGCAAATTCATACACGGGTTACGCTGCGCAGGTTACACGGCATTCGACAAAAAAGCAGTCCTGGGAACAGAGTGCTCGAGACCAGACCCCACTCTCGCCTTCTCGCGTCGGTTCTCCCCCTGTGTGGTATGGCAGAGATTGGCAGCTCCCTCACAACACATTTACCACCGGCGTCCGAGCCGCAGCCTCGTCCCGCGGCCACAACGTCTGCCGCCCGCCTCGGCTCCACATGTGGTAGGCGATGGTCGCCGCCTCGGTGCCGGCGCGGATGTTGTACAGGACCACCGCCAGCTGCCAGCCCCTCACAAGCAGCGCCCTTCCCGGCGGCACCGTCGAGTAGGCGAGGTTGAAGAACAGCAGGCTCGGCCAGGTGCAGCCGTCGGCGGGGTTGAGGTTGTCCATGACCGCGATGGGGAAGAAGCCCACCATGTAGATGAAGACGAAGAAGAGGGGCTGCACCGTCGCCATCATGAGCATGATCCCTCTGATGCTGTAGCCCGTCGGGCTCAGGCGGCGGAGGGAGAGCTCGCTGTGCGGCACGAGCCCGGTCGCGAGCTGCAAGCCCTGGTGGCAGGCGCAGTGGAGGCAGAGGAGCACGAGGAGCACGATCCAGCTCAGGGTGAGCACCGTCCAGCCCAGCGACAGGCCGTCCACCAGCTGGAGCTCTGGGTGGAACGTGTAGAAGACAGTGACCGCGCAGAGCGTCCACCACGCCAAGCTGCACAGGAGCAGCCCACCGGAGATGGTCAGGTGCTTCAGCCACCGCGGCGTGTCGGCGACCACCCGCCGCTCGCGCAGGTCCCACTCCCACCGACCCGTCGGCGGGAAGAGGAGCGAACCGACGGGCGCGCGCAGCAGGTGCGACGCTCCGCGCTGCCAGATCCAACCGAGCGCAGCCAGCACGGACAGCGGCATGGTCGCCGGCCCCTCGTCGCCCGCGCGGCCGCGCAGCAGTGGGAGCAGCGACTTCTCCTGCAGCCACTCGCACAAGCTCTTGCCGCCCACCGCATCGCCCGCCGACGGCGACTTTTGCGCCGCAAAGTAGGCGGAGAAGGCGACGCCCTGCACGTACGCCTTGTCGGAGCGACGGTCGGTGAGCGCGTCGAGCGCCTCGAGCACAACGAGGCTATCGCGCCGGTCGTAGGCGGGCAGCCATGGCAGCGCGTTGCGAAGCAGCAGCTCGCCCGCCTTCGGGGCGAGGCCGGCTCGCGTCGCCGTCAGCCGCGCAGGCTCTGCCAACGAGCGCCTCGCCCGCGCGTCGGCGTGTCGCATCCCCTGCGTCATCGCAAGGAGGACCGCCTGGCCCGAGCTGGCGAGCGAGACCTGAGTGCCCCATGCCGTCGAAAACAGGTCGAGCAGGAGAATCTCGTAGACGATCGCCACTGGCCAGCAGAGCACGATCCACAGCAAGATGGACGCGTTGGCGATCCTCAGGTCGGTGATGTCGCACGAGTGGGCCACGCCGGGCAGCCACGGCGTCCGCTTGCCGAGCGCCAGCAGCATGCGCTGGCTGAGCGACAGACCGACGCCCGCAAGCCGGACAGGAAGCTGCCGCTCCTCGACGACGGCCGCCTCGAACGTGCACCAGAGCCGGAACTGATAGTCGCCGAGTGCGCGCTGACTCGCGCGCGGCAACCAGATGACCTCGCTGCAGCACTGCGTCACGGCGCTCAGCGTGTTGCAAAAGTGCACGTGATCGTACTCGACGCCGGCGCGGTAGCACGGCGCGTCCAGCCACAGGCCGCGGAGGCCGGCCTGCTCTGCCACCTCGACGACCGAGGCGAGGGCGGCAGAGTCCAGCGTCGGCCCCGTCGAGAGCTGCCCGTCGTTGCCTGGCCCGGCGCGGTGCTGCCGGTACGAGACCAGCGCGAAGTGCGTCGAGGCGGGATCGACCACCTCAAGGACGCCAGTGTCGAGCAGGCTGAGGCGGCATGCGGGGTCGAAGAGCTTCGTGAGCATAGCCGGTGCGCCGTGCACTCTCAGGGCTGAGCTGAGCTTTGACACGACTAGCAGGTAGACCAGTGGCTGGTCGCGGGGCTCAGTAGACGCCTTTCGGGTCAGCCGCTCAGAGAAGGGAGGCTCTCTCGCCTTTCGGGTCAGCCGCTCAGAGAAGGGAGGCTCTCTCTCATTGCCGCCGCCAGCCTTCCGGGTCGGCGGCTCAGGCACTGGAGGCTCTCCCGCATCGCCGATGCAAACGTTGGTGCAATCCTCGACCTGCACAGCTTTTGAGGTGTACCTCCGCACGAGCAGCACTCCGGGTATGAGGAACAGCTCGACGATGGGTCCGACGACGAAGATCGAGCTGATATCCTCAGCGAGCACTAGCGGCACAGTCGCAGCGGCGGTGACTATGGCTTGCGTGACCGTCCATCCGAGTCCGTTCTTGACGCCCTGCCACATGCGTGCTGCGTGTGTTCCGACGGTCAGGAGCGGCAGCGGCGGCCGCAGCGGTGGCGGGCTGCGCCAGGCAGCAAGGAAGTGCGATTGCACGGGTCTGTATTCTTTTTTTGCTAGCCCGTACGTCATGCCGGGGTAGGTAGGGTAGGTCTGGGCCCTCCCCTCGGGTTTTTCCCTCTCTTCACGCCGGAATTTTCACAGCAGAAAAAGAATTTTTCCGCTTAAATCACGATGTCAACCCTCCCCAAGTCGTTGATCTGGTGCTTGTAGGGCTTGAGAGATTTTTAGCAATACCAAACAACTCTAACATTTTCATGTTTTAGGGCTTGAGAGTGGCCTTCATTGTCACTTGAGGGACTATGGTTGCAGGAGAGTAGGAAGTTCCTACCAACCACCAACCATCACTTTAATTGAAAGAGTTCCTACCAACCACCAACCATCACTTTAATTGAAAGAGTATAGGACGATCTTGGTGTGAGGGATCTTGTAGATGTCCTCGGTTTTATTTATCTAATTCATTGCCCTTGGACGCCGACTTACCCACCGTCTCCCTCCTCCCTACCCACGCTGAGCATCTGCAGCTGCGTGGCCAGCGCAATCACCTGCGTCTCGCATCTTTGGAAGGCGCTGCTCGCGGGCACCCACAGCCCCTTTATGGTCTTCTGAAGCGCGACGATGCCCGCGAGGCTGTCGTGCGCGGCTCTCGCGGGCACAAGCCTCGCAAGGACCTCCTGCTCCGCGCCATCGCCAGCTGCCCTCGCCTCGGCGAGCTGCGCCTTGAGAGCTCGCACCTCCGCCTTCCTCTCGCCAAGCGCTGCGATGTTCTTGCGCAGGGTCGTCATCGCGGCCTTGCCCTCGCGCGGCGCGTCGTCAGCAACATGCGCCGCCTGCCCGGTTCTTGCCAGCTCATCGAGCCGCGTGCGGGCCGCAGCCAGTTCCGCCGCCACCTGCGCTCGCTTTGCGCCCACGTCCGTCGGCGCGGCGACCGCCGCCGACGTGCGCACGCTCGAGAGTCCTTGGCCAAAGCGCAGCGAGCAGATCGTCTCCTCTGCGTGCGCCTCCTCGCTGGCCACGTTGACCACGACGGCGGTGCACGACGGCCCGTCAAAGGAGGAGCGCAGTAGCATCGTCAGCGCCGAGTCGCGGTACGAGACGTGCGCAGACCGCTCGTTGAGCTCCTTCACCACCCTGCCGAGGGCCGTGAGCGATTGATTGATGCTGGCCGCTTCCTTTTGCCGCGGGCCCGCCGCCAAGCTCTTGGCGATGCGCTCAGAGCCCGCAAGGTCGACAAACAGCAGCGTGCGCTTCTGCGACCTGCCGCCTCTCTCCACGTGCGTGCACTGCACTCTAATCAGGCAGTGAGAGCGGGAGGATCGGTCGTTGAGCGCGTGGCTGTGCGCGACTCGCTCCGCCTCTACCAGACGCGCGAGCCTGGCGATGTCCGTCGGAGACTTGATCGGCCACTGCGTCTCGCCCTCCGTGCCGAACTCGTCGCCGCCCTTCCTCGAGGAGGACGCGCCCTGGCTCGCGGTCTTGCTAGCAGAAGCCGCGTGCCTCCTTGCCGCGGGGCCGACCAGCCCCTTTGTCTTTTGAAAGCAGTGGAAGCAGCTGCAGCCGCTCGGGTGCAAGCCGCCCACGATGACGGCGTGGCCCGACAGGACGGGCGCCTTGCCCATGTCCGCCACAACGATGGTGCCGCGCCCAGCGCCCCTCGCGGAGCCGACCTTGACCGGCTTGCGCGCATCGAGCAGGTCATACACGTGCTCCATGTAAATTTCGACAGCGCTCGCGTGGAAGGTCGCGCCGGCAAGCTCTGGCGCGGCGAGCAGCGCAATCATTGCGCGCGGAAATATGCCCCACAGAGCCGGCACGGCGCCAGCGGCCTGCTCGAGCGAGGCTTCGGTGAGCGAGCCGGGCGGGCCCAGCATGGTGTATGTCTTGCCGGAGCCCGTCTGACCGTACGCCATGAGGGTACACGCGATGCCGCCTTGAATGAATTTGCGCGTCAGCTCCGATAGCAGCGCGTCCACGGAGGCCTGCTCGGAGCCTGTGAGCACCGCCGCGGGAAACGCGAATGCGTTGCCACCGCATGTGACGCCGCCTCCCTCGGCTGGCGCGACGGCGGAGCCTCCTGGACGAATACGCACGCTCACGGCGACGGGGTGCTGCTGGCCGACGTTCTGAGAACGCTGGTTGGCAGCCATCGCCGCGGCGGCGGCGGCGAGCTCTTTCTGTGGCCGTGACGCGAAACGAAGTCCGTCCTCCCCCGCCCGCCCCATCCCGCCCCGCCCTCGCCACTCCCGTGGTTCTCTCACAAAATACGCACACAAAGAAATAACGTCGGGGCCCTCAGCTGAGCTGGGAAGAGGACCGCCGCAAGCGGCGCGGCGTGGAGCGGTTGAGCATCCCTCCGGGGGCCCCTCTGCGCCGGGGAGGCATTGTTGGAGGCTAGGACGCAAGCGTCCGTCGCCCTTTTCAAACTCGGGGCCCACTCCGCTACGCTCCGACCCGAATTTGGAGGGCCTAAAAGTTTAAGGTGTTGCTGCGCAAAAGGGGTCGGACAACACTTCAACAGGGCGCAGCTCATGCTCTAAGAGCTAGAAGGGGAGATAGAGAGAACAACCACCCTGTCCCGTTAGTGCGTACACCAACACCACAAAAGCTCTCTCTCTCTCTCTCTCCTGCTCCTCACTCAGGGGGGTAGCTTCGGCTGAGTGAGGGCCTGACAAGCTGCCGAGCCCAATCACTGGTGCGGCGGTGATTTCTTGTTGGTTCTCAAAAATCTCTCTCTCTCTCTCTAGTCCCTAGTCTGCTGCCACGTTTATAAATAAAGAAAAAATCCCCAAAAGGGGAAGGAAGGACAGGGTCCCACCTGCACCAGCTGGGCGTCCAAATTCTTTTTTCGCAGCGTCTTACCCGGGTACCCAAAAAACAGGTTTGACACATGCTGTTCTGCTGCTGCCCCGGGCCTGCCGCACCCGCAGAGCCGGTCGCCGAGCTCAGCGCAGAGCTCGAGGCCGACCTCAGCGAGCGGGTTAAAGCGGAGCGTTTAGCCAAGGCCAAGTCCGCCGAGCAGGCGCAGTTCTCTCGCAAGCCGCGAGGCCGAGAACACGGCTTCGCCCAGATGCTGGACGAGGACGAGGACACCGCTGGCGACTGGGAGAGGGAGGCGTCCGCGTCGGTCGCCAAAGCCTCGGCGGAGGCCGCCAACACCGCGGGCGGCGCAGCGGCGGTCGCGGCGGCTTTGGGAGGCAGCGCGGGCGCGGCGGTGGGCGTGGCGCCGGTCGCGGCGCGCGCGGCGGGCGAGGCGCCCTCCGCGCCGCGACGGGCGCGCGAGCCCACGCACCTCGAGCGCGGCGCTCGGGCGTCGCACAGCGAGTTTGTCGAGTGCGATGAGCAGCTCGCGCGGCTCCGCCTCGAGGTGCGGCGGACCGGTGAGTCGTGATGTGTGCACCGAGTCTTGCGTGTAGGTACGAGGAGGAGCTGCGCGGCTCCGCCTCGAAGTGGGTGGCCGACCGGAAGAACGACGCGGGCTCGAAGGCGCGCAAGAAGAGGGGCTACCTCGGCAACACGCGGCAGCAGGCCGTGGCGATCTCCGGATCCCGTCTCCAGCGAGGAGACTCCAGCGAGGAGGAGTGCACAGACCTCAACTGTGTCACTCTTCCTTCAGGACGCGGCGATCCGGATCCTCTCCAACGAGGAGATCATGCGGCGCGCGCAGGTGGACTCAAGCCTCCGGGGTAGCTAGCAGCAAGGAGCACACACACTCACCCTCATCCGCACGCTCTGCACGGGGGGCGACCCCCTCTCGCGTTCCCCATCCCTCACCACGTGTCGTAAGCAACCTTCCAAGCGACGGGCGTCTGGAGACGTGTTGCCTGAAACAGGGACTGCCACTCCCCCTCCCCACCCAATCGCGCCTGCCCCTCCTCCCCAACTGCCCCTCGCGGGAGAACACCCCTCTGGCCAGGCCATATCTCGGGTATATCTCGCTCCATCTGGGCGGTGTGTCTCGCGCGCAGGTGGAGAACGTGCTGCAGGCGGGCGCGCCCATCGACCCGCAGTCGGGCGAGATCGTCCCGGCCAGGCTGCAGCAGTGGCTGGCAGGGCTGTCGACCTACATCGCCTTTTGCGACGGCGTCGTGCAGAAGGCGCTCTCGAGCTCTCCCCACGCGCGCCGGGCCTCGCCCTTTGGATGGCGTGTGCCACAGCTGCCGCCTGTCCGGGTGGAGATGAGAGGGCTGCCTGGCCCTTGCCCCACCTCCCTGTGAGCTGAGAAGCGTTCGCCGGACCTTACCGAGACCTCACCCTGCCTCAGGGCGCCACGAGGCTCGCGCTCATGCCTCCCGCCATGGCGGGGCCAGCCATCTCCATCTGCCTCTCGAGATGACCTGAGAGTTCACCCGAGATTACCCGAGAGTAGGCGGGCCCCATCTCCCTCTACCTCTCGGCCGTCGGGCGGCACCGGCTGCTCGGCGAAAGATGTAGCGAGATCCGGCGAGATCCGGCGAGATTCAGCGAGTGTGGCGAAGTTCCAGCGAGAGGTGTAGGGGAAGCCGGCGCCAGAGTACCCTCCCTCCAGGCGACAGCCTGGCTCCCTGGCTGGGCGCCCCCTCTCTCACGGCCCCGTGTGAAATAGGCGCGGAGCTCCAGTCGCGCCTCAAGGCCTTCCAAGTGACCCTGTACGCGCGCGCCGACAGGGCGGGCCCGGAGGGCATCTCGCAGTCGCTGTAGCGGTGCGCGCCACGACGCCGACCATGACGCCGACGCCGACGCGATATTACACAAGCGGACGAGTGTTTCACTCTGGAGTCTTCGTTTTGCATGCATGTGTAGCACTTTCGAGTTGAGAGACACAACGCAACATGGAGACCGGGCGGTGAGTACCAGGGCCAGAGAGCCTTGGATGGAGCACCAGGAGTGCGGTCATTGGTTGGCCTCACAGCCGGGACCGGGGAGCCACATCACATTTGCATAAGAAAGAGAGAGAGAAAGGAACTGGACAACCCAAGGGAGGGATGGTGTGCATGCGCGCGAGGCATCCCCGAAGGTTTTTCTTCACAGTGCATGCGCGCGAGGCATCCATGTCGGGACAATGCTGCAGCTCTGCTCCAGCGCATCCCTCGGACTCGGCCTCTCGCCCAACGCGTGCCTGCTACCGCACCACCCGATCAGCGGGCCCGCGCTCGTGGAGCCAGACGTCTTTGAGGAGGCGCTCACTCGCAGCAAGACAGACGACCCGCGGGGCGCTCTCCTACGGGCCCCGATGCGCAAGCCGACCGCAGAGGCGCCGTCGAGGCCAGGGCCTCGAAAGCGTCGCGCCTCCGCGCCTGTGAAAATGGTCGCCGACTCTCCTCTCTGCGACGCAGAGTGCGCCGCCGAGCTAGCGGCCAAGGCCAAGGCGATTGCAGAGGCGTCCGCTCCGGCACTCGAGTCCGCGGTTAGGGCGGCGCCTGCGGTGGCGGGCACGGCGGCGCAGGTGGCGGGCACCGCAGCGACGGGTCTCTTCAAGCTGGGCTGGAAGGGCGTCGAGGTCGCGGCTCCAGTTGTGGTCGAAGGCACAAAGGCGGCCATCCCGGTGGTGGCCGAGGGAGCCAAGGCGGCGTCGCGCGCGCTGGAGGACCCCGCCTCGCTGGACCTGGCGGGCACGCTCACGTCTGTGGAGCTTCCGACGGCGGGAGAGGTCGTCGAGGGGACCAGCGGCAACACCCTGCTTGGGCACGCTCCGTGGGTGGAGGCGATGCCTGAGCCCTCTCGGAACGCTGCTCTAGGCTTCCTCTCCTCCTCCTTTGGCGTGGCGCTCATTGACGCGGCGCCGTACGCCATCGGCGCAGCAGTGCTGCTCGCCGTCGCGCAGGCGGCGCTGGCGAGCCTTAAGGACGCGGCGGCGGCGGCGCTGCCGCCCATCGCGGCCACGGTTGCGGCCGGCTTGGGCGCCTACGCGGCGCTGCAGGCAGGTTTCGTTTCGCTGCCTGACCCGGCCGCCCTCGCCATCCCTGCCCTCGCCATCTGCGGAGGGTGCCTCGCCCTTGCCTCGCCGGCGGAGGCCGGGGCGGAGGCCGGGGCGGAGGCCGGGGCGGAGGCCGGGGCGGAGCCTGTGGCCAAGCCCGTAGATGCGGAGACCAAGGTGTGAGTCACGTCTTTCGCCTAGGAGCAACTACGTTGGTGTGCATGATGTGATGTGCATGTGGTATGTGCATGTGGAGCGCCGAAGGTACTGGGTTTTAGCACATGGTTGCGGTGTTGGTTCGGCGCTCCCGTCCCTAGCCGCCTTGGACCTTTGATGTTTTTGACCTTTTGCACGCCCTGCATCCCCCAAAAAACGCACATGGTCACAGCTAAGAAAGAAAGAAAAGAGACCCGCTCACCTTTTCTGTACGCGTGCGCCACGTGAGCCCGCAGCCCTGCTCGCTACTACCACGAAGTCGCCCATGCACCAGCACCTCAGGCCTCACGGGCGCCCGCCCGCCCGGCCGGAGCAGCCCCCACGCGTCGCCGCAAGGCCGCTCGAATTGGCCGCCTTCCGTCCACCTCAATGCTTGTTGCCCGCTCGTCCCCTCCCCCTCCCCCCGCTCACGTACCAACGAGTATTTTTTGTCACGGCGCTCCCTGTGTGTCAGTGCGATGCTTTCGTTGTGTGTGTGTGATGCCTGCTCTGACTCAGCCCTCAGCGCTGGCCAAAGAAACCAGGTTCGAAGAGCTGGGGCGCTCCACCCAAGAGCCTAGGTAGGTCGTCACTGTCATAGATGGGCCAGATAGTGCCAGGATGCGTCCCGCTCGCCCACAAAACGTGGAGACAATGTTGGTTAATAAAAATCTCACAAAACTGTCTGCACGTCTCGCGCGCGCGTGAACAGGGCTCCAGGCCCCAAATTACGTGTGAGTGTTAGAGTTGTTTGGTATTGCTAAAAATCTCTCTCTCAAAACGTGCCGAAAGCGTTGCCGGTGTGTGGTGCAGACCAGCAGCATGACCATACCCCTGGAGAGGGCCGCCAGCCTGACCATACCCCCCCACCCCTCGAGGAGGCCGCCTCCGGCGGCCAGGACCATACCCCCCTACCCTTTTGGCCGCCACCATACCTTACCAGCCAAAACTGTCGAACCCTGTGGCTCCAAGGCTGTGGAATGCCGGCCACAACTCTCTCCACACACGGCGTTGACTGCTCAACTGCGGCCCGATCGTCCAAACAAGGGACGCCCAAGGTATGTCACCGGCCCGATCGCCTCGCTCACGCGCTGCTGCCCGCACCCATCTTGCTGACAGCCTCCGCGTCGCTGTCAAGGTGGTCACGCTTGTGTGCGTCTCGTGTGCACTCTGACCAATCCGGTGCCGCTGCCCTATCTGCCGCACAACAGCACCTCGGCTGGACTCTGTTCACGTCCCGACTGCTCTCTCTTGTACTGCATCACCTCTTCACACCGACCAAACTCCACTCTTCGCACCGTGACGCCTCCTGCCCACAGGTGCGTCGAGCTCTGGCGTCTGGCGTTCCGGTGCCAGGCGACATAGCTCCACGTCCAAGGCACTGTATCGGTTTGCTGGCGGTGCCTTGGTCGCGGCGGGAGCAGACTCGTATTCTGGTAGCACCTCACACACTGGCTGCTGGTCTTAGCACATGGCGCACATTTGCAAGCCCGGTCCCGCTTGCTGTCTCGCTCTCGTGGCGCTTCCAGCTCGCCGCGCCACTCCCAAGGCTCGCTCCCGTTCAGCGCAACTCGTTCCGCTGTGGGCCCCGTGCTCCCGTAACAGGCACACTCCTCTCGTGTAAAGTACTCTAGCACAGCGCGGCTCACCACCAAAGCAGCTCCCGGCACCCCTCCGCCGCAGCTTGCCGCGGCTGCTTGCCAACGCTGCCTGCCAGCGCTGCCCACCCTCGCCCCTCGCTCCCGCTGCCGGCCTGCCGCTCCCGGCTTGCCTCCCACACCAGCTCACACGAGCCCCTCGGGGAGGAGGGCGAAGCCCTTCTCGTCCCCGGCAGCCTGCCACGCGCGCAACCGCTTGATCGCGGCCGTCATGCCGCCCTCGGCGAAGGCCTCCCTGCAGATGCGCCGCTTCTCCTCGAGCCGCGCCGCGAACTCGGCCGGGTACTTCGCGGACTTGAGCTGGTTCAGCCGCGTGCTCAGGTAGGCCATGTTAGACCAGTGCGCGATGTCGAGCGAGATGGCCTCCGCCTTCTCGTTCTTGTCGCCGAGCTTGACGTTCGCCTTCTGCGCCTTGAGCACGCCCTCATGCACCGGCTTCTGGTGGTCGAGCTGCGCGAGCCCCTTTGCGCGGTCACTCGCGCATTGCTCAGGCCCGCCCTTGTAGTTCTCCTCCGCCCACCACATCATCTCCTGCGGCGTGCAGCCGAGCAGCCTCTCGAGCTCCGTGTCCCTCATCCTCGTAGGGTCGCCGCCACCGATCGCCCGCTTGGCGATCGAGCGCACGAACATGCCCGCGCCGCACCGCTCGCTGTGCCCCGCGCCGCCCTTGCAGAACCAGTAGGCGGTGTGCGAGAGTGGGCACACCTGGCTGCCGCACCGCTCGTCTTCGCAGGAGCAATTGGCGCGTAGGGTCTCCGTCTCCTCGCACAGCCCGCCGCCGCAGCCGTCGCAGCCGAGCACACACACGCTGCGCGGCCGCTTCGACTCGTCGCACACCCCGCCGCCGCAGCCGTCGCAGCCGAGCACACACTGGCTGTGCCGCCGCTTCGACTCGTCGCACAGCCCGCCGCCGCAGCCGTCGCAGCCGAGCACACACTGGCTGCGCTGCCGCTTCGACGTGTTGCACACCCCGCCGCCGCAGCCGTCGCAGCCGAGCACACACTGGTTGCGCTGCCGCTTCGACTCGTCGCACAGCCCGACGCCGCAGCCGTCGCAGCCAAGCACACAGCGGCTGCGCTGCCGCTTCGACGTGTCGCACACCCCGCCGCCGCAGCCGTCGCAGCCGAGCACACACTGGCTGCGCTGCCGCTTCGACGTGTTGCACACCCCGCCGCCGCAATCTGAGTGGTCGCAGAGGCATTGCCACCGCGGCATTTTGCTGTCTTTGCAGAGGCCGCTGCCCAGCGCTGCCCACGTGCACACCCCAGCGTGGCCGTCGGGTTTGACGCATCCGGTGGTGCGTTTGCAGGCAGTCTCGCTACGCTCGATCGCAGCCATCTTATCTGCGCCCTGCGGGTCGCGCTTCCTTTTGTTTCGGAACCAGTCCTGCACCTGCAGTTGAGGTCTCAGCTGTGTTAGGCGGCGACGGGCGACGAGGAGGGGTGAGGTAGGAGGCGAGATTTGATGCGAGAGGGGAGGGTGGAGGGGAGGGGCGAGACGAGGGTAGGAGAGAGTCATGCGACGAGACGGCTCGAGAGGAGAGGCGGTAGGCGGGAGGGAGGGCTCGCCTGTTCGGGCGTGACACCAAGCGCATTCGCGAGCCGGTTGCGCTCCTCGAGATCCGGGTGGGTCCCCTTGCCGTGCGTCCTTGCCTCGTAGGTCGCTTGCAGCAGATCGAGATCGTCCGTGTTGGGGGCCCACCGCCCACGCTTCGCGGCGGGTGCAGGTGTCGCCTTCCGTGCAGCTTTTGTTTTCCGTTTGCCGGACGTCTTCCCGGGAGCGTTCTCCTGGGCTGGCGGACGGACGAGCAGCGGCTGCAGCGACACGAAGGTGTGCTCCTACTCGCTGCGTCATGGACACGTCACAATCTGAGCCGTCGCTCTCGTGCTCTCAGGATCATGTTCCTCGTCGAGCTTCTCGTTCGCAGCGGTGCGCCAGCGCACGCGGAAGTGCTCCCCGCAATATGACGTCACGTGGCCCTGCCAATCGCCCCGCCGCACCTGCGAGTTTGGGCGACATCGAGAGACCATCCCGAGATCAGCCGAGATCAGCCGAGATCAGCCGAGGTCAGCCGAGATCAGCCGTCCGCGCGCCTTTGCCGCACCGCCGAGGCGAACGCCCTGCACAGAGCCCGAGGATTGGCGCAGCAGAAGTTTCTCCCCGAGCAGGGCACGCACGGCGGCGGGCTGACCGGCGGCAGGCTGACCGGCGGAGCCCGCGCACGTCAGCGCCGTGCCGCGCTGCCCGGCCTCGAGCCCCGCTCCGCCCGCTGCCGACGCGTCCGGCCCGCCGCCCGAGAATGCGCCGCTCCCACCGGACGCCACCGCGCTGCCGCCGCCACCACCGCCGCCGCGCCGCCCACCCGCGCCCTTGCCTCGCTTCGTGACGGCGGTGCTCTCGCTGCTGCTCCCGCCCTCGCCGCCTCCCCCGTCGCCGCCGCCCGCCCCGCCGCCGCCCTCGCCTCCTCCTCCGTCCGCCATGCCGCCGCTCTCGCCCTCGCCTCCAGCCGCGCCGCCCTCGGCAGCCGCAGCCTCGCCGCCAGCGCCGCCTGGCTCGCCCTCGTCCGAGTCGGACGCCTCGCCGGCGCTCTGCGGACTGACGCTGACCGCTCCGCACGCGTCGGGGGCGCCTCCCTCGTCGCTGTCAGCGGCAGGGCTGCGCTCACGCCGCTGATGCTGCTCAGGCGAGCTCGACGCCTGCGCCAGGAGCGACTGCCGCAGGCCGCTAGCGTTCTTGACCCCGTCGCCGCCGTCGAGATAGGCGGGGGAGAGGGCCGGTGCGGTGCTGGCGGCGCTCCTCGCGGGAAGCGGCGCGGCTGGCGCCGTGAGGCCGAGCCGGAGGTGCCGTTTGGCGGTTTTGGCGCCGCGTTCGCCGAGGTTGCCTTTGCTGCAGCAGTGGCTGGCACACACCGTCCCCGCGGGCGGCGGTGCGGCGGCATGGCGTGTGCCGTGGCTGCACGCGGGGGCGCCATCGCCGACGACGGTGGTGCCGTTTGCGTTGCTCGCGGCCGCCTCGCGCCTGACCTGTGCGGGTCGGGTTTCGATATCGGTGAGATAATCATGCTCATTTCGGGGCGGGGCGGGTTCGCGTTTTGTGGCGTGCCTCGCGTGTGTCCTCGGGCTGAGGGAGCAATAATTACTCGTGTCTTGGGAGGGGTAGAGCTAGCTGCTCTCCTCTGCCGGCGTGCAGCGAAAGTAGCCGACGTACCGCGTCCGCTCACCCGTGCTCATCGAATCAACCTCGGACCGGAGGGGTGCGCTACGGCTTTACGGAGGGGTGCGCCACGCAGAGTAGCGAGGACGAGGCAGATGAAAGCTCCCGACTGCAGGACTTGCACCTCGCCCTTCGAAAGACGCGTCCCGTTGACGAAGGTGCCGTTGGACGACGTGTCGACGATACACAGCTCGCCAGTTTCTGCGCAGAAGAGTCGGCAGTGGGATGCCGATATCACCGGCTGTGGAAGCACCAGGGTCATCCTCGGGTCACGTCCAACGGCCAGAGAATTCTGCCGGTCCACCCGGAAGACTAGCTCCTTGCTGTCCGGGGCAACGAAGGTGACGTCGAAGTCCGACTGCACGCCCACCTGCGCGATGGAGGGAGGGAGTGAGACGTTCGACTACTACCGCTAGCGATGCAATCGAGCAGAGAGTGTGTGGCGCATAAGGAGGAACCGAGAGGCTAGGCACGACTCGGCACATAACGGAGCGCGTAGATGAGCATGGCATGGCGTGGCATAGCGTAGGCGGTGCGGGCAGAGAGAGGGGCGAGCGGGAGAGAGGGGAGAGCGAGGTGAACTCAGGGCCCGGCGACAGGTGGACATAGAGCGGCGACCTTGCGCGGCGAGCCATCGTAGCCGTTGAGCTCGCCCTCGGCGTTCCACGCTTCGTCCTCTGGTGCGGCAGACGCCGCCGTCTTGTTCGTCTCGGCGGCCGGATTGCCGGCGTCAGGCTCCGCCGCGGCCTCGACCTTGCCGCCGGCCTCGGAAGCCGGCGACGCGCCCTTCGTCGCGTCGGCCTTCTCCTCGCCCGCGGTCGGGGCGGGCTCGTCGGCGGGCTCGTCGGCGGCCGTGGGCGGCGCGGCCTCCTTCTGCTCGGCCTTCCCCTCCGACCCGGCCTGCGGTGCGCGTCGAAATATTTATGGGGAGGTGGGTTCGGCGGGCGGGCGCGAGGAAGCTGAGAGTGGGCGTGCCTTCGGCTTGGGCTCCGTGGGCTCGCCGGCGGACAGGGTGGGGTCGGCGGCGGCGGGCGCCGCGTCTGCCGCGGCCGGCTCTGCGGCCTCGACCTGACGAACGGGGAAGGGGGGTGGGACTCGATGTGCGCGTCGTCGCCGATGCGCGCATGCAGGAAGGGCGAAGGGGGGCGTCGGGCGCGCCACGGTTTTCTCGAGTCTCGTGGGCGGTTGGACGATCTTTTCGTCGTCGGCGGCGGTGGACAGCGGCTTCGACTCGGTAGCACTCATCGTTGGCAACAAACAACCGATATATACATACGTACTAGCAGGACGGGCCTCACAAGCAGCCGACAAGAAGAAAGGCGCGAAAAAGGACGCGACTCGTTTTCTTTCTTTCTTTTTCGAAGGTGCACCTTAACTGTGACGGAAGTCGGCCGGCAGCCCCACCTGGCGGCCGGGAAATTCTTTTTTGGACGTCCGTTTCCGTAAAAGCGAAGAGAAATGTCTACATACACCGCGAACTCCTGCACAACCGCGCCTCCGCGTCCAAGCTCACTCATTTGCGCACGCCGGACCTGCGTGGAGCGACGGCAACTGCAATGATCCGGCCCGACCGGGAGTATTCTGGACTTTTCATGGACATGGTAACGACAGCCTCTGCTGGGTTTGCGCGACGTCCTGTGGAGGCTATCGCTCTCTCAAGCCAACCCGTTCTGCCGTTCAACGAGGCTGCTTAGGACGCATTTGCGCACGCCGGACCTGCGTGAAGCGACGGTAACTGGAATGTTCCGGCCCGACCTTTTGAGGCCTTCCCGTTCAACGAGGCTGCTTGGGACTCATGCCGACCAGTCCGATGGCAGCGTTCTGCTGCTCGCAACCGGCACGGTGCCAGTGAACACCCACTTTCTTGCGGGCAAAGGGTGTTCGTGTAGCGGGACTTTCTTTGAAAAAGAATTTCTCCAGGAGTCGCGGTTTCTTTTTCGTGCGCATCCTGCCAGGAAAGTTCACTCCTCTTCCTTCAAGGGTGGGCAGCACAGAGTCTTTCCCCTGACTAGCAGTCCTCTAACCTCGCACGCGCGACGAGCCGTCTCTTGCGCATCTACCTAATGAGGCGCTGGCTACTCTGCACGGGTACCCGCCGCACCGCCAAGCGCACTGAGTGGGGTAGATGGTGGCGGAGAGGTGGCCCGCAACCTTGAGCAGCTTGGCGCGCAGCACCTCGCCGGAGAAGAAGACGAGAAATGCGTTCTTGGGCACGGCGGCGGGCTCTTCCCGCGGGTCGCGCGAGGCGAGCAGCAGCGGCTCGTCGATGGGCTCGTTGTACACCATGCAGTTGCCGCGCGAGAGCCTGTGCGCCAGGCGCTCGAACTGGTGCGCGTTGCTCCGCGAGATGACGCCGGCCACCAGGTTGAGCATCCCGCCCGCGTCCATGCGGCCGACCGCGCCCGCGCCCGTCGTCCCCGCTTGCTGGAGCAGGCCCTCGCGGAGCGACGACGAGCGGCGCTCTTCTGCGAGCTCTATGTCGGACGGTGTAGGCCACGCCTCGGCCTCGACCACCGCCTCGGTGCCACCGTCGTAGACCGTCGCGCCGAGCCTCAGCAGGTGCAGGTTCTCCCGCAGCCCGTTGGCGACCAGCAGGACCCGCCTCTCCTCTGCCTTCATGTCAGCAATCTCGCGCTCGAGGCTGCGCAGCTCACCGTCGAGGCCGGCCAGCTGCGTGCGGCTCATGAGCGGCGCGTGCTCGTCGCGTAGCCGGACGGGCACGCCCGCTGCCTCACACGCACGCTCGAGAAACTCTAGCCTCTTCATCACTGCGTCGTTGCGCCGCAGATCGTCGGAAAAGGTGCGACGATTGCCCATCGTGCCCGCATTGAGGTCGACCAGCTGCATCACTCCCAGCTCGCCGAGCAGCTCCACGACCTCACGGGCGCCGTCGTTGTGGTCGATGATCTGTACCATCGTCATCGCATGCGAGCGAAAGAGTGAGCCCATGTGGCACGTCGGCGCCGACGCGTCGGGGGCCTACGCGGGGGAGGCAAAACTTGTGAAAAATGCATTATATATCACCGGCTGCGCGATTCGCGCGCTTCACTCGACTTCATGGCGCTGATGGTGGCGGTGGCTAGAAGAGGTGGAAGCCCGCGGCTGCAATGATCGTGCTGGCCTTCGTCCTCATTTCCTCTCTCTCTCTACCTGTGCTTCCTCACTCACTCATCAGAGGTAGGTAGGTAGGTTCATTCGTTCGTCCCCTCCCTGCCTGCCTGCCTGTCTTGGACTTCTTTGCATTGGCCTCGCCAATGTCACGCCCGACGTCGAGTGGTAGCTGGTACGACTACTTCACCATGGTCAGCGCAATCAACCGTCATTGACGAATAGAAGATCTCTCTCTCTCGCTCTCTCTCTCTCTCTCTCTCTCTCTCTCTCTCTCTCTCTCTCTCTCTCTCTCTCTCTCAACAAACAAGGCTCGCACTCGACACTCTCTCCCTGACGCAGATCGCAGCGTCGCACACACGCACCGGAATTCACAGTGCGACACTCTCCTGCGACGATGAAGCGCCGGATTCAAAACTTCGCCCGCTCCTTGATCGTCTCTAGGCTAGGCACACTCCTCTGCCGCGCCGAAAGCGCCGGACACGAAGCCCGGTGCGAGCAAGTAGGTGGCGGTTTCCCAGCCACGGGCGCCTTCACCGTCGGCGCAGCCGTTGAGCAGTTGTGTGGCCACACGACATATCTCGGCGAGTCGGGCGCTCGAGAGGCGACAGCGACAGTATCCACGATCTCCTCGAGTATCGCCAGCGACTCGATCTCGTCTCTGTCTTTGATCCAGTCCCGCAGCAGGTCGAGCGAGCTGATGCCAAACTCTCGGCACGTCGGGACGATGCGGCGCCAGACAGGGCGCGCAAGCGCGGCGCGGACGGCGCTGAGCTTGAAGCGCGCGGAGTAAGGGTTGCGCTCCGTCGCGTCGCGCGGAGACAAGACAGCACGAGCCGCCATTCGACGTGCCTTGTGCAGGGTACACGGTCGGACCTACCCTTCGGAATTTTCCGGGTTGAAACGCCGAATTCGGTCAATCGAAATCCTTCTGAGCTCGCTTTTTTTGTGTGTGTAGCTCTAACGTACAGTGTGTGTGTGTGTGTGTGTGTGTGTGTGTGTGTATAATACTCACTCACTCTAACGTACATTCCAGTAGGAGACTCTGCTGACAGGGTTTGCGATGAGGAGCGAGAAGGGTTTCTCGGAGGTTAGTGCACCACTAACCGCCGAAGCGCAAGCGCTGGGAGCAAGAACACTACGACCTGGGTCGGGCTCATACTAGCACCCCACCTCTCTCGCGAGCCGACGTTCTGGCTCAGCGAGGCTGCTGCGGAGCTCTCGCGGACCGGTTCTTCTGGTCCAGCGAGGCCGTTGCGGGGCACCCGGCGGCTCGGGTCACTTCTCATCGCAAACTCGGTCGAGCAGGAGGTAAGGTGTGTGCGTGTGGGAGGCGGCGCGGCACTGTAGGAGCGGCGGTACGGCGGCACGGCGGTAACGCACGGCAGGAGGGACGGCGAATAAATGGCAAGGGCGGCGAGGCGCGGAAGGAGCGGCACGGTAAGGAGCGGCGGCACGGCGGCAGACCACGGCAGCGAACGGCGGAGCATTGGGCGGCGGGTCAAACGACTGAGCAGAGGGCGGCGGCAGGAAGGAGCGAGGATGGCGCGGTGGCGGCAGGACCACGGATAGGGTGGCACGGATAGGAGCGAGCGAGCGGCTAGGCGGCGGGAGGGCGAGGCGAGGGTGGCGGCGGGCGGATCACGAAGAGGTAGAAGGTCTGGCGCGGGCGTGCGAGCGTCTCGGGCGCGTGAGCCGCGACATCCACCATTTAAGTGCAGAGCTCTCGCGGCTCGGAAGCCAGTCGTCGTCGCCGGTGCTGTCCCCGCCCCCCCCCGGGCGCCGAGCTGTTTGAGCGCACGCTGGCCGTTGGAGCTAGCGCTGGATGCTGGGGTCAGTGGGGCTCGCGCTGGCCGGCCGTCGCCGATCGTGCTCCCTCCCGGCGCCACGCTGACAGTCGGTCGCGACGCGTCGAGCGGCGTTGCCCTGCTCCCGCGAATCGATACGCAGCGCATCTCGCTCCAGCACGCCGTGCTCCACGTCGCCGCAGACGGTCGCAGCGTCCGGCTCAAAGACGTCTCGCGCAAGTATGGCTGCCGTGTGCAGCAGCCGGGTGGCGAGCCGGTCGTCCTGCAGTCTACAGCCAAGGAGGTGGCGAGCGCCCAGCTACGTGAGGGCAGCGTGCTCACCTTTGGGCAGCCCGACGCGGAGGACGAGTTTCGCTACGTCCTTCGCGCTGCTGGCACCCTCAACAAGGACAGTGATTGACTCTAGCTGCGACGGCGATAACGAACGTGAGCAAGCTTCGCCGCCGCTGTTGCCGCCGCCTTCGCTGCCGCCGCCTTCGCTGCCGCCGCCTTCGCCGCGGGCCTTCTCCTTATCGCCCTTGGTGCCGCCCGAGCACCGGACCCGCCCCTCTGCCCCGAGGCCGCTCGCCTTTTACGCCGGCTGGCATCTCCCCCGCTTCGGCGCCACAGCAGCGCCGTTGCGTGCACTAAAGGGGCAGGGAGTCGACAGCTCGACACGGGAGGGAGTTGGCCAAGCGTGTGGTGGAGTAAATCGCGGGTCGCGTTTTCTTTTCTGTAAAATGCCTTTCTCAAGGATGAATTGTGCTTAGAAAGAAATAAATTTCGGGCCGCGTTTTCTTTTCTGTAAAATGGTTTTTTCAAGGATGTATGTGTGCTTAGAAAGAAAGAAAACAGACAACCCAAGGGAGGGATGGGACGACGGCACGCCGCCACCACACAGCGGGGTCAATTCTCTTTTTTCCCTTCAGTGCGCAGGTGCGCCAGCGCGCCCAAGAATCGCACCATGCTGCAGAGCATCCTGGCTCTCGGAGCGCTGCTCGCCCCGCACCCGGTGCTACGGAGCCGCCGAATCGCAGTCGGGATGAACGAGGCATCGCAAGTACCGCCGTCGCCTGTCGTCTCAGTCGTCCTGCCGGAAGGCAAGGCTGCTGGTGACCTTCTGCTCATTCAGCCTCCACGCGGAGCCCAGTGCCAGGTAGTTGTGCCGGAAGGCGTCGCGCCGGGCCAGAGCTTCTCCGTGCAGCTCCCTGCCACGGTGAGCGCCGTCTCTTCGCCGCCGCCGCCGCCACCGCCACCGCCGCTGCCGCCACCGCCGCTGTCGCCGCCGCCAGCACTGGCCGAGCCTAGCCTGCTCGGTAACTTCGTCACACCCGAGACCAACCCGTACGTGACGAGCAAGGCGCGGCGTGTGCGCGCAAAGTATGGGGACGACGCGGCGGGTTTTGTTGACCTGAGTGACTCGGGCGAGCGGGCCAAGCTGTCCCGCCTCGAGAGCGACCTCGCGCAATTCAAAGCTGAGCGTGGGCTGGCCGACAGGAGGCTGGCTGGCGGCGCCGCGGCTGAGCTGCAGGAGGAGGAGGAGGCGACGCCGCTCGCGCGCGTCATCAACACCCTCGGCACTGTGCTCACCTTCAACTTTTTCGTCATCATCCTGTTCTTTGCCTGGTGGGCCGCGCCGCGCCCCTCCCGTGGCATACCCCCGCCCGTCCTGACGGCCTCGCGCCCGCCCCGTGCGCCAGGTTCCTCACCGGCGTCGGACTCCAGTTTGGCGCGCACGACGAGGCGGTGATGAACACGTTTCGTACCGCGTGGGACCCGCTCATCCTGCCTCTCCTCTCGACGCACATGGCCCTCACCTTCCTCTCGGCGGGGCTCGAGAGGCTAGCCAAGCCGGCGGAGGAAGGGTAGACGGCAACGGGGGAGCGCCGCCTGTGCGCGAGAGGCACCGCCACCGGCACGGCTCGACACCGTGCTCTTTAGAATTCACTCGCTCTCTCTCCGATGTCGCGGAAGCGCGGCGAGTTCGTCTCTTTAAGATAGTCGTCTTTTGTATCTCAGTCTTGACAACGCAAGACTGAGGGCAAGTCGCGTGGCCCCGCCCGCAACGATGGGATCATTTCAAACGATGGGAGTGAGAGTTGAGTACCAGTAACACACCACACAGCGTGTGCGGAGACGGTTCGACGAGAACGAAGGTCCATCAAGCCTCATCGATTTGGCTGTTGCTGCTGCTGTGCGACGAGCCTCTGCGCCTCCCTCCCCTCTGTGCAATCTCCGAGCGCCTCGAGCTTGCCCGTGCACGTCTCGGGCCTCGCCGGGTTCGCCTTCAGGCAGCGCTCGTACTGGTCGATCTGCGGCTTGCACCTGCTCTTGATGGCCTCCACGAGGCCTGAGCTGCGCGCAGGTGTCCGGCGGTTAGTGTGGGTTTCACCACCACAGCCGCGCGGGGAGGGCGCACTAGCTCGAGGCGCAAGCGTTCAGCTGGCTCTTGAGCGGGTCGCAGTCCACGAGCCAGGTGCCAGAATGGCCGTCCACGCACGCTGCATACCGCTCGAGCTCTGGCGAGCAAGGACGGAAGTCGGACATCAGGTACGCTCAGGCGGAGGCAAGATCCTAGCCGGTGGGACGCGCGCCTGCAGAGCAGTGCATCTCGACCTGCTGGAGCGCAGCCTGCATGGCCCTAGGCGCGGCTGTGGGAAAGAGAGAGAGAACAGTTGGTTGTGCGTTTATGCGTGTGAAACACTCACAACGGGGCCCGAAAATTCTTTTCCCCCGTTTGCTGCGGGCGCGTGTTCAGTGTGTGACCACGGGCAGGTCTCGATGGTCGAGGATGCGTTCGCCGCGGTGCTGTGCCGTCCACGCTGCGAGGTCACACTCAGGACCGCACCCTCCGGCCACGTATCGCTTCGTACATCCGTGGTCCATGCCGGCGACGGCTGCTGGAGGTCAGCGAGGATGGGTTCCTCAGCCGCTGCAGGCCGCTTCATGGTCGCTGCATCACAAATCGCTCCAGACGACGTGGTCTGCGATGCGCCAGCATACTGCGTCTGTACCTTCGAGGAGTGGCGCAAGCGCGTCTGCGCGTCCTGCTTCTCTCTCGGATCTGGTCGGCTCACGGTGCGGTGTCCCAACTGCGAGCACGCATTCTACTGTAGTGAGCAATGTCGAACGAGGCATCGGATCGAGGGGTCGGTGGGCTCAGCGCCGCACGGGCGCGTCTGCGCAGCGCTGCGTTGCTTTGCGCCGCTGCGAAAGTACGGCAAGTCGACGGCCAACGTACTGCGCCTGCTGCTGGAGGCACTCGCATGCCGCGCCGACGCTGCCGACGCTACCGACGCTGCCGACGCTGCCGACACTGCCGACGGCCTGTTCGACGCGCTGGTGCACCACCCTCCGCACTGGAGCCAGCCCAAGGAGGCGCAGGAGTGGGCGCGTGTCTCGGCGGCCTTCCGCACGCTCCTCTCGCGGTGCGATTGGTGGCACGCGCCGCCGCCGAGCGACGACGAGCTCTTCGCGCTCGTCAGCCGCCTCGACTCCAACATCTTCGGCTGCTTCGTCCGCGACGACGGCGCAATCTTCGGACACGCCTGCTACCTGCAGGCGGCCACCTTCAACCATTCCTGCGAGCCCAACTGCGTGGCCATGAGAGGCGTCGCGCGGATGCGCATCGTGGCGCAGGAGGCCGTGGCGGCGGGAGAGCCCCTCACGATCTCGTACATCGACGCCAACCGGCCCGTGCACGCGAGGCGGAAGGACCTGAGTGACCACTACCACTTTACATGCGACTGCCCACGCTGCACTGCCGAGGCCGCCAATGGCGCCGTGCGCACCAAGCTGACCTATGGCGGGGGCGGGGCGCTCAGGCGCGACGCCGCGGGCAAGGATGCGCCGCGACGTGGGGGCGTGGCTAGCCCCCTCCCCAAAGCTCCTCCTCCACCTGCGGCGGCTACGAAACCTACCCGTCCCTGGTTCGAGGCTCTTGCGTGATATATACTGTGAGTGTCTAGTGTGAACATATCGACTGTGAGGACAGGGCTCTAAGAGGGGGTCGCTCGTCTTCGATCTTCCTTTATGCACGCGCAAGTAAAGTGCGAGCACGGCCCTCGGCCCTCGTCTCGGCCGCGCGCTACGCGCGGTATAGTGTGCTGGGCGGTGTCGTGGGTGAGGGTGGTGGGGCCGAGCGTTTTTGATCTCTCGGTAAGTGGGCGCCCGCCCGCCGCCTCTGAGGGGGTCGGGCCCCCTAGACTGAAAACAAAAACAAAATGTAGAAACCGTCGAAAACAGCCTGCGAGCGCCCCATCATCCCGTGGATGTCGGCTGCGCGCGCGAGGATCCGAGATGCGATCTCGGAGCTGCAGGAGCAGGAGCAGGACGAGTTCTCCGTCGATGACTTTTTCGTCAAAGTCTTTCCCAACCTGATGACGCATGCGACGCCGCAAAAGGAGCGGGCGACGGCAATGCACTTCCTGATGAAGGAGCTCAACCGGCTCGAGGACGACGACATCGAGGATGTCATGTTGCGCGATGGCGTCATCCATTTCGTCAAGCCACCTTCATCGTGACCGTCGCCACCCTCGCCACCGTCTCGCCTACGTCGCCGCCGTCGCCATCGTCGGCCTCGCTGCCGAGACGGTGCTGCTGCACCTGACTCAACTCTCCCACCCCCCTGGCTCCTATGCCGACGTGTCCCGTGCTCCCCCGTCCGCCGATGTCTCTGCTGCCGCCCGGCGGAGCTCTGCAGCGCGGGCTCTCCTCGCCGCCTTCGCTGCCGCTGCATCGCTGTCGGCTCGTCATGTCTGTCTAGGGTCATTGGGGGCGTGCCATCGCTCGTCTCTCTCTCTCCCGGGGTCAGCTCCAACCTGCCGTGTCGGGACGTCGCCCCCTCGGCTCCCCCCCCCCCCTCCGCTGAACGGTCGACTGCACATGCTGCGCGTTCTCGCCTTGTGTCTAATCGTAGTGGGGGCCCTGGCCCCCCTCTGTTTTCTGTTTTCTGTTTTTCAACACGCCCGCCCGCCCGCCACCCCGAGGCGGCTCGGCCCCCCACTTACCGAGAGATCAAAAACGCTCGGCCTGGGTGGTCTGGTGGGTCGCGTGGCGGTCGCGGGTCGCGGCGCCGCGGGGCTCTCTCGGCGCTCTCCGGGCCACTCTCGCCTACGAGCATCGAGCTGCGTTCATATCGGCCATCACGAACGACGAAGCCCCCCCTTACGCTTTGCCCTCCACACACACACACTCCGACGTCCAGGTGTGGGCGCTGGTGCAAGTGCGTCTTCAAGTCCGGAAGTCGCCGCCGTGTCGCGCCGCGGCGGCCGCGCACCCTGCACCCGGCCACCCGCCGCTCCCCGCCGCGGTGGGCGCGGACTCGCGGAGAGATGGCGAGGCGGCGCCGAGAGGAAAGGCGGGGAGTGGCTAGCCGCGCGTCACAAACAGTCGACCCAAACGCGCACGGTACTCTTTTTAGTCTTTTATATTCTATATTAGGCCACACAAGATGTATTCTCGCCAAGTAGCGCTCTCACGCGGCTGGCCGCACTCGGATTCTCGGCACCTGGCGCAAGCAGCGCCAGACCCTGTGATGAGGCAAGACTCGGTGCTTCCAGTGGTCGCGGCGGCACTGTCCACTGCCAACCGGTGGCCTGCCGCGACGTGGCGCCATCGCCGACGCTATCACGGCGGGCGCTCTTGAGCCGGTCACCCCCCGCCCCAAGCCGGTTCGCCGCCAAGGCGAAGCAGAGCGTCACGGCGAGTGTAGCCAGCCCGCGACGTTCGATGGTCAGGGCTCTCTCCGCAGCCGCGACCTGCTCGGCGCGGCGCGCCCGCTCCCAGGTCTGTCGTTGCTCCCGCCGCTGCGCCTGGAACACATCGGGACCGGCCTGGTGAGGGTCCGGCCTACAGGGAGGGAGAGGGCCCGAAGAAGGAAGACTAGGCATGTCTAGATCTGTGACCGAGAGGTTCGTCACGGCGCCTCCCACTCTGCTTGCGCCCGGAGCCGCGCAGCGAGCTGGGCCTAAATGGTGGGTGGGTGACGGCGGGGGTGGTGAGGTGGAAGCGGTGCACAGCAGTGGCCCAAAGGGGTGAGTCTCGACAGAGGCGAAGGGAGCCACTGTTGTTTGTGCAAAGGGAAGGGGGGGGGGGGGTAGCGGGAGCAGATGAAGCGGCGCCTCGAGCCATGCCTCTGAACGTAGCTGGGGGATTGGCCCGCCGATCTCCTTCATCCGGAGCGCCTCCAACTCTGCGGCGCGGGCCTCTGCTCGCGTCGCCCGCCGCTCCGTCGCATCAAGCTGCGCCTACTCAAGCTCGGCAGCAAATGGTGGGAAAGGCCGCCATCGCAACCCGTCGCTCTAGGGTACCAATGCCTCAAGCCGCCGCTGCGCCCGCTCTGCCAGCTAAGCGCAGGGAGGGGGGGTTGTGGACTGGAAAGGCGCCCGACGGTCGGGCGCTGCATGCCGGCTGTGGCTACATCGCAGGGGGCGTCTGCTCGCATTGCTTGGTGGCATGACGTGCCTGCGTCCTCGCGTCCAGCTGTGCCTCGACTCGCCTGATTGGGTTAGGGGGAGTAGCTGGCGGAAGGTGCCAGGGCCAACAGGCACAGGTCCTGAAGGCACTGAAGGCACTGCTGTCGGGCTTGTGGGGCCACGGGGAGCCAGGCTTGTCCGCCTCTGAACATGCGCTGCCTGTCGCGATTCTGCCGCCCGTTGGACATCGACGTGGCCGAATGCGCGTCGGTAGAGCTGCAGCCGCGCCTCCTGCTCCATGCCGCGAGAGCGCGGCGGGAGACTCTGGCTTTCTGCTAGGAGCAGCGACCGCTCCGCCAAGTCGACCGCGACGGTGCTGACCCTCAGCAGCGCAGCCCGCATGCGGTCCAGCTCGGCCCGCGCCGTCCTTGCCTCGCCCACCACGAATTGATCCACCTCCGCCGCAAATCCCACGACTGGCTCAGCAATGGCGCCAGGCACATCCTGCGGGTACTCGTCGCAAGGGAAGAATTCGGCGCTCGAGGAGCCGTCCGACCCATCGTCGTCGTGGCCGCCCAGCGGAGAGCTGGTCATCTCGGGACCGTCGAGGCCGCCGGCCAAAAGTTCGAAACCCGTTCATCGTTCCTCATTTTCTCGAATGGGATGAACGCGTCCGTCCTCGAATGCCAGTGAAGAGCTGTGAGCTGTGAGGGTCGGCCACAGGCAAATTTTCTATATCCCGAGGCGGCGCCCGGTTCAAGCGTGACAAGTGAGAAGTGTAACTCTCTCTCTCTCTCTTCTCTGTCTGGCTGGCAGCGCCACGACTCCGCTCGCAGTCCATTCTTCAGGCTGCGTGCCCTCTTGCCTCCCTCGCCTCCCTCCGCCCCCTCCCCTTCTGTCGAGACTGCCGTCGACGTGCATGGTGAAGCGCACGGTGGCCGCGCCGGTGCGCTCGGTGTGTCCCATCAGCAAGCTGATGAAGGACGCCTCGCGCACCGTGAGCGGCTTGCCGGCCTTCATGCAGCGCTCCGCGTCGCGGAGCCGACTAGCGGAGCCGACTGCGTCGTCTCGCTTGAATGCCGGCATTCAAGCTATCTTGTTTCTTTAGGATTCTTACTAAAAGAAAGAAAGAAAACAGGATTCTTTCTGCTCGCAGAAAGAAAAGAAAGAAAGAAAACGGACAACCCAAGGGAGGGATGGGAGGACTGCTCGCACGCGAGTAGGGAGGATCCTAAAATTCTTTCTGCTCGCCCCAACTTGCTTGGTGGTGTGCAACATGCCGCCGGCCTCTCGTGCCGCCTGCCTCCTGGCCCTGACGCTCGCGCCACATGCGCGATCCGACATGGAGATGAACTGCCAGATCTTTGACTCGACGATGGTTTGTGACAGCGACAAGCCGAGGATAGCGCGCGGCGAGATCCGCACTTGCTCGGGGTGACGGCTAAACAGTTTCCCCGAAGTTCGGGAGTTTGTCCGCTCGGACCTGCACGCGGGGCGGTACGAGAACCTCAAGGTCGTGTACATCAACCACCACAACCCGGACCTTTTCCTGCTGACCGAGGACGGCAGCGAGGTCATGAAGATTGATCTGACGCGGCTGTCTTCCATCGCTTCGCTTCACAAGCTGATGTCGCTTCTCGGGCTGCGCGAGATTTGCGGCGACGCAGACGAGCGATGCGCCGGCTGGTCCAGCAAAGGGGAGTGCGACCGGAACGAAGGCTTTATGCACACCAACTGCAGGAAGGCGTGCGGGCTGTGCGCAGAGGGCGCCAAGCAGGCCGAGGGCACCCTCTGCACGGACGCCGAGTCGGCAAACAACTGCCAGTACTGGTCCACTATGGGCGAGTGCACCGCCAACGAGGCCTTCATGCGCGAGAAGTGCGCGCGCGCCTGCGGCTTCTGCAAGGTCTCCTTCTCCGAGGACGACGCTGCGGAGAAGGACGAGCTCTAGATCGAGCTACCCCCCCCCCCCCCCCCCGGTCCACGGGCGGAGGACTCGCAGTCGAGACCCCCTGCCACGGCTGCGGCCGGCGGCAGCGCCGAGATGACGGTCGCGCCCTCAGTGCCCCACACTGACACTCCGGGCACGGGTGCGGCCCGAGAGATGAGCGCTGCCGGGTCGCCCCCGGGCGCCCGCGATGTACCGGGTGTATAAACTATAACGATTTTAAACGTATTGACCTAGAATCCCTGACTGCAGACTGGTCGCGCGCTCAGTGGACGACAGCCTTGAGCGGCTCCGCCTTGAGCATGGCAAGGTCGATCTCGGCGTCGATCTCCTCGTCGACCTCGCCCACGAGCGCGATGTTGTCCCCTCGGACGATGTAGAGCCCCAGCATAACCTGCGGGAACCCGCGGAGCGGAGGCGCGTGGGCGAACGGGCCGCGAGAGGCGCGGGCGCGCGAGGAGGGGTCTCCGGATGCGCAGGGGCTCCGGAGCGTGCGAGATCTCGCCACCTCAGACAACGGTGTTCTCTTCGCTCGCGCGCGGGTGGAGCCACGTGGCGCCAGCGCGCGCGTCGGGGAATACAAACAGTGTTGAGCATCACTGGCGAAGGCGTGGCAAGAGTAGATCGGTGCAGGATTCGCAGCGAGATGTGGCGCGATGTGGGGGGGAGGAGAAGAGGGAGGTGACAGGCCCCGCCGCCGCCTGCTCCACGCCCGCGGTCGTCGAGAAAACTCGCTCGTGGCACTCGTCGAGGATGACGTTGGTGGTCTGGTCAAAGCCCTGCGTTCGGAGGGTACCAGTCTCGGTCAGGAGGCGGCGCCGGCGCAGCAGACGAGGAGAGGGCACGTGCCCTTGCGTGTGGCGTGGCATCGGTCGTCGGCATATGCAGCCGTCACCGGCGTGGTGGGTGCTTGGTACGCGGCGGCGTGGTGGCCGACGATGCGATCAGATATATGGCACCGCCGCGGCGTCAGGTGGGGTGCGCGGCTGAGCCGGCACCTTGAGCAGGCCGACGATATTCCTTCCGTCGTTGGTGATGACCTGGACCACCTTGTCGACGAGCGGCTCGAGCATTGCCGACATGTTGGCGCTTGGCTGGCAGCGTTGCGGGAGGCCCAGAGAAAAACTTTTTCGCGCACTGGCAATAACACAGGTACACCACGGGAGCCGCCTAAGCGACTCCCGCGAGGACGGGAAAGGAGAAAGCGAATACTTTGACAGTTTAGATTTTCGGGAAAAAGAAAGTTTCCGCTGGAAAAGAAAAATCTGCTGGAGCTTGCCTATCGCAGTGTGCGACGCTTGCTGCCTGCTTGCTGCCCTGCCCGCACCGCCGCGCGCTTACAGGCTGGGACCGTCGCACCCTGCTCGTATGTCCATCGAGGCGTCCGCCCTCGCCCTGTACGGCGCTGTCAACGTCGGCGTCTACGCCTTCGGCGCCGCCTTCCTCGTATCGCGCCACCGGCCTCTCGCCGATCAGCGTCGCCAGCTCTCGTGGCTGCTCACGACATTCGCGGCGCTCGTCGTCACGGTCGTCGGCAGTTACTACGCGTTCGGCGCTTGGTGGCAGGGCGTGTCCAGCGCGGTGGAGCTGTACCGCCCGAGCGACCCGATGCAGTGGCTGCGTCCCAGCGGCGGCGGCGCACCCGAGGAGCCAGTCTCGCGCCATTTGTGCCTCTTCTTCCTCGCCTACTGTGGCGTCGACTCGGTGCTGGGGGCGCTGCACTACCCAGAGCAGATCGACGTCGGCTACTACCACCACGCCCTGTACTCAGTGCTGCTGTGCTACCTGCTCCACACGCGCCAGACGCTGCTGTTCGCCGTCTGCGGCGTCGAGGAGCTGCCGACGCTGCTCGTCGGAGGCAACCACCTACTGGGCGACGGCGGCAACCCGCGCTTCGGAGTCGGCGTCGTCTTTTTCCTCACCCGCGTCTCGTACCACTGCTGGATCACCGCGCGCGCGCTCGACCGGCTCGATCCGCTGCTGTACTGGGTGAGCAGTGTGCTCCTCATCACGCACGTCGGCTGGTTCCAGTCGTACCTCGCCAAGGGCTCGCTGCCCTCGAAGCGGCAGAGCCGCGCCGCCGCGCGAGTCGCTACGGGTGGCTCGACCGGCATGCAGGGCGGTGCATCCGCCGGCCCGCTGCACGAGCGCGCGCTCTGGTCGATGGCGACGCGCCACCTGCTCGTCTTTGTGGCGATGCTGGTCGGGCAGGCGCTCCTCCACTCGACGCTCACCGCGCGCGTGCTCCGCGCCGCCATGCAGCCGCCCGCGGCAGACGGCGAGCGGGGCGGCGAGTGGTGCCGCGCCGCGGCGTGGGCTGCGTATGTGTGCGTGGGCAACCTGCTGGTCGTCGCGTACACGGTGCGCCGGCTGGCGCGTGCGCTGCGGGACGTCTACACGGCCAACTTCATCAGCGACTCGCTCGTGGCGCGCCGGATCATCTACAACATCTCGTGGGAGGACCCGGCCGTCGAGGTGGCGGAGCTGCGCCTCGGGCAGAGGGACGTCATCCTCACCATCGCCTCGGCGGGCTGCAACGTGCTGGACTACCTCATCGAGAAGCCGGCCGGCATCGTCGCCGCGGACCTCAACGAGGCGCAGCTCGCTCTCCTCGATCTCAAGCTCGCCTCCCTCGCCGCCCTCGACCACGCCGCCTTCTTCGCTCTCTGGGCGCGCTCGGACGCCGCCGTCTTCGAGGCGAGCTACGGCCACCACTCGGGCCACCTCGGGTCATCTCGGGCAATCTCGGGTCATCTCGGGTCATCTCGGGCAGCCTCTCGTAGTCTCGGGCCATCTCGGGTCACCTCGGGCAGCCTCTTGTAGGCGAGCTACGCCGCGCGGCTGCGCCCTTTGCTGCAGCTCGACTCGTCGCGCGCCTTTTGGGACACCAATGGCGATCGGCCGGGCTCGCACGTGGCCCGGCCTGTCCGCGGCACGTCCACGACACAACCACGACACGTCCACAGGCGAGCTCTTTGCGTCGAACCTCTTCTTCGCCGGGTCGGCAGGCTTCGGCGCCCGCCTCCTCCGCCTCGCACTGCGAGGGTGCGGCGCCCTCGACGCGGTTGTGCGGGGCATGCGGCGCGGGCAGGCGCCCGACCCTCGGGGGTGGGGGATGCGCATCTTCACGCTCTGCCTCTCCCAGATGTGGCTGTGGCGCTTGCTCGCGCCCCTCGGCGGCGTGCCGACGTCGCAGATCGACTTGCTGCGCCGCACACCGTCTGTCTGGATCTCGCGGGTCTGCGAGGTTTCGCTAGCCGCTTCTACCCGTCGCCGACATGCACACGCACACACACACACGCACACACACACACACGCACACACACGCACGCACACACACACGCACGCACGCACGCACGCACGCGCGCACGCACGCACGGCACAAGCGGCGACCGCCCTTCTCCCGAAGCGCCCTTGCCTCTCCCTCAGGTCTTCGGCTCGCGCATGTGGCGGGCCGACAACTACTTCTACTACGCGTACGCCGTCGGCCGCTGGGACCCGCACTGCTGCCCTCGCTACCTGCGACCAGAGCACTACGAGGCTCTACGCTCCTCCGCCCACCGCGTCGCCCTTCACCACGGCCCCCTCGCCTCCGCTGCGGCGATCCGCGCCGACTTCACGGTGGGCGTGATGTCTCGGAAGTGTCTCGGAGGTGTCACAGAAGTGTCTAGGCGAGCCGCGACGACTTCACGGTGGCCTCGCTCCTCGACTCGATGGACTGGATGGGCGCGGTAGACACTTCCGAGACACTTTCGAGACACTTTCGAGACTTTTCCGAGACTCGATGGACTGGATGGGCGCGCATTAGAGAGCCGCGACCGTCCGGCCCGGCCGCCCACAACAGCTCTCTTGAGCCGCCCCCCGCCCCTCCTCGCCACCGCCTAGGTGACGAGCAGATCGCGGAGCAGCTGGCGGCGCTGCTACCGCACATGGCGCCGGCAGGGCGCCTCTTTTGGCGCTCCTTTGGCGTGGCGGTCCACTCGCCGGTCCGAATGCGGCCGACTCACCGCGCGCTTGCAGCGACGACACCTGCACCCACACGCCGTTTCGCCTTGACGACCTGCAGGTGCTCGCGCAGCTGCGACCGACCCTCGTCCCGGAGCAAGACCGCGTCGGCTGGTACCTGAGCCAGTGGGTCGCCCGTGCGCACCCGCCCGACGCCCCCGTCGCGGACCCGGCGGAGCCGAGTGGCTTCCGCCGCTTCCTCTGCGTGGGCTCCGGCTACGCCCCCTCCAACACGCTCGTCGACGACGCCGCCGTTTGCCTCCAGCTCGCCCGCCACGCTTTGCGCACGAGCAAGGACGTCGCCGCCTTTTACCGCGAGCAGGGTCCCCGCTACGACGGCTTCCGCGAGGCGCTGCTGCCGGGGCGCGAGCGGCTGATGCGGTTCGGGCTGCCTTGGCAGCGGCGCCCCGCCGCGTGGCTGTCGGTCGGGTGCGGCACCGCGCGCGACCTCGAGTACGTGCTGGGCCATGTGAGGGAGTGCGGCACGCGGCTGTGGCTGCTCGACCTCTCGCCGGAGCTGCTCGCCGTCGCCCAGCAGCGGGTCGACAGGCTCGGCCTCGCGCACCAAGTCACACTCCTCGTGGGCGACGTCAACGACGAGACGCTTCCGGGCCCGCCACCGCCCTCCCTCCTCCCCCTTGCCCCCCCTCCCCACCCGCCCCTCGCGTCTCGAACCTCCCCCCCCGCCCCCCCCCCTTCCCTGCCACCCGCCCCCCTGCCCCCAACCCCCTGCCCCTCTCCCCCGTTTCGGCGCCGTTTCCTCCGCGCGGCCGAGCCTTGCCTCTGCTGGCGCAGCTCGCCTCGGCGCCAGCACCCTCTCACCGCCCCGCCTCGCCCCAACGGCAGGACTCCCGCCACGCGGCTCGCTCGACCTGGTCTCTTGCTCCTACTGCCTCAGCATGATCCCGCGCTGGCGCACGGCCCTCTCCGCCATGGTGCGTGCGTTGCGGGTCGGCGGCCAGCTCGCGCTCGTGGACTTCACCTGCCGCTCCGACGCGCCCAACCACTGGTCGCAAAAGCTCAACCAGTGGTGGTTTGCCAACGACGGCGTCTTTCTGAGCCGGGAGCACACAGCCGCGCTGCAGCAGCACGGCGCTCTGCGGACCCTCTGGTTCCACGAGAGCGAGCGGCGGGTCGTCTACACGCCGCTGCACGCAACGACGTACCTCTACGTCGGGCTCAAGGTGTCGGACGTGGAGTTTGATTGGTCTTGACTACGTCGGAAGGGTTACGGTATGCCTTTGTTGGAAGGCTGCCATATGGAGGCTGCCTGTACGCTCTAGTATGTAGTAAGGACATACGTGACGTCGTGGTTTTCGAGGGTTATCCCCTTATCCCTGTTCCAACTTTCTATCTTATAGCACGGTCGATTCAACGTTTCGTCTACTCGTCTTCATCGGTGAACTCACACTTGGTGCGGTCCGGGCCGCGGAGCGCGGAGGCTGAGACGGTTGCTCTGATGCTCAGCACCAGAGTCTCAGGTAGGTAGGTAGGTAGAAAGGTGAAGAACAGCCAGGCTCGGACTGGACACCAACGCGGTATGGGTGGACGCTAGACAGATGATGACGACACGCACGAGCGACACACAGACACAAACAGGCTCACAAGACACACAGCCAGCTGGCTGCCACACACCCTGAGTAGGCGTACACATAACTCAGGGCCACATCCTCCCTGTCGTGACATGCGAGGCTAGAGCAGTCTTGCTCTACCTCCAGCAATCTCGCCGGCCGGCGAGGCACAGGCACCGAGCTTGACATGAAAAAAAAATTCTTGCCGCGCCGCGCGGCTCACTCTCGCAAATATGGGGAGCGAGCGCGAGGAGAAGGGTCGCTCCGACCGGAGGCGGAGGGACTCTGACGAGTCGGGCTCCGAAGAAGAACGGCCGCGCCGCAAGCACAGGTCGAGCCGCGACAGCAAGCGGCGGCGGCGGCGGCGGCACGAGAGCGAGGACTCTCGCTCAGACAGCTCGAGCGAATCGGACCGCCGGCGCCGGCGCAAGCGCAAGCACTCGCGCCGCGACTCGGACTCCGACGGCAGCGACGCCGACGAGAGGCGCGACCGGAAGCACCGCTCGTCGGACAAAAAGCGGCGGAAGCATTCGGACCGACGGCGGAAGCGGAAGCACCGCGGCGGCGAGAGCGATGAGTCCGACGGCAGCAACGGCAGCGACGCCAAGCGCCGCCGATCCCTGTCTCGGGGCGGCAGCAGCGAGAGCGAGCGGCCGCGCGATGACAAGGGCCCGAGCCGCAGCAAGCACGAGGCCGGGCGGGGGCGGGAGGAGACCACGTCGCGCGGCCGCGACAAGAAGGGGGCCAAGGCGGGCGCTCTCTCCCCGGAGGGAGGCGACGCCGAGCGCGAGAGCACCCGCTGGGAGCGGGAGAAGAAGCGGCAGGCGCGCTCCCCCCCCCCCCCCCCCTTCTTCTCCTCCTCCTCCCTCCTCCCTCCAACGCCCCTCTCGTGCGTGCGCGGCCCCTGCAGGCCCGCGCCTCGGCGGCCGCCGCTAAGCAGGAGGAGGCGACGGAGCTGGCCGAGATGGCTGGGGCGGCCGACGCGGCGGCGCGCAAGGCGACCCTCCTGTAGCAGACGTGTGTAGCAGCGCTTGCCGCCGCCGCAGCAGAGGGCGGAATAGCGAGGCGCAGAGGCAGCAGCAGCTGAGGAGGGTGGAATAGCGAGGCGCAGGCAGCGGTAGCAGAGGCGGCGGCGGTGGTGCACACGCGAGAGGTGGCAGCAGCGACGCCAGTGCCGTCTCCCTTACCCCACCCAGGCGGAGGCGGCGGCAGAAGACAAGGCCAAGGAGGCGGGCGTCGCCCGCGCTGCGTCCGAGGAGGCGGAGGCGGAGGCGGAGGCGGCGCGGACGGCGCGCGAGAGCAAGGCACAGGAGGGTAGAGGGGGACAGGGCACCGGCATCTAGTGGCCTTCCGACGAGCGCTCGAGCAACACGCGCCTCCCGCCTCCTCCCGCTGTACTCCCCTCCACTCGCACCCCTCGCACTCTCGCGGTGCGCCGAAGACACTCGACGAGACCGGAGACACCCGGCCCCAGAGACCGGCCCGAAAGACCGGCCCCAGAGACCGGCCCCAGCCATCGGCCGGTCGATCCACAGCAGCGTGGAGACGGTCGCCACGGTGCTGGTGGCTTGCCCGTACAGCACTCGCGGCGACTTGCAGACACCTCAGTCACTCTCTCCCCACCTGGAGACCTGGAGAAGAGACGCACCGGCACGACCCGGTGTCTCGCGCATGCACATGGCTGCGCTGTTGCAGCAGTCGGTCGGATGCAGCGAGTATGGCCGCATCGAGTATGGCCGCAGCGTTCGGCGTGCCCCCCCTCCCCCCTCCCCCGTAGGCGAAGGAGGCGGAGGCGGCGCGGGTGGCGCTCGAGGAGAAGGTGCGTCGAGAGAGGGGAGGAGCGGGGGAGCGGGGAGAAGGGGGAGAAGGGGGGGGGGGGGGGGGCTGCCCGTCCTGCCCGCCCAGACGGCTCGCACAGTCCATGACACGCACACGCCCTACAAGCCCCGGAGATCGGGCGGAGAGAGGGGGCCGAGGCGATCTCTCGGCCGGCGGCCTGCCCATGGCGTCCGCTTGAGCATGCGCGCGAGATGGCCCGAGATGGCCCGAGATGACCCGAGACTTCTACTAGAGGCTGCCCGAGACGACCCGAGATTGCCCGAGATTGCCCGAGATTGCCCGAGGTGTACCTGAGTAGGCGCGCGAGCTCGAGGCGGCGGAGCTAGCAAGCGACGAGAAGGGCCGGCTCGCGGCGGAGGCCAAGGCGGAGATTACCCGAGAGCACCCGAGAATACCCGAGATTACCCGAGATTGCCCGAGAGTACCCGAGAGTTCCCGAGAGTTCCCGAGAGAGTACCCGAGAGTTCCCGAGAGTACTCCGAGAGTGTCGGCTCGCGGCGGCGGCCAAGGCCTGACCCTCCTCCTCTCCTCGGCCTAGGCCACCTACCACCACCACGCGTGGCTCGAGCGCGTCGCGCTCTCGGCGGCGCAGGAAAAGGGGAAGGAGGTGACGACTGCCCTGCACACTCACGCAACCCCCCCCCCAGCTCACCCCCACGGCACCTCCAGGGCACCTCCACCACACCTCCGCAACACCTCCACGCCACCTCCACCACACACCCACTAGGCTGAGTCGGCGCGCGCCGCCGCCGACGAGAAGGCGCGCGAGGCTGCCCAGGCGAGCCCCCCCCCCCCCCCGCCCCCCCTCCCCCCTCCCCCCTCCCGCCCTTCTCCCTCGCCCCGCCGGCCGTTGAGGGCGCTCTGGCGCCTGTCCCGCGTCAGGGGAAGGGGGGGTTCACCGCCGGCGCCGCACCGACCCAGGCGCACGCCGCAATCGACGACGAGTCCATCGAACTGCAGGACGAGGCGGAGGAGGCTGCGGACAAGCCGCCCGCGGCGGCGGAGGCCGACGGCGGCGCGCCACTCCCGCCGCCGCCGGCGCCAAAGCCGACGTCCGCTCTCGCAAAGTCGATCGCAGAGGGATGGTGATCGGCGGGCCTCGGCCACTGCCATTGGCGACCGAGGCGGCTTCTCCCAACGCCCGGACGCGTCTCGACTCGTGTGTCGTGTCCCATGGTCTTGCCAAGAATCGAGGCCGGGGCGAGGGTCGCAAACAGGGAGGGTTCGCGCGCGGGAGAGCTCAAGGGGCCGGATGCGGTCGACTCCAGCACAAAGCCGTACTTCGTCGAGGTTCGCCCAGGTTGAAATATGTAAATGAAGAGAAGGGGGACGTACACCGCTGTACTGGTGGTGACACACAGATCAAGTGTAGGGGCGCGAGCACTCGTGGAGCACTTGGTCTTGGAGTGGCGAGTGCAGTCGGTAACCTCACATCCAGGGCCCCCGGGGAGCTGAGAAGCGCACCCAGCGGGCCGGATGATCGGGATCGGGTTGCGGGCAAGAGAGCCCTAGCCCTGGGGGTGCGCGTTCGCAGGGAAAGACGAATCACACAGTGGGTCTCTCTTTGGCCCCCCAGCTGGGGGTCCCCAACGATGTCGGCCGTGAAACTGGTGCCTTACCAGGGCGAGCACCAGCTGCAGGCGCCGCCGCTCCCGGCCCCAGCACGGCACGCTGCCACGCCTAGCACGGAGACCGCGGCCGCGCCCGTCGCGCGCAGGGCATCATCGACCTCATCTCGGTCGACCTCTCCGAGCCCTACTCCATCTTTACGTACCGCTACTTTATCAACCAGGCGTGGCGCCGCATCCGCCAGCCCACACCGCCGCCGGTGTCCACCGCTATCGCCTGTCATTGCCGCAGCAGACATCGCCGCCGCCGCCGCCGCCGCCGCCGCCGCCGCCGCCGCCGCCACCCTGAACCCTCGGGCGCTCACTGGGCGTCCCGCCCTCTTCGGCAGTGGCCTCAGCTCTGCTTTGTGGCGCTCGCGCCCTGCGCCGCCGAGGGCGGAGCCGCGGGCGAGGCGCCGGGCGGCGAGGAGGTCGTCGGCGTCATTGTGTGCAAGCAGGACGTGCACCGCAGCGGGCGGACGCGCGGCTACATCGCGATGCTGGCGGTGCACCACTCGATGCGCAAGCGAGGCATGGGCTCGCGCCTCGTCAGCTCCGCCGTCCTCGCCATGCGGCAGGGCGCGCGCGCGCGCACACACACACTGCACACTCCGCACACCACGCACCGGACCTGCTTTGGCCACGCCCTCCGCACGCCTCTCGCGCATTTGGCCGAGCTCTTCCGCGGTTCAGCGTTAGTGTGAGATGGGCAGGACGCCAGCCCTCGCTCGGAGCGGCCACGAGGCTCTAGCCAAGCAGACTCCTCTGCCCTCCACGTCTGCGCGTCCCCCCCCCCCCCCCCCCACTCAGGCGGTTGCGACGAGGCTGTCCTCGAGACAGAGGCGACCAACATTGGCGAACCCCCGCGCTGCGACCCAACACACCGGCCGCTGTCCGGGACATGTCCGGGACGCGTCCGCGACCTCTCCCGCAGGCGCCCTGCGGCTGTACGACGGGCTCGGCTTTGTGCGCGACAAGCGGCTGCACAAGTACTACCTCAACGGCGCGCGCGGCAGAGTCCCCGAGACTACGCGAGATCGCCTGTGTTCACCCGGGAGGGCCCGAAGCCACCCGACGACGCGTGCCGCCGCACCACGCCCGCGCCTCTGCCTCTCACGCCCCCGCGCCCCACTCCCTGCGCAGGTAACGACGCCTACCGGCTCAAGGTGTGGTTCAATAGCCCGGCGGAGCAGGCGGACAAACGGGCGGCGGCGGAGCATGCAGCGGAGCCTGGGCACGAGGCAGCCCCTACCGAGGCGCCAGCGATAGCGGCGATATAAGGAGAGTTGAGCGCGCCCCATCGCAGTGTCTCGCCCCCCCAAAGAGATACGAGCTAGGTAAACGGTAGGCTAGCGCGCCGCGGGGATCCACCTTCCACGAGTATGTGTGTACGTGTTGTTTTTGAAACGCGCGCCGCCGGCGCGCGGGCCCGTGGTTGCGACGTGCTTTGGCTTTCGCGGGAAATAAAACACATCGACACGAGGACTAAACGGAGAGCCCCCCACCCCCGAGACCTCCGCTCCCGCCAACGTGCAGAAACGCACATTTGAGCCGGGCGCGTCATATAGTCAGGGGAGGGGCGCATTCGCAGATGGGACAAGATTCGAGGTGGGGACCTGGGCTCGCAGGCGCGTCGGCCGCGTGCACCCTCCCCACAGGCACTCTAGCTCTTGAGCTTGCCCATCTTTGCGGCCTTGGCGGCGGACCGAGCCGGCATGCACTGCTGGCTCTTGGTCCCCGTGCGTCACGGCTTGATGAACTTCTTCTCGCCAAAGTCCGCCTGCAGCCGCGTCGCTTTGACCGACACCCCGGCCTCGTGTTTCGGCTTCTCTACCTTGGCGGCCACCGACGACGAGAAGAGGTCAGACTCCTTGACGGCGCGCGGCGCCGACCTGCTTCCCGCCGCCGCCACTGCCTGCTGCAGACGCGCCGCAGCGACCTTGGCCTCGATCTCAGCGCGCTTGGCGGCCCGCGCCAGCTGGGTGGCCTCCTTGGCCTCGGACAGCGCTGCACTCGCCAGCAGCTCCACCTCGGCGACGTCCTCGCTGCAGATATCGTCGTTGCTGCTCGCGCTCGACGCGGTGCTGGGCGCGTCACCGAGCCCGTCCAGCGCCCGTCTCCGCCGCGCCCGCCTCCGTTCTCCGAAGGATTCCAACGTCGCGTCGGGCATGCTCGACTGGCGGCAAGCACCTCGGCCGCCCTCGTGCGCGACCCTCGCTTGGCTCGAAAAAATAACCCATAGTTTTCTCGAGGTTCTCGAGGTGGATATCCTTTGGCCGCGTTGGGTAGCGAGGATTGGTGTAACCCGATCCATGCAGGCGTGTTTTCTGACGGCCGACCGTCAGTGCACGGAGTTGCCCCTTCTCCGACTGCCCCGGCTAGTTCACGAGGTCGTCGCCAACGTCGGGTGTGACCCCTTCGTCCCCCGAGACCTAGCGCGGGTGGGTTGGGGGGGGCTCGCTGCAGGGAAGGGCTGTGTAAGAAGCCGATCCCCGTAGTCTGCCTCGCTCCTCCCCAGTCGGAGCGTTACCTCGGCTCTATTAGTCTCTTCTATTAGCACCGACTTCCCGAGTGATCACGGACACGGTTGCTCAGAGGGCAGATTTGGAAAGATCTGCAGGAGTACACACAGATAGACCAGCAGATAGATAGAGGCCCTCCAACCATAAGTAAGAAACCTCCAACCTGATCGGTCGTACCGTGACCGCCGACAGATCACTCCAGACAGCAGACAGGCCGACGTTTGCACGCGGCCGGCCGGGCGAGTGAGGCTTGGCACGATCCGTCCCTGCGACCCTGACGCTGCTACTCTCCTCTAGCTATCAGCGTGCACTGCTGACTGCTGCCACAATGTGCGACCTGTGCTGGCCCACTTGGCGGCCCTCCCGGTCAGTGGTGAGGCGCAGTTCAGAGTTGTTCATGGCGCGATGCCGCACTGGTCCCACATTGGTGAGATGAGACCACCAACCACGTTTGCCGGTTCCAAGAGAGAGCTGAGAGGCACTGGCGCTGTCCTGAGAAGGTGCATGGAGCATGCTCCCTCTTGACTGCCCATGCGTGCGAGGCTGTGTAGGCATAGGGCATAGCCTCGAGATCTGGCGGCGCATACTCGGTGCCCTAGAGGCTTGTCTGTCTGTTTGTCTGTCGCCTGTCTTGCGCCGCGTGCGCCGTGCGCTCTATTTCTTCTTTTATCGCAAAACGGCGAGCAGGGTTCGGGGAAGACACCCCAATATTTTCGCCATTTTTGCCATTCGCTGCGCGGCCTGGGGACAGGTCGGTAGGTACGGCGTTTTGGCGGCAGATCCCCTACCGGAAGAGCCCGAACCCAGAAGCACAAACTTGGGCGTCACGGCCAGCTATCTGACGGGCGCCATGACGATGCGATGCTCGGCGCTCGTCTCGCTTGCCCTGGCGACGCAGACCAGCAGCACGAGGGCTACTGCGGTCCCGGTCGAGCTCAATCTCACCGACCGACTAAACGACGACAATAAGTCCGTCATCGCTCAAATGAGCCGTCAAGCGGTGACTCATGGCTGACCGATTTGCCAATTTGCCGTTCAAAGGGCTTCCCTGACTGAACCTTTGTGGCCCTAGGTTGACGCGGCGCACGGGCTCCTCGGCTGCCGCCTGCTGCCCGCGGCGTGCGGTAACAGCGATCAAGGCGTGTGGTGCCCCCACACTGCCACGGCTCGCACTCCCGCCAATCACACCCCTTCCCATCCGCAGCTCAACGCCTCACGTTCGCGTCGATCTTTCTGATGGAGGAGCGTATACCTACCCTCGTTGTCCTCGCCGGCCTCTGTCTCGCGCTCGCCGTCGGTGTCGCATTCGAGGGCGAGCCGCCGATGCCACATAGAGACTCGAGTCTCACAGTGATGCTCACAGTGACGCGGCTGGGGATAGGCGCCATCTCGAGAGTGGCGGAGCGCGCACTTGCTTGGACCACCTCGCATCTGAGCGCAGACGGCCTCTCAATGTGGTGGAGTGGTCAAATGGCGCTCACTCGTCCCGCAGTGTCGTTCAAGCTGTTTGTCGCCTCACTGCTGGCCGTCGACCTCCTCGGCATCGCTGTGGCCGAGCAGGACACCCTAGCTGCTCCTGAGCTCGTCGATCTGATGCGCGATCAACCCGGTCGGAGTGGCACTCGGCCGCCGCTGACAGAGGTCCTCGTTCCCACGCTCGCCCCAGAGACCGCCGCCGAGTGGTACGCCCGGCTCTCGTGCGTGCGGGTAGCACTGGTTGCTTCATGGGTTGTGTTTCTGCTTGTGCCGGCGGCCTACACGCGCACAGCCGCAGCGAGCTATTCCGCCGGTGCCGGCCTGTACGCCTACCTCGTTGGCGTCGCTCTCGATTACACCGGCGGCCACCAGACGCCCCAGGTGGTCGCCATGTTCGTGCTCCTCGCCGCCACCGCAGTGCCGGGCCTCGCCACCAACGAGCGCGCTGGCAGCTGGCTGCGCCAGATGCTCATCAGTGCAGTGCTGGTACCAACCTACCTGCTGTCGGGTGTGGACAAGCTGAGGGTCCACGGCGTCATCGCCAACCTCGACGGCGAGTGGCTGCAGAAAGCGGCTCACGCGCGGCCGAGCACGTGGCTCCGGCCCTCCGAGCCCACACTGGCCGCGTTCTCCTGCGGCAACCTCTTCCTCGAGGTTGCGCTGCCCGTCGTTGTCCTCTTCTCCGCACAGGGGCGTGCGGCGACCGCTTGTCGCGTCCTCGTGTGCGCGCTCTCGCTCGCCTTTTACGTCGCCTTTGTGGTCTTGTTGGGCTCGCACGGGCCTGATCCTGTGCACATGTCACCACTGCTGATTCTGGCGCTCGACCCGCTCTCTTGCTCGTGTCGCAAGGCGTTCGAGCCGGAGATTCAGGAGGCTCGACGCATCACGTCGCTCAGCACCAGAAGCACCAGCCACGAAATTCTGATGGAGGCGGTGGTGGCAACTACGGAACCACTGCCGCTGCACATTCTGCCGCTTCCTCCGGACGCCGACGTGCCGCGCTCGGCGGCGGACCGTGGCCGGGCGGTGCTGGCGAGCGCCGTCTTCGCCGTTCGGCTCGGGTGGCCGCTGTGGACTGACTTTAGGAGTGTCGCCGGCTGGAGTGTCGCCAGCGGGCAGGCGGCGGCTTTCTGGCTGGACAACGAGGGCCCGATTTTGCCAATCTCGAGTGGGGGCGACTCCCTCCACCTCTCCCTCTCATTGCTGCTGCTCGGGACTACGCTCGTCGCCTTTGCCGCCAAGGTACGGCACGAGGTGCAGACTGCGCACTGCTCGCCGCATGGCTCGCCGCATGGCCACCGCGGCCCCCGCGAGCACGACATGCAAACCTCGGCCACGACCAAGCTGCTCGCAGCCGAGACGCACGACGAGTGGCAGGACGTGGGGCGCAGCCCAGGCAACAGTAGCGGCCGATAGGGCCCTCCGAAAGGCGTGCCATGGTGTCCCCCCGCCTGCGCCACCGCGACCCTCAAGCTCACAGGGCACAAACACACACGATATAGCCGCCCGGTCTGATGTGAGAGCAGAGAGCGGCCACGCTTCAGAGACCGCGGCGTGCCTTGCTGGATGCTGCTGGGGCTTGGCGGGGAGGTTGAGCGTAGAACTTTGACACACTGCTTTGCCGCAGCACAAAACCGTGCAAAAGTTTACAAAAGTATACGCGCGCTGCGCGGCGCGCGGGCGCACTGCGGTTTCAACGACTCAACGTCTCAACACAGTGGGTCTCAACGCGCACGCCCGCGGCGCCGATCAAACTTTTTGCGGCTCGCTGTGAACTCCTCCGCGCTCACCTCGTAGCCCTCGGCCAGCGCCTCGCCTGAGCCGAGCTCGCCGTTGATCCAGTCCCAGATGTGCTCGAAGTCGTGGAGCCGGAAGTGGACCGGCGCTCCACCGGCAGGCCGCCCCGTCGTTGACGAACGCGGCGCCGTCTTGTAGACGTAGGCGTCGCCAATGCCGTCCATGTGGTGCGGCGGAGCAACGCCGCTCCTGAGATCGATCATGAGGAGGCAGGCTGGCTGGTTCGCCATTTGCATGCGGCCGAGCGAGGACGGCTTCGAGACGCGCTGCAGCGCCACCCTCTCACCGCACGCCTCGAGGAGCGGCGGCCGTTGCACGAGCGCCCACCGCGCGCCGTCCAGAGCCGCAGAGTTGGCCGTTGCATGTGCCATGAAGTCAAGCAGCTCACCTGCAGTCCCCGCGGTCAAGCCGCATTGATCCATCTGCTGCGGTGTGAGGAAGCCCAACCGCCAGTTGAGCGCGTTCGGGACTCGAGCCGTGTCCTTCAGCTGCTCTCGCACAAAGCATGAGTGGCGGCGCGGCAGCGTCACCTCGCGCCAGTTGCCGGGACCGTTGACGCCCGACTTGAGCAGCACTGCGTAGACGAGCTCCGTCTCGAAGCATGTGAGGGCCCGCAGGTTGGCCACCTTCACCAGGATTGGCTTCACCCCCATTGGCTCGAGCTCGCCCAGCCCACCGTCTAGACTCACCGGCACCCGGCCGTTCTCATTCGGAGGCGCCAGTGCGCGGCCGACCCGTCCATTGTACGACTCCTTCGAGAGGGAGTGGCACTCCACCCAGTGGGGCCAGGGCGACGGCGACCCGATAGTCGCCGCCCACTGTCGCAGCGCGTCTGATCGCAGCGTGCAGACCACCCGCGTGCGAGTACGACTCACCGCACGGCTCAGCCGGGCGCAGACCAGCCTTGCAGCGAGCTGGTCGTCAGGCGGAACGAGCTCCATCACGCACCGCCAGTCATCGTCTCCCATCATCTCGACTGGAGGGACATTGCCCTCAGCATCAGACATGGTTTCCTATGAAACTCCGGTCACCCGGAGGCCAACGCCCAGCGCCGCCGCCCTTGGCGGCGGATTCAGGCTCTTCTAGCCGGATAGGTCTGTGGATTCTCGCGCGAAAACAGCGAAAATAGAAAATTTGGCGCATTTAGCCCAACCTGGCGCAACCTACCTACCGGTACCTATCTGGGAGCTCCAGCGAGTGTGAACAGACCGCCTATCCGGCTAGGTAGGTGGGAGCCCGAACCCTACTGCCTGAGCGGCGAACCGTAAGTATAAAAGAAAGAAACGCTTCGCGTGGCTCCAAGTGCTTCAAGTGCTCCAAGCAAGGTCGCTCCCCATCGCAAACCTCGTCAGCAGTCCTCCTCCGGGAAAGTTTAGAGCTAGGTTAGGTTAGGTAGAAAGGTGAAGAACAGCCAGGCTCGGACTGGTCGACTGGACACCAACGCGGTATGGGTGGACGCTAGAGCCTAGACAGATGATGACGGCACGCACGAGCGACACACAGACACAAACAGGCTCACAAGACACACAGCCAGCTGGCTGCCACACACCCGGAGTTGGCGTACACACATAACGCAAGGCCACATGTTGTCATCCTCCCTGTCGCCCCCCCAACCAAGCACTCCACGGTGCCAAGAGTACAAACAAGGGCACAACGACACAACAGACGACAGGAAGTAACATGCGAGGCTAGAGCAGGCTTGCTCCACCTCTAGCAATCTCGCCGCCCGGCGAGGCACGGACGAGACCGTGTGTGGGGTCTTGTGAGTGAGGTGTCTATGGACGCCCTCCTCACAGGCTAGCTGCCTACTGCTTGGCGTGCGCTATTCTAGGCCGCACGTCGTGGCACTATCACGGAGGTAGACGGCGCTCGAGAGCTACTTACCTGAAAAAGAAACTCGGCCTTTGCAATCGGGCAAGGGGGAGCGACCTACGGCATGCGCTGCAATCGGCAAGGGAGCGAGGACCGACATGCAAATGCCGATCAAAGCCACCCGGCCTCCCCACGGCAAGAAGCGGCTCTTCTCATTCTCGGGCCAGGCCAGGCAACCGCGATCCGCGAGTGCGCCCGCTCGTTCTCCACGCTCTCGCACGGTAGATCCGCGGGAGGCTTCGGCGGTGAGGCTGCAAGCTTTGGCGCGAGGGAGGCAAGCGCGTAAGCGATCAGCCTTTAGCCTGGCCGCGACCCACGACTGGTTCGCCGGCGTGTTTGGCTTTGAGTCGGGCGCACCTTCGTCGCAAGCGCTGCGGGAGCGCAACGCCCAGCTGCTGTTCCCTGCAGAGGAGGCGTGCCTCGAGCGGCTCGCCCAGCTGCGCTCCGCGCTGGATGCCGAGTGCGGGGAGGCTTGGACCGCGCCGGACCGTCGGGCGCCTCACGTAGCGATAGACATCCGCCCCGAGTCGGCCTCGCTGTTGCCGCCGGCGCCCGCGCCCGAGGTGGAGCCTCCAAAGGCGTCGTACCTGTCGCGGCTCAAGAAGAAAGCGCTTTACTTGGAGTCGCGGGACGGGGCGGTCGCGCTGCTGCAGGCGCGGGCGAGGGGCAGGCGGGCGCGAAAGCAGAAGCGGCGAGGAGCGGGCGAGGAGGCGGAGGAGGGCGTCGAGGCCTCCACTGCGTGCTTTCCGACGCCCGTTGACTGCCGTCCGCGGCCGACGGCGCGCAGTCTTCTGCTCGGGTGCCTACTTTGCGTGCCGCTCCTCCTCCTCTCCCCCTTGCTCCTCCTATGCCTCGCCGCCTGCTACGCCTACCTCCGGCTGCCGTACCTGCTCGGCTGGGTCGCCTCAAAGGCACACTCACACACACCTCAAACACACACTCTCTCTCTCTCTCTCTCACACACACACTCACACACACACACACACACACACACACACACACACACACACACACACACACACACACACACACACACACACACACACACACACACACACACACACACACGCACACACACACACACACACGCACGCACGCACGCACGCTCACACCGCTCACACCGCTCACACCGCTCACACCGCTCACACAAGGCACCGGGCCTTGCACTTTTAATGCCGCGGGGCTCCTGTCTTCTAGACGTGGAGTCGCGAGGGTTGCCTCCCCTTGCCCCACCACTTTGTGTGTGTGGAGAAATTTACCGGACCTTTCCTTACCTCGCAGGCCATCACGCGCCTCGGCCTATTCGGCTACCCGCTGACCTTCGGCGCCATCCACCTCTCGCCGTGGCTCGAGCTGCGGCCGGCGCGCCTCCACCTCCGCCTCTGTGTCGAGGACTTCTCCCTCTCCAACCCGCCCTCCCTCGGCTGCCCGCACCGCCACTTTGTGTCGGCGGGCGCGGTCGATTTTCTGCTCACCATCGATTTGCACTGGGCGCGCGAGCTGCTGGTCCTCACCCGAGATCACCCGAGATCACCCGAGATCACCCGAGATATCTCTCTGTAGGTCAAGGAGCTGCTGCGCACGGGCAGGCTGCAGCCCGTCCCGATCCACTTCGAGCACACCTCCGTGCGGCGCGTCAAGCTCTACTTTGAGCTCACGCGCGGCGAGCTCAACGTAAACGGCCTGGCGCGCGAGATCGCCGAGCTCGAGGTGCGCGCCCGCCGGTCTTGCTGCGCGCTCAGCCGGTCCTGCTGCCTGCCGTGGCGGCCGCCCACGCCACCGCCGCCCAATCTGCTGCGTCTGTGGGTCGGCGCCGTGCGCGGCCTCAGCCGGCGCGGCGCGAAGCCGTATGTCGCAGTCAAGGCGCGCGGCATCGTCCTGTCGACTGATTCATGAATGGATATGTCGGACCAGAACTCGTTGTTTAATAGGCGCGCGGCGTCGTCCTGTCGACCGCGACCGGCACGCTGCTCGGCGGGGAGGGGGAGGGGGAGGGGGAGGAGTGGGTCTTCGACGACGAGGTGCTGCTGCGCATTTCGGACCCGTCCACCGTGCTGCACGTGTGCGTCTACTCTTCCGTCGGGCGCGACCGGCTGCTCGGCCAGTGGGTCCTCACGCTCAAGTACCTGGTGACGCAGCCAGACTACTGCAAGCACGCGCCGCCGCTGACGCGCTCGCGCGACGGCTCAATCTCGGGCACTTTCTATCTCTCCGACGCCAAGCTGCGCGGCTCGGCGGTGCGCGCGCTCGGCCCTTCGGAGCTCGGCAAAGGCTTCTCCGGCGAGGTTGACATGCGCCTGCACTGGATGCACGCCGCTGGCCTGCCGCCGCCCCCGCCGCCAAAGCGGCGCACCGCAATGGAGCAGCTCAACGAGAACTCTGGCGAGACCGCGCTGCGGCTGGGCAACGTCCGCGAGCTGCGCACCGCGCTGAGCAGCCTGCCGCTGCGGCTCTCGTGCGGCGAGGTCGCCTTTCGCGACGTGAGCGTGGGCATCAAAGACTTGTTTACGGGCTACAAGGGCGACATCGAGATGGATCTCCGCGACGAGCTGGCCAACTGCAGGAGCACCAGCTCGCGTGACAGGCTGTATGAAGACCGGGCGGAGGAGGTGACCGACGTGGTCAACATGAAGGACCTCTTCCTGCATCCGGTGGCAGCCAAGGATGGCTCCGGCCTCGATTTGACCGCCTTTCTGGACGGCCTCCTCTTCGACCAGCTGGTGCCCGAGGCGCTCAAAGAGGTTTTTGGGACGGGCCTCGGAGGGCAGGCAATCGGCCAGATCCTGGGCGGGGTGGCGGCGCGCAGTGCCGAGTGGGCCAGGGGGGTCAGGCGCGGTTTCGTCTCTTCCGGACAAGGCAGAAACATTCCACGTGTATCACCTAAAGCCGTCTTGTGACCATGTGTGTGTGCCGGGTGAGTGTCATCAGTACTCTATATACACACAGCGGAGAGTGTGTACGTGTCCATGTTGTTCACCTGCTCATTTCTTGTGATCGTTGTTGAACTTGTTGTTGAGAGGATATGCACGGAAGGACACTCAAGAAAACACCTCCCCCCGGGCACGGGGCCCTCGCCGCCTCGTCCGCGCGCGCGCGCCGACCTGCAGTGTAGCAGCAGGCGCCGGAGGGCGCGGGAGGCAGCGGCGACCGGCGGGGGGGGATCTCGAGACATCCGGCAGCGAGCAGAGCCACAGTAACGCACCCACAACCCGCACCTCCACCTCCACCGCCAACATTGCGAGACGTCCTCTGAAGTTCCGCAACCTCGGGTTCTTCACGACCCAGCTACTTTTGCCTTCCTTGCACCCCGGAGCTCTGCGCAGGTGGAAGGGGTCTTGCTGCTGGAATGCGTAGTAGCGTCAGACGGCCCGGGCCGGGCCCGCCGACGCCCGCATGGCAGCTACCGTCCGAGCGGGCGAACTCGCGTGTGTCTGGCGCCTGCAAGTCAGCTGCATCCCCGCCTGCACTCGCCCGCCGGCCGAGACGCGGAGTGTCAGCCGCACTGCCCCTGGCGAGGCCGCGCGCTCGGCCGCCGCGCGGCTGCTCACGACACCGGGGTCGCGCACAACGCGGAGTTCCGCCTCACCGTGGGCAAAGAGGCAAGCGTCCCCCATTGGGCACCGGCCGGAGGACTCAAAGTGGCGGCAGAGGCGAGTCTTTGAGAGAGCCTCCTGCGAGGCGAGGCAAGAGGGTGGTGGAGCGCGAGTGAAGGGGGGCGGGGTGGGGCGGGCATTTGGCCTGCTTGAGCAGCTCGCGCTCCGAGATTGCTCGGGGAGGTGCGCGTAGCTCCTCCTGGCCGTGGGCAAAGTTGCAACTCCCGCCTCGCGGGCAGCGCCGCCGAGCCGAGAAGTGCGCGCAGAGCCGCGTCTTGTAGAGGTGGCCGCATCCCCCTCCGCCGCCGCCACCACCAGTGCTGCTGCTGCCTCCCCCCCCGCCACCCCCAAAGCGGCCGCGGCCGCGGCCGCCGCGGCCGCGGCCGCCGCCGCCAAAGCGGCCTCCGTCGTATGGCCCTGGGACCATGTCCCACAGGCAAGCCTCGCGCTCGCGTGCAGCATCGACGTACGGCAGCAGCTCGTTTGTGCCGTGGGCGTACGTGCAAAAGTCGCCGCGCACGCACTGGCCGAACCTTTCGAAGTTGCGGCAGAGTCGCGGGCGCAGGGGGCGGCCCATCGGGGACGGCGCCGGCACCATGGCAGGGTAGATTGGCATCGGCATGGCGTACACAGACATGGCCATGCCGTGCGGTGGATACCCCATGGGCATTGTGCGAGGGTGTTCGTACATGCTCTGCATCTCACACACCAGCCTGTGGTCAAAGTCCGCGGTAGTAGAACACCCTACATGAATCGACGCAGAATCGCGGGGAGAGAAGGGGGAATGGGGAACAGGGGGGGAGGGGGGAGGGGGGGTACGGGCGGGGATGAACATGTGCAGTCGGGTACACGCTCTGCGCGCGGCGGCGGCGGGGGGGCAGCCGACGGCCCTGGGAAGGGAGCCGGGCGTCGCGAACCTCCGATAGCAAGCGGTCTGGGGCGCCGTTGTGGCAGAGACATGGTTTCGTTGAAAGCAGGCCAGGCCGGGGGTGGGAACCCGCGGCCGGGGCCGGCCCGTGCCTGGACTGGCGTTCTATACGCACAGGTATGGGCTATCGCCGCCTCGGCTTGACAGCAGCTGATGGCTAAGCCTTCCCTCTCCTCCCCGCCTCCCCGCCCGCCTGCCCGCCCCGCCTGCCCGCCCGCCCCGCCTGCCGGCCGCCCCGCCCGCCCCGCGCCCAGCCCCCTCGCCCCCCCTTCGCCCGCGCACTGGCCACCGCCCTTCGCTCGTCTAGCGTATAGGTACTCTCGAGGGTGGAGGGGAAGACGTAGGGCGTGCTCTTGCGCGCCTTCCTTCCAACTGAGGCCCCTCCACCTTGTCCTTGACTACTCGCTGGACGCTGCCTACTCGCTGCCTCGAGGGAGGTGGAGGGGAAGAGGTCAGGCAGCTCTCACTTCGGTGATGAGCGCTTGGCGCGAGGCCCCTCCCCGAAAGGCCAGTATTAGCCTCACGAAACCGAGACCCCTCCCCACCACCCCAATCCCCCCACCCCCTTGGCTCCCCTCCCCCCCTCGGGAGGGCCGAACTGAGGCGCCCGTGGGGACCCCGTAATTCCCTCCCCCCGAAGCAAGACAGGCCGTGTGGGGTGTGGGTGTCACGAGGACAGACGTCCACGAAGACGATGGGCCGGCTGTCCTAATGGTCATATCAAAAGTCGGCCGTCCGCGAGCCCCTAGCTCGCCGACGGCGAGAGAGATGCCACGAGGGGTCGCGGTGGCATCCATCGCCAGGCTCCCTAGCTCAACCGACGACCCTCGTGCCTCGGGATCGACGGCCGATCGTCATCCTCGAGGGAGGTGGAGGGGAAGAGGTCAGGCAGCTCTCACTTCGGTGATGAGCGCTTGGCGCGAGGCCCCTCCCCGAAAGGCCAGTATTAGCCTCACGAAACCGAGACCCCTCCCCACCACCCCAATCCCCCCACCCCCTTGCTCCCCACCCCCCCTCGGGAGGGCCGAACTGAGGCGGCCCGTGGGGACCCTGCAATTCCCTCCCCCCCCTCGGAGGGCCGGACAGAGGCGTCGAGGGGCCCCGCTCTTTCCCTCGCATAGGGGCCACTCTCGGATCGCTGGTCGAGCGACCCGGGGGATGCCCCGCGCGCCTGACCCAGGCGCGAGAAACGAATCTGCGAGGCGTGGCCGCTTATGCGGCCCGATGGGGAGGAGTGGGGCGGACTACGAGGATCGGCTTCTTACACAGCCCTTCCTTGCAGCGAGCCCCCTCCAATCCACCCGCGCTAGGTCTCGGGGGACGCAGGGTCACACCCGACGACCTCGGGAACTAGCCGGGGCAGTCGGAGAAGGGGCAACTCCGTGCACTGACGGTCGGCCGTCAGAAAAAGCCTCCGTGGCTCGGGTTACACCAATCCTCGCTACCCATGAAGGTCTGCATCGCACTTGAAGAGCGCGGCTACCGGCTGCTAGAGGCCTGCCTCCTCAACGCCGCCTATTACGATGACGGCACGCGCGAGAGCCGCTTTCTGCGGGTGGCGACTGAGTGTGCGACTGCGTTGGACGCTGAGGTGAGCTTGCTGCGCTATGCGTCGACCCGGGCCTTGGGCTGGTCATCAAAGAGGAGGATTACGCAGACCAGGCATGGGAGCAGATGTCGGGAGGGGCAGACAGCCCAGACCCTGCCGGATCGGCAGAGAGAGTCGCGGCGGCGACTGAGCGCAAGACCGCCTCAAAGGGTAAGCATGGCAAGAAGAAGGGGAAGAAGCGCCAGTGAGCTCGCCCTCCTAGAGCTCGCCTATCTCGTCGTCGCCCGCCCGCCCGCTGCATGGCCATGGGACACGCAAACGCATGGCCATTGCGCCAGGTGCGAGGTGTAGGAGAGGGTTGCAAAGCCCGACAGATAAGGTAAACTGTTGTTCCATTCTTACGTGTGTGGCATCTGTTTGGCTTTGGCTGTCTGTGACTGTGTCTGTTTGTGTCGATTGCTGCACCTCTTTGCCGCAGGGTAATTTCCAGGTATACACGGGTTCTCCGCGAAATTCCCGGCATTTTGCCGATTTGGCCTAAAGTTTGGCTGATTTTGGGCCCAAACCAGCCTCAGACTCGGCTCAGAGCCCCGGGGGGCCAAAATTTGACGATTTCCACGCAGTTTTCCGAAAAAAGAGAGGAAAAGAGAGGGTGCTGTAGAGAAAAAGGAAAGGAAAACAGACGGGGTGCGAGAGGCAAACCTGCTTGAGCCCATCGGGCCCTGGGTTGGCGTTTTATGTGACGGCGGCTGCTGAAATCTTAATTATCGAGATCGCACGAGATCAGGCGCCTGCTGCGGCGCTGCTGGCGCTCGGCCGAGGCGGCGGAGGCTGTTGATCCCATGAAGTCCCTAATCACGCTTGTGTGCCTCGCCGCATCCAGCACGCCCATCACACCACTGGACGAGGGCGACGTGTGGGGCGACGTGGTGATTTCGGGCGCCGCCGAGGGTGGCAGCAACAGCAGCGCGCCATCCTCCATCCTCGGTGGTGACGAGGGAGGCGTCGAGCGAGGCGCCGCTGTGCCTGTGGACGCGGGCGAGGTGGGCAGCGGGGCGGATGCGGAGTGGGCGGCCGAGTCGGCCGAGGCGGCCGAGAGCTGCGTTGGCGTCGCCGGCGAGGGGCTCCTTCACTGCTACCTTGAGGGGTGCGTCGCAGAGTGCTCCAACGAGATCGCGCCCGCCCTCCTCCTCCTCCTCCTCGTCGGGATGTCTGCGCACACCTTTGGCTCGCTGCTGTCCGGGCTCGGCTTCCCCGCCATCACCACATTCCTCTTCTTCGGCGTGGTCGCCGGACCGTACGGCTGCGACGTCCTCTCCTCCGACGAGTCCCGCCGCCTCCTCTGGCTCAACGACGTCGCGCTCGGCTTCATCGGCCTGTCGGCGGGCGGCAAGCTCCACCTCAACGAGGTGCGCGAGAACCTGTCCGCCGCCGTCTCCGTCCTGACCGGCCTCGTCTCGGTTACCTGGGTCGCGTCCGTGCTGAGCACCCTAGCCCTCGGCGACCTCTTTCTCCCCTTCCTGGTCGATTTGCCGCTGTCGCACCGCATCTCCGCCGCGCTGCTCATCGCCTGCCTCGCCGTCGCTCGCTCGCCCTCCTCCGCCATCGCAATCATCGAGGAGCTGCACGCCAAGGGCCCCTTCACCACCACCGTCCTCACCGTCACCGTGCTGATGGACGTGGTCGTCGTCCTCCTCTTCGCCCTCACACAGCTCGTCGTCAACGCCCTCACCGCCGCCGGAGAGGCCGAGGGCGGCGAGGGCGGGGCCGCGGCCGGCGCCATGCTCCTCCTCGCCTTCCTCAAGCAGACCCTCCTCTCGGTCGTCGCCGGCGCGCTCCTCGGCTTCGCCTATCCGCTCGTCGTGTACGCGCGCCTGCCCGACGGCTGGTGCCGCACTCCCGCCCCCCTCGCGCCTCTCGCGCTCCTCGTCGGCGCGCTGGTCGCCTTTGCGCAGCGCGCCGCCTTTCTGCTCACCGGCTTCGCCCTCTTTTTCGGCGAGGAGTACGACGAGGTAACCCGCGGCGCGGCGCGGCTCAACCCGCTGGTGGTTTGCATGGTGGCCGCCCTCCTCGCGTCCCTCTTCTCGAGACTAGATGGGGAGGAGTATGAATGATACTCATCATACGCCGGTAGGTGACCGGCTTCATCGCGTCCAACTTCTCGTCTGTCCGAAAGGCGCGCCAGCCCCTCGCCCTTGGGACAGGGTGCAACGGCTCTGGCTCTGGGGGGCCGCCATTGTTTGGGAGTCTTTCAATCGGCCGACCCTTGAGTGTTTCCACACCGTTGATTGTTCGCATCGAACGTAGGCCCGCCTGTTCCACGCTTCGGTCACCGACCTGTCTGGCCCCGTCTACCTCCTCTTCTTCACCTTCACGGGCATCACGATGGACCTGGGCGTGCTGTGGCGCAACCGCTCCGCCTGCATCCTCCTCTTTGGCGCCCGTTCGCTCTCAATCATCGCCGGCTCCCGCCTGGGCGGCCAGCTGGGCGGCCAGCCCGCCGAGTACTACAACCGCTACTGGATGGCCTTTCTCACGCAGGCCGGCGTCACGCTCGGCCTCGCACAGACGGCCGCGCCGCACTTTGCCTCTCGACACCCGGAGGTCTAGGCCGGTGCGGTGAGGGGCTCCGAGCGGCAATAGGTCGCGCCGCACTTTTCGTGGGGCCCCGACTTTGCGGCCTGCATCGTCGCGCTCGTCGTGTGCAACCAAGTCGTCGGCCCGCCCCTCTTCAAGGCTGTCATCGGGTTCGTCAACGAGTCCAACATCGGGTACGTCCCGGAGGCGGCCAAAGGGGTGGGCTCCCGAATCCGCAACTTGGGAAACATCAAAGGCCAGGGCTCCGGCCGCCCGAAGCCGCGAGCGGCGCTCTGCATCACCGCCAACGACGGCTTGGGCGACACCGTCCCACAGAGGGCGACCTCTCCCGTCTGGCTCCTGGCTCAGCCCGCTTGAGCCCCTTCTTTCAGGCGACGGCGTGACTAAGAGGCTGCGCGAGCTCGACTGGGAGGTGCTCGTGGCAGACGGCGCCCCTCGCCGCGCGACGACCCCGAGCGGATGGGAGAGGGGGAGCATCGGACCGCGAGGGGTGAATGATGGGTAGGCTCGCTGCACGTGACGACCGCGCTCGATGATGACAAGGCGATCGGCTCTGCAACGTGGGCCTCGCACCCACCCCACCCCTCACCCCTCACCCCACCCCTCACCCCGCCGCTAGGTGATCGGCCGAACGCTCTACAACTTGCATGTCGCCGACGGGCAGCTGCAGGCAAAGCACCACTCATAGTGCGCGCGGTCGGCCGTGTACCTCGGCCACATCTCGGCTCAGCCTCGCCACAGGCAAAGTACTTCAAGTTTGTGGTCGGAGACCGCGTCCGGCACGGCCTCCGCGGGATCGGCGCCGTGCCGGTGCACGGGGGGAGGAGCTGTAGACAGTGTCGCATGCTGACGGCGAGTCGGCGCACTGCGTAGGCACCGTGACGGAGCACATGGCGGACGGACGCACGCGTGTCCTCTTCGACTCTGGCGAGAGGGGGCGCACAGGAGACCAAGCCCCCTCTCCACTCCGTCGATGATCTCCGCCGCGTCGGCGTGGCCCGCGTAGGCGAGGAGCACAAGTACAAGCCCTCCTCGATGTCGAAGCTCGTGTACGAGAACCTGCTCCACTCCGCGCGCTCTTCCGCGGGCGCCCCCCCCCC